CGACTCTTCTTCGAATTCATCCCTCAAATAAACCCTTCGCTTGTTGTCTCTCTCCGGAGCGCAGAAGCAGGAAGCGTCCACCCCGGACTTCATTAACTCCTCCCAACGGTCTACATAGTGCTTGTTCTGAAATTTGGTTGCTAGCTCCCGCCTGGCTGGGCTCGCCAGTGATGAAGCAACTCGAAGTGGGTATCTTGTGGGGAGGCTGTGCTGCAACTGGTCCTGACGTTGACTGGAAGATGCGCAGCCAGTGCTGCTGCTACCGACTGCTTCTGACGTGACGAGCGGAGTCCGCGAGTCAAGCGCAGTCTTTGTATCCTGCTGAGGGACTTCTTCCAGCGCGCTGGCACCTTTTACGGGATGTTCTTGATTTTTCCAGGGAGCCGCGGGCGGCATCGTACAACGAGGTGAGTGCGAAATTGTACATGGTGGGCAGGGGGTTACTGTGTTGCAGTCCTCGACTGCAAGGCCTTTCTGGGAGTTCGAAAATCGTACAGGAAGCTCTTCTACTAATTCGTTAGTCGTGCTATTGGAAAATCGTACAGGAAGTTCTTTCTCAACTGCATCGTTGCTATCGCGGCATCGTACAGGTAGTTCTTCTTCACGTTCAACGCCATTATTGAAAAATCGCACATGGAGTTCATCAATTTTGCACGCGTTCTGAACAGTTCGATCGTGCATCTCATCGGAGATTAGTCGCTCGCCTTCCTTCTTCTGCGTCGTAGTAGACGTAGAAGTTGACCCCTTGCCCTTGTTTTGTGAGCCATCGGACTTGTTATGCGTCCCCCCGGCGCCCGGGGAAGCAGTGTCATTGGTGCCTTTGTTTTTTCCATATCCTTTGCCCTTGCCGTTCTTATTTTTTCCTTTTCCTTTTCCGCCATCAGTGGCGCGCTGGAATTTATTCGCGTCAGTGCGCTGGCGCTCCTCGAGTTCTCGCTGCCTCTTCAGAGACATGAACTGGTCGAAGCGGTTCCCTTTGTACTTTTCCAAGCTCGCCACCAAGCTGAACCCGGACGCTTTGCTCTCTTCTTGGAGCGAAAGGCGGAGGGAAGTGTCGCACGCCATGACACTGTTTTGGCCGTAGTAATTCATGGCGTCGAGAGTCGCGGCGTCGTACAACATCAAAATCTTGAAGGCGTCCCGGTCGACCGTCGGGTCATCCAAAGCGATGACCCAGGCCAGGTTCGACTTGCGTAGCAGGTACAAATACTGCGAGCACGGGAGCGGTGTTTGTTTTGCCTTCGTCTGGACTTCTACCAGGACTTGCTTCTCAGCTGCCCGGGAGTCGAGCCCAGACTTCGACGCGGCGTCACGAACCGCATCACTCAGATCCACCGCGCTAAGGCCAGTTTTCACCTGCCACTCGTGGGCGTTCTTCGGGTACCACGGCCGGGCTTTGAGGTCGTTGTAGGGGTACTTCGTCCCCCGTTCGATCTGGAGGCGAGCCGCGTTCACCTGCTCCGAACTGGGAAGGTGGTGCTGCTCCATGTCCTGGAGCCCCAGTGCTACAATGCGGGCATTTACATCGACCACTTTTTTCGGCAAGGCGACGGCGCCGCCGGTGGCCGAACCACTCACGTTCGCCATCATGCGAGCGGCGTCCTGAAGCTGCTGCGCAGCATCGTTCTGCTTCTGTTCTTTCTGCTGCGCGACTAAAATCTGCAACACACTCAAAATACGCCCGGAAGCCCCGACCTCCTTGAGGTCGGCCCGGGTCGGGTTCACCTCGGCAACCTTCGCCAAACACGGCATGGAGGTCTCTTCCAAGACCTTTTTCAGGCTAGCGAAATCGCCATCAACCGTGACGACCTTGGCGCCATGAATCTCGAAGATGGCCGAGCCAACCGCTTTGCGCAGGAGCGGGTCAGCGATCATGTCGCCGCTATTGCTGCCATCGGGTTTAGTGTCACAGACATACTTCTTCCAGAAGGCTTTGCATTGCGCCTTTGCCGGGTTATCCGGGAAAAAACGCTCCGGCCACGCGTTGCTCATCTCGGCCTCCATACGGACACCTTCGACGCCTTCCATTTTTAAGCTCTTTGTAGTTGGATGGGAGCAAGTATATCAGATGTGTAGCTTGTGCGTAGCCTAAGACTAGACGAAGCAACAGCGAATCCCTCGTGTGAAAGTAGGAGCGACGAATCTCTCGTGCGAAAGTTAAATGCGACGAATCTCTCGTGCGAAATTGGTAGCGGTACTCTCGTGCCAGGTGGCTGTAGTACGCTCTTGCGAAATTTGTGACAATCCTCTCGAGATTGAAAACGCGAAACCCTGGGTGGTGTGTTTACATTTAATTTCGATCGCTACTTCGAGCGAAATACAGTGCTAAATTTCAAATTTAAATTCACAGGCCGCGAAATCACATCGATATTTTAAAATTTGCGATAGTACCCCCCCCCTTTTGGAGGGTGAAATGCGCAAATTTACGAGCGGCAGCGCGCTTGCGGTCGGCCGCGCGCGTGCACCTGGCACTGCCACGGTGCCTGCTACGCAGTTTTCTTCTGCAGCGCGATCACATCACATGTGCCTGCAACACCTAGCAACCACAGCTGCTGTAGGGCATCAGCCCTACTTCGGGCCCCTCGGGGCGCTTTCTCATAAGTGGGTGACGTTTGGCACCCATCTAGCCTGGCCATTGCGCAGGGGCCTCTGCCCTTGTCCGGCCGTGCGCATTTAATGTTAGGCGGGGCGCGCAAACACGCGCGTCTTGCTCGCTGCCAGCATCTGCTGGCGCGGAATATATTAGGAGGCAAGGCCTTCGCCTTTCGAACCTCTCACATTTAGCGAGGTCGAGATTTACGACCTGAGCATGATCAGATCTATCAACTTTTAGGGCAATTTCGAACGCGCGACTTATGACGGATTGGATCTGCCCTCAATTGAGGCTGATCCTGGCCGGAACTTTTGCTATCGTGACGTGATCAGGTTTTGGATTTTCGGCATCTTTCAGAGGCTCCATCAATCGCGCGAATACGCATGACATGCGTAGTGTAAGTGCGACAAGTGCAGCGCTTGCTGCCTTGCGCATGTGCGTGCGCGCGCGACTCTTCGCGCCTGCGCACGCTCTAAAGGCGATCGATTTCGCGACCAAAATTAACCATAATTTAACAAGTGAAATGAACATTTTGTGAGGGCTTCCTGATGCCTATACCGCATGACAAATGCTCTTTCCGTGTAGCAAAACTTGGACTCTCTTTGCTGCTCATGCAGTACAGATTTTTTTGGAATCCAAAATCAGCATGACAAGTCGGATTCTTCCAGACCCAGACATTTTTACAGTTGATAAGGCGAGTAGCTCCAAGCGGACTTTATCGACGTTTCGCAACACCAGCTTCTCGGCTGCAGTAGTGCTGATGGCCGTTGCTCCGGCTGCACCTGATGCTGTCGATATTGAGGTGTCTACTTCATCGTGGTGGTTGCAGATGAGCCCTTCGTACGTGTTCAGAACAGGCGTGCTAGAGCAACTATTTTCTCCCTGTAGTGCGAGAATCTGGAGCAGTTCCAGAAACGGGATTTCTAGTTCGTCTCCTGCATTTTTCTTCAGCAACTTCGTTGCGCTTGTAGTTTCGTCATCATGATCTTCAATGTAGTTGCTCGTCCATTTTTCCAAAATCTGCTCCACACGGTGGTAGTTGCCCTGCTGCACCAGATATCAAATGATGTAAAAGTGTCTGGGTCTGGAAGAGTCATGCTGTTTTTGCATGACGCAGAAGGTCTGGCATGGAAGCTCTAGCATCACAGGTTTCGTCGAGAAGCTTCTGCCATGCCGAATCCGCGTGACAAGTCCCCCAATTTGGTGACAGAAAGTGGGCAGCTTTTGCTACCTATGCATGAGAGATTTTTCTGTGTTCTGAAAAGCGCATTACAAGTTTGTATTCTTCCAGACCCAGACATTTTTGCAATGCATACCAAATTTCGAAGCTCCTCCGCCTTCTTCCTGCACTTGTTGCTTCTTGACAAGGAGACATCAAGAAATGGAAAGCTATCTAGTAGTCTTGGATACGTGTAGTTCTCAATCCAAGTCTGAAGATTTCTCGTTAGCTCTGAGGACGTCGACGCTCCGACTTCTGGAAGATCAGGTCCTCTTTGCAAATTGCTGCATGACGATGTTGAAGATACAGTAGATGCGGAGTTTTTTAGCAAGTCCAAGTTTAGCTTGAAAGTACCCGCATTCAATCTTTCCACCAAAAACTTCGATCGTGCGGCCTGTAGCCGCTTTAGCCGGTGGCTGCGTTTCGTAAACTTGTACAAGCCCTGCTGGCAAAGTGTAGCTGCTGCTGCTCTTCGGGTTGTAACTCCTGATGCAGGTTCTCCCATCGTGGTGCAGCTTTGTTCCATGCTGGCACCGAAAACGAGTTTCGAGGGTCGCATCTTGTGGTCGCGTTCTGGTTGTAGTACTAGAAAATAAGCTCTTGTTGTATGTAATTATGAATTAATCCGCAAATGGTGTTTCGTGTATTACACACTTGTCGCCGTCCGTATGCTGGACGAAGCAGCCGTATACTCTCCAGACTTAGCCGCGATCTACTGCAACTGGTACTTCAACAACTTCTGTCGCAATACAAGCACCATATCCACCGCCTCTCGTCTACGAGTGGTATCTACGTATCGTACTTGGATCATCGTACAACAGCGAGAATAAAGCCATCAATGCTTCTTCCACTTCCTCTGTTTTTTTGATCCTTCATTGCCCCAATGATCGATGTAGTCCTCTTGATCCTCCACCAAAACATCCTTGTCCACCACATACGGTGGTGATCGCCATACTCTGCTGCCACTGGAGCCCCTTGTTCTACACACGTCCATCGTCTCAATGCCAACCGAACCTCCAACTCGGTGACGTTGACGGTCAAAACCCGCACGCAAACGATCTGTCGTGTGCAAATGAATCTGATGCTGATCATCTTCAATCATAAACGAGGAAAAAATACTTCCACCTTTAACGACCACGCGCCGGTGGACAGCGAATGTAATGAGCAAAAGAAAAAACAAAACTGAAGGAGCAAAACACTTGTTTTTGAAAATCCTGGGTGATTCACACTGGTGGAAGAAGCTGTCCAGAGCGTGGTCAAGAACAAGTAGGTCACACCTACTTGGACTCTGACTCGTTCAAAGTAAAGAATTTTAGCTTGCTTGTTGTGCTCAGCTGGAAACTCCCGCTTCCAATTCTTCTTTCTTCTTTCTTCTCTCCCTCGTCGCTCGAACAATCATGTGAGTGTGATTTTCATTTTGAAGTACTGATTATATCTTTTCGTTTTAATAATTGCTACTCAGGTTATTTGCTTTCATTTGAACTTCTTGTGCGTCTGCTGTGTAGGGTGAACAATCTTGAACGTGAACGTGCTCAATTTCTCTTCCTTCGTCTGTTCCTTCGTACTGCCTCAGCGTCAGCGTCTTTAGCTTTTCGTTGTCCCCTCGCCTTCCGCATTTCCGATTCCCGACATCAAAGTAGCCTTCTTCGTCTTTACATCGGATACACCCTCCGCACCTCCGCGTCCAGCCACCCAACTCCTTCGTGCGCCGAGTGGACGTTGGGCAGGATACCGCATTTCTGCTATGCATTGCAAAAGCATCGTACTAGTAGCAATAGCATCACTAATTTTCGCGCGATGAATATAATGTAATTTGTCAAGCAGATTGAGGTGAACAAACAAATTTGTGATGCAAGGTTGCGCTTACTACGAGTGCGATACTTTATTTGCGGTGAATATCTGCCGAGTCCCGACAATTTCCGGCTCCCGGGCTCTCTGTAGCAGCCGCTTCATCTTCGGGGTTAAAGCGAGCGCGGAAGATAAGGATTCTTCATCTCCTTGCTCCACGCGTATTTCCCGACCGGAAAACCTGCGACTGTAGCTGTCCAAATCTTCGTAGAAAGTGTCTAACATCCTCCCGTCGGGGTATGGACTGAAGAAACTACACCTTTTCGCCCGATCCAATTTGTAATGCAGAGCATGAAGCGTGCACTGTTTTTGTCATGCTAAAATAGATGGGAAAAGTAGGTAGTTTTTTCTGTGAATACGAGCGGTTCATCTTCGACGTCTATTGGTGCGCTAGCAGCTCCGGGTCCGGAGGAACCTATTCTTTCCTGACTACTCGACGCATCCACACTACCTGTTGCAGCTGCAGGATGCTGATCCGTCGGGCCTGAGGAGGTAGATGCTGCAGAATGCTCCGCCACGACCGGGATGCTAGCATCCCAATCCCCCCGACCGTAGAGACTGTAGGCGCTGCCGTCGAGAATATGCATTGCAAAAGCATCGTACTCGTATAAATGCATTACAAATTTCCCCAGCATTAGAAATGAAATTTGTAATGCGGATTTACCTTGAGAACAAGATTTGTAATGCATGATTGCAATACGAGTACGATACTTTTGCACAGGATAGAGAAAGTGGATCAACAAAATTTCATCCATCTTCCCGGTCCAATACGGCCAGGGGCTATCCTGAGGAAATCGAAGAACTTCAACTTGAAGAACTACACACCGTGACTAGTATAGTTGGCAGAGAAAGGGCATTCTTATGGGGATAAACATAAACTCCAGATGAAGTTCAAATAAACGCATGAAAAATCATAAATGCATCTTGATGCCCCATTGACGGAGGTGCGCATCAAGGAAGAAGTGATCGGAGTTTCACAACAGGATAGTTGACATATTTGTTGTTTGGTTCGAACACAAACCAGTGCGGTATGGCGTTCTCAAATGTTAATACATTCTCAACGGTTACAGAAATTTGTGACGCAAGAAAAGGAAAAGCAAAAGAAGGGAGCTTGCACCTCTCGCATTGCAAATTTGGCACAGATTTTCATGCTGCTTAGCCCTTCAAAAATTTGTCATGCGAAATAGCTTCATCGTGTGGATGCTGATGCGCATTTTGCATGACAAATCATGTAACACTTGAGAAGGTAACCGATTTGAGAGATCCATATGCGGAACCTCGGGCGGATACCAGAGGTGTTGTTTGTTTTTTGTCGCAGCTGATGGTGTCTCTTCAGGAGGGGGTTCATCTGCCCCGGTTTCTTCGTTCACAGCCATCTTTTCGACCACTTCGTCGTCGCCTTGTTCGCTGCAAAAAGTAGACTCACCTGCGTCGTCCACTTGTCCCAAGTTGTCGCCATCTCCTATTGTTTCAGCACCGCTACTTCCATGAAGATCTTCTTCCACATGCTTTGGAAACGCGACTTTCTCGGTGTAGTTTAGAAAGGCCGACATTGCGCGCTGGTCGTGCTTATGCCTTGCAAATGTGTCTGGGTCGCCGGGAAGAATGCAAAACTTGTCATGCACATTTTGCATGCCCCATAATGTTAATGTCTGTTATGCATGTCCTAGCATCGCAAATTTTGTGAGCGCTTGCTGATGCCTATACCGCGTGAGAAATGCCCGGTCCGCGTAGCAAGAACTGGACTCCTCGTGCTGCATGCGCACTACAGATTTTTTGCAGGATCCAAAGACAGCATTACAAGTTCCACCCTTCCAGACCCAGACATGTTTGCTCTCGATAGTGCTCATATGGATGGTGGTAGAGCCAGATGATCAGCTGTTTCATCCATTCCTACCTTATCCACACGTAAACTTCCCGTACACGACTTACAGATGCTGTTACTCCATGACAAAATATTTACCTAAAGTCATTCGGCATGACAAGTCTCGGGCCCCTCATGCTTGGGATTCTTGGCAGAACAATTTGTCTATGCATCTTGCAGTACGTGTAGGTACAACCACGGAGATTTTGTATTCCCTATCCATTCTTGGCGTGCTTTTCATGAAGAAAAAGCCGTTGCAGATGCAGTCTGAGATAAAAGAGTAAGAGATCAGCATCTCAAACGGTTCTGCGCGGCTGTTTCTTGTTATTCCCCGTTGTATTTTTGATTTTGCCGACAGGTCGCCCTGCATAGTTTCACTTTCATTCTCCGTGGTTTTCTTCATCTGCTGTGATCTTCGTGTTGTGCTTTTGTCTGGGCGATTTCGATTTGTAGTTCTTCCACCAGCTCCTGCTGCTGGACACTTTCTACTTCTGCCATTAGTGCCCGTCGACGAGGATGACAGAGCTGCTGCTGCGCGGCCCGCGCGCTCCGTATTTGCGTCATTTTTCATTCCTTCCAGCGTATGGAAGCGTCAGGATTGAAATCGTCAAAGTTGAAATTTAGTTTGTGATGCATAAAATGCAGCCCACAAAATGCCTGTCTTGCAGAGTAGGCAAGGGAGGTCGATTGTGAGCCTGTTTAGGGTTTGAAATAGAGCTGCTAAAGTAGCATGACAAAAGCAGTCTTCTGTAACCAAACAGCATGACAAACTGGATTCCGGTGCTATGAAAATTTGTCATGCGCCGCTTGATAAGTGGGCTTCCGACTGGCATCCATTTTATGCATGACAAATCATTTCAACTTTGTCAATTTCAATCCTGACAGTTTCATACAGCGTGAGCAGGGAGTAGGCGTCTCCGTGCAGGGGGTAGAGCCCAACGTCTGACCGTTGTGCTATGGCGTTCTCAAATCGGTTACCTTCTCAACTGTTACACGAGGAATCTGTGATGCAAGAAGAGCAATATGGAAAGGGGCAAGCTTGCGAGTCTCGCATCACAAATTATTTGCAACAGATTTAGATGCTGTTTAAGTACCCCTTCGAGAATTTGTGATGCAAAGCACCTTAATCATCTTCTGGCGACTTATGGGAATGTTGCATGACAAATCATGTAACAGTTGAGAATGTGACGTTTGAGAGCCCCATATGTGCCCAGTCCTTGTACCGCTTGCTGAAGTCGAAATCGTCATCTTTGTGAGAATCTTCATTCAACGCAGATGAAGCGGTCTTCATCCCGAGTTCCAACGTGGCGTAAACGTCTTCTGTCGGATCTTGCACCAGGTACGCGCTATGAGAGTGCACAACTCCCCCTCCCCCTCATTTGTCATGAAAAAACCCGAATCCAATTGCTCCCTTCTGGCACTGTTTGCATGACAAATTCCGGAAGTGCAATCAGTACTACATTTTTAGGCTGCATATAAATTTGTCACGCACAGGCCCCATGTTTTTTGGTGTTTGTCTTGCTGCTCGTCGTGCCATACAAATGAGGGGGAGGGGGAGTTGTGCAATGTTATACGCGTCCAAATCCACCCAGAAAACGTCAAACCCGAGCTGATGCATTGCAAAACAAGTATCGCGCTCGTCCTAAACCCAAAACCAGTTGCGGATTTGCATGACAGATCTTCCTCCTATGCTAAAACAGCATTACAAATTCCATTTGTCATGCCTAGCTCATTTGTAATGCGGTTACTCCTTCTAGTTGGTACGATAGTACTTTTGCAATGCATAGAGTTGCAGTGCCGTCAAAACGATCGTGAACTTGTTGAGGGACGTATCCTGAGTAAAAACGTACCCACGCCAGAGTTGTAATGCAGATTTGCAAAGACAGGAAGACTTGTAATGCGCATCCCCATGAGAGCCATTTCCAATCGTGCTTTGGAATTTGTCATGCTGTGAACAGGATGAGCAGATGAATCTGTGATGCGGCTGCACTTGCTAACCTGCACTACGCTGCATAGTGCGACTTGTCATGCGTGACTCACAAAACTCCTAGGTTTGTGTTGCAACATCCTCATCCTGACTCTGGTGTGGGTACGTTTTTACTCAGGATAGGACGAAATGGTTTCCCCGATGGCACACCGTGGCCGTGGTGGAGAAACAAGAATATTATTTCCTGTCGAGGACCACGAGGACTCTGAGGATGATGATGACGGACTTCTAAACTCCCTGTCGCCGACCCTCTCGCATTCCGCGTACGTGTCCCAATCCAAGCAATAGAAGAGGAAGTTCGTCATGCGCAACGCCTTGAGCCGGCGGGTCCATCCGGCGATGTATTTTTTGTACTTTCCGTACACGAAGGACACGTATAGCAGCCGTCTGCCGGTTTCCCGGTTTTTCCCGTCCTGCAGTACCGTATCAAAGTGGAAAATACCCCCACCCCTGAATTTGCAGAAGTTTCTCATGCAAAGTCTCCAAGTGAAAGCCCTCTGTCTTGCAGGAAAGGACTATGAATCTTTCTGATGCAGAGTCTTCTAGGCGTATTTAGCATCGCTTGCATGACGAGCGCCACTCTTCCTGCGATTTTTTGCAATACAGATTTTTGCTATAATTCACGATCGAAAATCTGTGACGCTGATAGATGCAAGAGGGCGAGTGTTTCATTTGGAAGGGTTTGCAATACAAATGCTCCCAAGTGCTGGGGTGGGGGTATTTTCATTGTAGTACACCGCCCCCGTAATTTGCCGGACCAGCTCCACTATCCAGTGCAAAAGTATCGTACTCGTATAAATGCAGGTCTTGCATCACAAATATTTTTCTTAAGGTAAATCAGCATGACAAATTTCATTTCTCATGCTGAGAAAATTTGTAATGCATTTATACGAGTACTACGATACTTTTGCAATGCATATCCACAAAGGAAGGACGCCACCCGTAGTGGGAATCGCGATGGGAGAAGTAGCTCGCTGTTTTTAGTCCTGCAGCTCGTGTTGAGGTAGTAGCAATTATTCTCTCTGGGTTCTTTGATATAATCATCTCGTCCCGCATTTTCCCCTCGGGCCTCGCCAAAACGTCCTGGTCGGAAAGAGCACTGCCGATGAAACTCCCCATATCCTACGTAAAAACGCCCCCGCACCATAGTCAAGGTGGGAAAACTGCAACACAAATCTCCAAGCTTTGGGAGATCTGCATGACAAGTTTCCATTTGCAGTGTAGCGCTGGTTAGCAAGGAAAGCCGCATGAGAAAGCCATTTACTCTTCCTGTTTACAGCATTGCAAATTCCAAAGCACGGACTGGAAATGCCTCTCAAGGAGATGCGCGTTACTACAAATGTTGCTGTCATTGCACATTTGCATGACAACCCTGGGGTGGGGACGTTTTTATACAGGATACCCCAGGATCTTCGCCCCGTGTTCCTCCACACCGAGGGACTGCAGCCAGGGACCCGAGTCTTTCCATATCAGATATGGTGTTCTCAAACGTTACATTCTCAACTGTTACATGAATTTGTCATGCAAGATGAGCATCAACGTCCACACAGTGAAGCTGCCTCGCATGGCAAATTTTGGAAAACCTAAACAGCATGGGAATCTGTGCCGAATTTGTAATGCAAGAGTTGCAAGATCCGGCCTTTTCCTGTTGCCATTCTTGCATCACAAATTCATGCAACAGTTGAGAATGTAACAATTGAGAATGCCATATCAGATCCAGCTCGCCCCGGGAAAAATCCAGGTCAAACTTGTGCCGCCGCAGGGATTATGCAGTGCAAATATGTCTCGGTCTGGGAAAGAAGTAGTGCCAGGTTTGTCATGCATATTTTCCATGACCCGCGATGTCTGTGATGCTTGACGTAGCATCTTCACAGCTTCTGCGACGGCTTTCTGATCATGCTCATACCCCATGAGATGAAATGCTCTCTCGGCGCAGCAAAAACTGGAGCTCTTTTGCTGTTCATGCAATACAGATTTTATGTTCATCAGTCCAAAGATAGCATCACAAGTTCTTGCATTCGTCCAGACATCCAGGGACATTTGCAGTTGATAGGGATTTCCCGTGCTCCAGTAAGGCGAAAATGGGCCACTTGCTACCGCCCAGGAAGTATGCAGCGCAAACGTATCGCACTCGTACTAATTGCGTGTATGCATTGCAAATCTTTTTGTTTAGGCCAATCCGCATTACAAATTCAGTTTGTAATGCTCCTACCTAAGTCAATTTGTAATGCAGTTTATACAACTAGTGCGATCATGCTTTTGCAATTCATAGGAAGTGCAGGGACTCAAAAAACATGCCATTGACATGCTCGGCGTAGGCTTGGAAGGCAGATGATTCGGTATCCGCGGCCCAGAGCGCCTTAATCACGTTCGCTGTGTAGAGTCCGTATAGACACTGCTGCGAGCTCGTTGCCGTGTCTTCCGAAATGCGCTTGTCATAGACAAATTTGATCGAATCCAGCCACCAGGAGCGAAATTTGCTTATGGCGTTCTCAACTATTAAGTACTACATTCTTTTTGTGATGCAAGAATGGCAAAACTGAAAGGGGAAAGATTGCGCCTTTCGCATTACAGGTTTGGCACAGATTCTCAGCCCGTTTGGCCCTTCGAGAATTTGTCATGCAAAGCAGCTTGACTGTGTCGACTCTGATTGTAAAACTGCATGACGAATTCATGTATTAACAGTTGAGAATGTAACGTTTGAGAGCGCCATATTGCTGTAAAAATGCGCCTGCTTCGGCGTCTGGAAAAAGTACTCATCTGGTGGCTCATGCTGTTCTGGTGGAAAAACAGCCCTCATAAACGCTTTACCGGGCGGTCGGACGACCTGGTAGTAAAATCGGTTTTCCTTCTCGTCCATCTTTCGGATTATGCAAGAAAAAAACTGTGTAAGTGTAACTTTCTTGTTTGGCGGACAGCATCACAAATTTGCTCTACATGACAGAGAAAACCTGTCATGCGTGGCTTGTAAGAGAAAACCCACATCATAAAAAGAGACTTCATGGCTGTGTGGCATGACAGGCGTAACCCGCTGTTGCATGTTCTGCATTACAGAGTTACACTTTACACAGTTTTTTTCTTGCATAGGGATGAAGCTGTGTTCACTGACATCCGCAAACAACTCCTCCTCCTGCTCGAGCGTGCGATATGAAAGCCTCACGTTGGAAATCCTCACGGTGAAAATAATTTGAAATGCAAAAAAACGACTCTAGTTGGAGCACCTATTCTAGTTGGCGCATGGCAAATTTCCCGGGCACTCAAAGCGTGTCTGTCATGCTAGTCAGGCAAAGGGGTGCGTTTCTGTCATGCTAATCAGCACTCCAATTCTTAACCCGTAGAAGGACAATAGTCAGCCCCCAAATTGCGTTCTCTGCAATACAGTCTTTTTGGTGTCGCATTTCATGCATCACAAATTTTTCCCACTTTGAGAATTTCCATTCTGAGGCTTTCATATGCGAATGATGGGCGCCGGCCCGCGATTGTTGTGCGAGATAAAGAGAGGACTTTCTTCTACCTGCTCTGCAGGATCATACCCTGCTGCGGTAGAAATGGATGAATCATCTTCTGTTCTTTGGTCGTACAACCAGCGCCGCTTTTCCTCGTCATACGCCAATGGCTTCGGATATGGCCGCGTTTTCAACTGTTACATTCTCAACTGTTACATGAATTTGTGATGCACGAATGGGAAAAGTGAAAGGGAAAGGCTCTTGCGCCTGTAGCATTACAAATTCCACACAGATTTAGGCGCGGTTTAGCCCTTCGCAAATTTGTTATGCGGAGCAGCTTCATCATCATCATCATCATCATGTAGTGGACACCCGCTCCCAGCGCCACAGGTCAAGGATCCCCTCCCCGGGGGGTGGGCGAAGCAGCTTGATCGTGAGGATGATGATGGTGCTTTTGCATGACAAATTCACGCAACAGTTGAGAATGATACGTTTGAGAACCCCATATCGGAAAAGCCAACCGCATCCCGAGCTTCTCTTCCTCAGTGATCAGCAGGGTGTGTCTATCGTGAGAAAAAACTGTTTCACTGTGAACCTGTGATGCAGAGAGCGGAACACCAAAGTGTGTGTCTTGCTACACCTGCAACACTATGGATTTTTAAGCGTGTTTGCCCTTGGGAAACGCGCATGGCAAATTTTCTGTGTCATGTGTAGCAAACTTGTGAAGATGCAGATCTTGCGAAGCCATCACAGTGAAACAGTTTTTTTTTGTGGGATAGTGTCCCGTTTCGTCGACTTGTTCTCTATGCTCACCACCATGTTGTACTTCACGTTCAACGGGAGGAGCTGCTGTGTGATAATACTGGATGCTTTCTTCAAACCAGTGTTTCCTGTAGTCTTCCGGCCACACAAACAAGTCCCGGAATTCCGTCCAGGAGACCACGCTTTTTATGATAGTGCACAACTCCCCGCCCTTCCCCTCATTTGTCATGCGAAAACCGAAATCCAGTTGCTACCTTGTGGCACCGTGTGCATGACAAATTTTTCCAGAAATCAAAATAAATAGTACTAGTACACTCGGCGGATAAAAAACTTGTCATGCACAGCGTCCACCTGTACTGGTGTTTGTAATGCTGTTGATGCTCTACATAAGTGGTGGGGGACGAGGTTGTGCACTTTCATACTTTTGGATTTTTTGTCACAATCGAAATCCAAGTTTTCCTTGTCGTAGCTTGGCCAGTTGTAGAATGGAGCCGTGTTGTATCACAAGAAAAAACTATTTCACTGTAAGGATTTTGCAAGTTTTGCATTACAAGTTCGCTACACATTAAAGGGAAAACTTGCCATGCAACGATCCTAAGGGAAAACACTGCTAAAAATCACTTGCCTTGCATGTGTAGCAAGACAAACACTTCAGTGATGCATTTTCTGCATCACAAGTTCACAGTGAAACAGTTTTTTCGTGGGATATGTTGAGCAGCGCAAACACTGGCCAGTCCGTGCCGAGAAAAACCTTGAAGTATGGAAGTGTCGGGATCGAAATCGTGCAAGTTGAAATAATCTGTAATGCAAAAAAGCGATACCAGCTGGAGCCCAGTTTGCAAGTGGCGCATGACAAATTTTGGCAGCATGGAAATCCAATTTGTCATGCAGCTGTTTGAGCAGAGAAGACTGCTTTTGTAATGCTGTTTTAGCAGCTCTATCCCACACCCCAAACAGGCTTATAATCGGCCTCAGTTGCCTGCTCTGCAAGACCGGCACTTTGCGTCTAGCATTTTATGCATCACAAGTTTTTTCAACTTTGTCAATTTCGATCCTGACGCTTCCATATGAAATTCACGCCGCGTATAAGCTCCCGCACGTGTACCGAGTACGGCATATCCATAAAAAAGCAACTATCTGCTATCCAGTTTGTCATGCAAAACACGTATGAAATCCTGTGTTTGTCATGCATAAAAGGGATGCTGGGGAAGATGATTGTTTTTTTCTGGATACGGAAGGTAGCAATCACCCATCTGTTCTTTGAGCATGCACTGCATGAGGCGAACGATCATCAAGGTGAGGTAGCCCAAGTAGCGTATCCTGTGGAAAAATGTCCCCATCCCCTAGTCCTCGAGTTGGGATCTCTGCAACACAAGTCCAGACACTTTGGGAGAAGTCACTCATGGCAAGTTTCTGTCTTTCGCTGTATTGTACTGCAGGTTACTACTAGCGAGGGCAGCCGCATCACAAAGCCATCTCCTGGTCCTATTTGCAGCATTACAAATTCAAAAAAAACGGCTGGGAGTGCCTCCCTTGTTCGGGGTGCGGATTAATAGAAGCGTAGTTCCTGCACCTGCAATTGCAAATCTGCACGACAACTCGGCCTCTGTCGTGGGAGGGACGTTTTTCTACAGGATATAGCACTGCTCCACCGCCTTTTTTCGGACGCGGTCGTGCTTGCGGCCTTTCTATCAATTGCAAAAGTGTCTGGGTCTGGAAACTTGTGATGCAAGTCTGTGAATGATGGGCGAACAACTACAATACGCAGCCAAGCATGACAAGTTTTTGCACGTGCCATCATGTGCTTCGTTTTCCGCATGGCAAACTGCGTTTTTGCATGCCAGGCAGGAGGCCCCGGTCCTGCTTACGCATCACAGATCCAAGAGTCATACCAGACAAGCAAGACAAGTCCTGCATTCTTTCAGACCCAGACATTTCTGCAATGCATACTTTCTGCACGGGGAAATCAGTCCAGTCCTCCAAAAAGGCCAGCCCCGCCGCCCAATTGGTGACCATGGTGGAGCATTGCAAGGTGTAAGTATATTTGGTCGCCGGACACCCAATCTTGAAGACCGTGCGGAGCCTTTGCCAATCGATAACGGGTATCAAGTGCAACTATGTCTGGGTTTGGAAGGTTGGAAGACTTACACACAGACTTGTCATGCACATTTTGCAGGACTCCTGCTGTCTGTGATGCATGCCCTAGCATCACTGATTTTGTCAGGTCTTTCTGATGCCTATACCGCATGAGAAATGCCCTCTCACCGTGGCAAAAACTGGACCTCTTTTGCTATTCATGCAACACAGATATATCTAGAATCCAAATCCAGCATCACAAGTTGCATCCTTCCAGACCCAGACCACATATTTGCAATGCATAACGGGGTTTTCCACACGCCGGCAGTCGTGGTCGGGGAAGGGGCTGTATCAAATGCAAAAATGTTTGGGTCTGGAAGGATGCGAACTTGTGATGCACATTTCACGACACGCGCAAATCTCTCATGCATAGGCAGCAACAGATGCCCACTTCCTGTCACCAAAATGCGGCATTTGTCATGCGGATTATGCAAAAATGCGGAAGCTTGTCAAAACCTGTAATGCTAGGGCGTCCAGGACAGACCTTCTGTGTCATGCAAAAACAGCACGACAATTTTCCAGACCCAGACATATTCGCATTTGATAGGTCGTTCTCGATATCCGGGTGATACTGTGTCTGTTTGGCGGGGTTCAAAATCAAGTCTTCTCGAATGTTCTCGGAGCTAGGGCCGCGGGGAGCGGGAAGATTCACATTTTTGTGTACTGACGCAGGCCTAGCAGTTGCACTCGTCTTCGCACCACTTGTTCCTTGCCCAGCGCTAGGATGCGCCGGCTGCTGTCCTGCACAAGATCCAAGCAGGAACAAATCGCCGAGAATTATCTCAAGTGTCAGCTGCAGTAGTAGGAGCAGTAGAAATAAAGCGGCTCTACTTACCGAGTGCAGCCGGGTTCTCTCTCTCCAACATCTCGACGTCTTCCTGGGTGGATTGACGAGTTTTGCATTTGGATTTGCAGCATCGTGTGAAATAGAGCAATCTCCTGCAGCTCCGGCGCTCCAATGCCTGCTCTTGCCGCGTCGATACAGAAATTTCAGCACATCCATCCTGCTATTTTTCGTCCTCCCTCCGCCGGGAGAAAAACCGTGCAGCGCCGCAGACGGCGACATGTTGTTGCCTGGATCATTATTTTTGTTAACCATCTTCGTAGTTGTCACTACATCCGTCTTGTGGGGAGGAGAACGGCATCAACGACGTAATTCAAGAATGGCATACTAAAGCGGGGGCCTTGGAGATCTTAAAAAAGCAAGGCCATCCTGCTTCTGCGAGAATCCTGCATTTCCCATTTCTTATCGAAAAACAATGGGCATTGAAATCGTGTGCGATTCCAAGTAGAATAAGAAATGACATAAAAACATCTTCATTTATTCATTTTGTTACGATACAACTTCTACAAGTCAATAAGTCCTAAATTTATTTATAATTACGGCAGCAGCACACGCACAGGTAGAGGTACGGAACAATGGTTGCTGGCATTAGATCGGCTTCGGAACGAAATCTGGAAAAAAGAATGACACTACGACCGCTAAAAAAATTGGATCATCAAGAAGATCAAGAAAAAGAACAGGGCTAGAAATTGGAAGTAAGACAATCCCAATCATCACGACACATACACGCACACAAGTTTAGAGTTGTAGAGCCTAAGACCACAGTAGTGGAATGCTGGACGATCATAGCCAATTGGAGGATCTACGTCTTGGTAAATCCACCAACACAGCTCCCGCTATAGAGGAGGTTGCGTTGTTCCTGGCTCCTTCTAGAAGTAATGAATGCCTCCACTTCCAACTAGCCTTACCACTAGATGAAGGGACACGAAAGGGAAGACCGATTGGAATACGATTGTGCTGATCTTTCGTGTTTTGGTTCGTGGAAAGCAAGTTAGCGTGCCTCGAACGCTCTGCTCGCAGAGGTACTTCTCTCTCCTGCTGCAACTGAGAGTGAACAGATATATAATTTTCTTCGGCGTGATCGAGAAAGCCACGGCGGCACGCACGACGAGGGGTTCGTCATTCTCATGCTACCCGTTTTTCGTCGTGGGATGTCGATTCCATTAACATGTAAGTGGCCGCGACTGTCTCAGAATTTTTTTTGGTTTTTTTCTTGGTGTTGCGACGGAGGAAGTTTTCAACGGTAAAGCATCGTGAAAAATTTCCTTCCAATGTACTGGGAGAGGACGGATAAGATTCATCGCAACGAAAACTCGGTGAAATGCTGGTTTGTTATAAGTAGTTGGGAAAATACGTACATTATATGAGAAAAAACCGCACAACAACATTTTCATTTTGCAGGTCGTGTCATGTTGTGAATTGGGAAAAGAAAACTGTTTGGGTAAAGAAGAAAAACGCACGGAACATGATCGATCAGAAAATGGGGGGGGAATGAAAAATCTAACTGCTTTTTAGTATCGCGCTGAAAAAGATCTTAAAGCGGAAGGACTCCGGATCTTTATCGTGTTCGTTCTTGCAGCTTCGTCTACTTCACCTCCTGCTCTCGACGTCGGGCTGCATTGAGTTATGTCCTTCTACTTAGATAGTGATAGAGAACTCGCAATAAAGATTTTTCTTCACGCAGACTTCTCTTGCGTCACCTCCTTCATCTCGATCATGATCGAACCTCGACGAGCTCCATTTTCGGCGCAGGTGGGCAGCAGCACCTGACGATGCAAACGATGATGCCGTATGAAAGTGAAAAACAAAAACTCGTAGTGTACTACGCAGGCACAGCACCACAACGTGCGATGAAATGACCAAGTCAACGTGTCAGACCTGAGCTCTGCCTATTTACTCTCGACATAGCACCATTTGTTCAATGACCATTTCCGGACAGGATGAAGAAGGCCCAAACAGTAGCGTCACGGCAACATGGATCGAGAGATTTTCAGAAGTGCGATTTTTCTGTCTCATGCGCTGGAAACAACCGTCTCAAGAAAAAAAACTCAGATTTTCGAGGTGCTAGTGCTTTCTTCTGTTGCTGCAAATGGCCATCGTCAACATGTCAAATCACGGTGGGGAGCCTGTGCGAGGAGAGCACGACGAGTTGTTCACTTCTTTCGTATGCCGACTATGATCGCCACAAGCACGAAGCAAACGATAGCCCAACCCCACCACGGTATGTCCTTGAGCTTGAAGGTCGTTGTCTCGCCCCCGGTGTTGAAGCTGATGGCGCTGTCGCCGACGGCGTCTTCAATCGCATCTTTCGAGGAAGTGGCCAGCATGGCCTTGCTCGTAACGCGACCGGAGGTCGTGGTGACCTTCACCTTCTCCGAGGAGACCGCGGCCTCAACTTTCGCTTTCGAGGACGAGGAACTTGCGGCCTCAGCGTGAGCTTGGTGCTCTTGGTCTTGCTTCTCGGCGTTTTCCGGATGCTGAAACATCAAAGTCGCTTGCCCGTGCAGTTTCTGCTTCTTGCCCTCCCCAGCCTTGTTGTGCTGGTCCAACGCAGTCCCCAGCGCCAGCGTCGACGTACTTCGCTTTGCGGCGAAAGAAGACGCGGTAGCTCGAGAGGCGAACAAGAAAGCAGCTGGAGCAGAAGGTGTTGGGAGGCCTGTGGCTGTTTTAGAAGTTGTGTCCTCCATGTTGCTCCTGCTTTGCGGGTAGTTCTCCTTGTGGTCGGCGCGGCCGAGGTGTTTGTGAGCGACCCGCTGCGCACCACCGTCTTCGGCGTGGAAGAAGGTTTTGTGCGAGGTGGAAGGAGTTTTTGCTCTTCGACTTCTTGATGTTGTCCCGCCGCGCACCACTTCAGCCCCGGACACGAAAAAACTCGTCGCGCTTGATGTTCCTTGGTGACTGAACAACGAAATTGGCTGCTCCTGCGTAAAGGAAACTACGAGGGGGAGGAGAGAAGCCAGCGGGTTGTTGTAAAAACATGATGGCAGAAGTAAAAGACTAGCTCTAGCACTGATTTTTGAGGTTGTTGTAGCAAATCTCGGTGGATGTCGATAGTGCTGAGAACTGCAACTGCACGCTGCGGGCTTCCTGCTCAGGTTTGATACCGACATGTTGTTCTCGTCTTGTCGCGGCATCAGCCCGACGATCATTCTCCTATTTGTTTACCTAGTTCCTAGCACAGGGAGGAATGCTGCCTTAGAATAATAAAGCACAAACACTACGAGGGAATTAGAAGAGGGTCACAAAATGTCCGCTTAGGTCCTCAGGGGACCTTCGACCCACCCAGGTGGGTGGGCCTTAGGTCCCCTGCCCTAAAAATTATTACAAGATAACAAGGAGCCTAGACGTGACCGGGCGGGTCACGTCCGGCCGGCCGGCCGGATGGCACGCGACCGGGGGGCAATGGGTCGTGGCGGTCGGAGGTGGTGGCCGCCGGGAAGCGCGCTGCGCGCACCCGAGCAACGAAGAAAAAAAGGTCATGGGCGTTGCACTGCACTGGAGCAACGCCTCTCTTGCCCACGCTCCCCTCCGGGCCCGGTCACGCAGCCGGAGCCGTCAGCTAGCTCGTGGAAGTAGTCCATGCGGGCGTCCGATCGCAAAGGGTTTAGGGTTTACCCCTATAGGCATGCGAGTCGATGTTTCCGATTTAGGGTTCAAGGGTTTTTTTTTATGGCCAACGCGGCGCAGGCTAGCGTCGATGCTCTGGTGGTGTCGGCCTACTGTTACAACACACGGCGCAACCCCCGGCGAATCACGACCGGAATAACCGCACCGATACCGGTACCAGCTAGCTCGGGCGCCCGCGCCCAACCAAAAAAGCAAGGTCATGAGTTCGGCCCTTCACGGAAAAAGGGACGACTCCCTCCCCTGGTCTGCCCCCGGTGTCGCGAGCTTTTAACCCGAGCTTCCAACAACTAAGAAAAAAATCATACGCTAGGCCGTTGGCTGTCTTTCTCCGGCGGCTCTGCACATTGATCCAGTCTGGGGGGATTTTGTTTTTTAAGAAAGTAGCCCCTCTCTGTACATAGCTGCTACTGCAGCGGCGCAAGGGAAGGCCAACGCTGCTTAACCGAGGGCCGCAGCTGCTGCTGCATTCAGCGCCGAAATCGCCCCGAGGCAGGAATGCCCCCGGTCCCGTGCCGTCCGGCCGGACGGACGGACATGACACCCCCGGGCATGTCTAGGCTCCTCGTTGCCCTGTTGTAACTTATGAAGCGGGCGGACGGCGTGGCGTCCACCGCGGACGCCAGAAAACTGAAACGGGCGGACGCGAGCTGTGGCGGATTCATAACTTAATTTTTTGGGCAGGGGACCTTAGGCCCACCCAGCTGGGTGGGTCGAAGGTCCCCTGAGGACCTAAGCGGACATTTTGTGACCCCCTTCTTATGTTTTTTTATGTGGCTTTTGCTTGATGAATTCTTATGATCAAATCAAAATCTACTTCTGGAGGAAGACAACTACCACGAAAGGACCTGGAAAACAAGCTGCAGCTACTGCTGATAATGACTGCAAACTTTCTTCGACGCTTTTCTTCCTCATAGCACGATAATAAGCATGAACGACTGCCACGGGCTGCGGGCCAGCGGTGAGTATAACTTAAACGAAAAAATGGACTTGTTCGTCCAGCAAGCACGTAACAAGCACAACGACGACAACCGTAGGTTTTGGTTTTTGTACGTAGAAGCAGTACAGTAAGGACGAGAAGTACAACGGAGATTCTCCGCAAACGTCATGTGCACGGCAAAAGAACTACCGATGTAGGAGTTGCAGTTCGCAAGGATGAGATTGAGAACGCAACACGAAACCGATACCACGAGGATAATAAAACGATGTTCAAATCATGTTGTAGATGTACCGACTCATCCGCCCTGATGTTCCGCGACATATACTTGCTTCGGAAACAATACTGACCGAGAAACTTCTGAAGAAACCGAGTAAAAACACGACGCGGGCTGGTGGAAGCTACTTCACGTCGAGGTGAACTGCCATCCTGGGCGAACATACGACCACAACAAGGTACTAGTTCCCTACGCCGCGGCTTGTTCCTTGTCGCAGCGGGGGTCAGCTCAGCCTGAGCTTGTCGAGTAATTATTTTTTTTGTGTTTTCATTTCCGAAAACTCTTTATTTCAATACCTGCTATTATACGTTACTAATACTTATTTCTTTCTTGGGCGGGGAGTGGGGTACAACAGAGACAGCGTGTTCCGCTTGGCCTTTTACTTTTTGCGTCGTCGAGTGGTGAATTCGCTTCGTTCTGAATCTGAACTACAGCAGTGGTGCGGTCTATATCAAAATGAAAATGTGGCGTGAAAGCGAAAACTCACCTCGTCTGTGAGCAGCACATCGTGATCAACACTTGATGATGCGCACCATCAGGAGAGGACGAGCGCGGCAGTTTTATTCCTCTCGTAACTAGAACTGCTCGTCCAGTCGTCGTCCTGCTGCAGAAATAGCCCCGGATTTCATTTCATGCAGCAGATTCAGAGTTCAGCCAGCTTCAACGTATATCTTCTGTTTCATCTTGTCCAATCAAGCGAATATTAAATAACAGCTGCTAGTGAGTGGCTGAAACTTGGAAATCAAGCCTGTGACGAGTGAAATGAAACAAAAGTGTGAAGGTGTTGAATAAAAAATTCGTGGAGGGGTGCTCCATGAACTTGTTGGTGACGTCCTCCACATCGGGTATTTGTTTTTCTTCGACTTTAAAGATACCGAAAGGAACAAAGCGAACAATTTATTTCTACTTCTGGTTGCACCGGCGTAAACGTTCTAGAAGTACTACTAGAGTAGGGGAACTACTGCCACTAGTACGGTAGAAAAACGTCGTGCTGGTGGTTCCGATCGCGAAAGGCATTTGCGGAGCTGACTTTAGGTGGGGGCGAGCCTGATTTTTTTTTTATCGGGGTTACCATTTTTTTGTCTTCTTAGAAAGCGGTATTTTATTGCTATTGGCGGGGTCGATCCATGGATTGATATAAGCTGCGTGTGGGGGGAAGAACGAAATCGAAAAATGAAAAGTCGAAAAAACAATTGTGCTCTTGCGTGATGTAATGTTATTCAAAAAAAAGACGTAAAGTACTGCGATATGTTCAAAATAAAAATGCGTAGCAAAAAAAAATCAAAATACTGAGTTGTTCAAAATGAAAATGCATAGCACTAAAACGGTGCGATAAAAACGTTGAACGGAAAGAACGGCTTCAGAAGATTTTGTGTATGTTGATCAGAGTAGTCGCGAAAGTGCTTTTGCGTAACGTCGTGCATTCTTGTTTAGCTTTAAAACGAAAAAAGAAGATCCAGAAGATGCTGATGCGGATAGTGTTTAAAGTACAGAAATAAAATTTTTTTGCTACTTGTGCTTCGTTTCAGAAAAAAGAAAATTATGTGTAAAGCAGACTTCAGAAAAATGTGTTAGTGTTTAGTATGAAATTATGAAATAAAAACCCGTGGCTTTTTCGTGTTGTTAGTTGATCGAGATCCATGAAAATTTTCAAAAAAGCAAGTCGGTACATAGAATTAGAAACAATGGTGACATCTTGAAAAAGCTTGTTTTTTTTTTAATACTAGAACAACTATAAACCACACACCTCAAAAAAAGCTTGTTCCCAGCACTCCCAACTCGTCCCTCCTCGCGGCCCACAGAGGGCGTGGAAGAGACCACAGAGGAACGCATCTAGTACGGCGGGTAGTTGCAACATCACAAGTCAGTGGGCGCTGAAAACGTTTATTTTAGGCTGCTGTCATAAAAACAAATCTACATCACGGAGTAGTTGCGGCGCTAGAGGGGTTACTTACTTATTCCACTTTCTTTTCTTTGCTACCACTTCATCCCGGGCTTTCCTTTTCCCATCATCATGCCCTTCTTGCTATCCCACAGAAAAAACCTCACAGGTCTACAACTTCACACCTGTTGTACTTGTACAACTGTCATGCACGACTTGCACAGATAAATACACAAAAAACTACCAAAAATCTGTCATGGGTCCTCCCCGGGCGTATAGCACAAACATGCAGTTCTTTCCAGCAATGTTACAACACATACAGATCTTGATCTTCATTTTTCATTCTGAGCAGTCTGTCATGTATTTTTGCATCACAAGGTGAAAAAATGTGCTGACCTGCTAGCTTTCTTCCTTTGGATACTTTCCCATCATGCTATGCAATACAAATTTCCCGTACATGTACAACATGCATCACAAATTCTACCAATTTGGAGCGTAAAATTTGTCATGCTAAACTAGGATAGAAGCCAAGTTTTGTCATGCATAGACGCCATCTGTACGTGTACTGGAAATTTACTGTGAATACATGCCGCCACCCATCATGCCGCCACCCATCATCATGCCCGTCTATCCTGTGTAAAAACGTCCCGAGACCACCCAGGGTTGTCATGCAAATCTGCATGCTAGAAATGTTTCTCATGCAGCGCAAGGCTATGAGCAGCATTTATTTCTCGAACTGTGGTCTAGGACGACTTTGTCATGCTCTAGTCACGACCGGGAAGATCAGGAGCTAGATATTTTGTGATGCGGCTTCACTAGTAGCCAACCATGAACAGACTTCTACTGACCTAGACGAGACCGAAACTTGTCATGCGCAACAGCCAAAGACCCCTGTTGATCATTTGCTTCGCAAAATATTCCTCATCTTGACTACTTCTCTGGGGTGTCGGGGGTGCCGTTTTTCCTCAGGATAGCTTCTTGCTCATCATCATGGCCTTCTTTCCTCCCATGGGGGGCATCATCTTACCGCCGCCTTTCATGCCCATCATCATTCCTTTTCCACCTCCCATCATGCCGCCCTTCATGCCTCCGCCCATCATCCCAGCTGCGTATCGAAAGAAAAAATCCCCCCTCCCCATATTGAAAAGGACATTTCTTGTGATGCTGGATTTCTTTGCGTACACAAATCTCATTTGTGTCTTGCTAGAAGGCCAAGAGAAGCAGTTGTGGCCACCTGAGTTGCAGGAAATTTGTGATGCTGTTTCCCACTTGTCTAGTTGCCTCCTGTCATGCGGAATATGTAAGGCATTCCCACGCGGCCAGCCAGCACTACAGTCCTCATCTTTTGCCTTCTAGCATGACAACACGATTTGTGGTAGCAAATCATGCTACACAAATCTCCGTCTTAGGATGGGGAGGGAAGATTTTTCATTTTGGTACTGCGGGCGGGCCGACCATGGGGGGAAAGGATCCGCCGGGCGGGCCGGCGGACGTGAAAACGGTGTAGGCCGTGATCACTACTATGGACCTGTCAGGATCGAAAGTGACAAAGTTTTAATGCTTAAAATGCATGACACGAATTACGTGCATTGCAGAGCAGGCAAGTGAGGCTCCGACTGTAAGCCTGTTTGGGTTTAGAGCTCGAGCTGCTAAAGTACTAGCATGAGAGAGTCAGTCTTCTTTGCCTAAACAGCATTACAAACTGGATTTAGGCACCACCAGAATTTGATGTCATGCGCCACTTGGAAGCTGGGGTCCAACTGGAATCAATTTTATGCATGACAAATCATTTCAACTTTGTCGATTTCGATCCTAACAGTTCCATAACTAACAGCACGCTGTTGAAAATCACCACGAGGAGCACCTATCCTGTGCAAAAGTATCGCGCTCGTAGTAAAAATCGCAGTTATGCATTACAAATCTAGTTGGTTAGAAGGTATAAATCCGCATTACAAATTCAATTTGTAATGCTGAGCCAATTTGTACTGCGATTTGTACTCTAGTACGATACTTTTGCAGTGCATAGCACCACCATCGCAACAGCGGAGTTGTCCAGCACGGTGGCCTCCGTGGTACTGGTGCTCCCGTCTACTGCTGTACTTGGCACCGCGATACAGCTCGCCGCATTGACAGCGCCAATCAATTCCGGGGTCCCCGCGTCCTCTCCCTCCGCCGCCGCGTCGTCTTCTTCTGTCCGCCTCCTGCGCCGCGAATCGTCGTCAGTGGTTGTCGTAGTCGTGGACGTCGAGACGGAATGTGCCGTCAGGGGCTGATTGTTGGGGCACTGCATGTATGCATTGCAAATATGTCTGGGTCTGGAAACTTGTAATGCCAAAACTGAATGATAGACGCACTGCAATTACGCAGCTATGCATGACAAATTTTTTGGCTGCGATGTCTATTCTATGTCTTACGTATAATTCCGCATGGCAGACTGGGTTTTGGATGACAAGAAAGATGGCTTATTTATTTTCGTGCCTATGCAACACAGATAATTCTCGTCGAGTCATGCCAGACAAGCATGACAGACTTCCATTCTTCCAGACGCACCAGACATTTTTGCAATCCATAGCATGCAGGCCGCCTGCCCTTCGCGGGGTCCGTACGAACCCGGGGGACAGGGGATGCAGGATTTTGACACGGTGGCTTCATTTCCAGCGTCCGTGGCGGTGCGAAACATGCCGCGCATTTATCATTTTTGGCAACGTCCCCACCCCATAGTCCAGACGGGAAATCTGCTTGACAAATCAGCAGGCTCTGGTCGTTGCGCATGACAGGTTTGGCCTCGTAGTGTAATGCTGTTCTTGAGCTAGTTCAGCAGCATCACAGATCTGGCACATCATGCTGGTTCGAGCATGACAAATTTATTCCGAAACACGACTAGAAAAAGCCTCCCATGGCGCTCCGCATGAGAAATATTTTTAGCATGCAGATTTGCATTTACAAATCCGTGGGGTGGGGGCCTTTTTGCACAGGATAGCATCGGCTGGTACGTGCCCGCGGGACAGGCTTTGCACGAGAAGCTCGTGGCACCCATCTCGCCCACATATCCCGCTATGCATTGCAAATATGTCTGGGTCTGGAAGAGTGTAACTTGTCATGTGCCATCTGGATCGTGGAAAAATTTGTGGTGCATGATTACCAAAAGAGGTCCACTTTTGAACAAGTGTAGAGGAAGTTTCTCATGCAGGAGCGGCATGATAGAGATCTCACAGAACCTGGTGTCATGCTAGGCCGTGCATGGCAGACCGTGTGGGTCATGGAAAACCTGCATGACAAACCTACCAATCTTCCAGACCCAGACATTTTTGCATTTGATACCCGCATCGCACATGCAATTTTCGGAATTGCTCACACCGGAACAGGCGTACTTGCCGAGCAGCAACCGCTATGCATTGCAAAAGTACCGCACTCGTACTAATTGCACTTCTGCATATACAAATCTAGTTGCCAAGGAAAATCCGCATTACAAATCTAAATTTGTAATCATGCTGAGCGAATTTGTAATGCAATTCATGCTAGTACGATACTTTGGCACAGGATAAACACCGCTCGTACTTCGCGAACAGACGGGTGAGGACGTCCGGCTGTTGGGTGAGGTATATCCTGAGGAAAAACGTCCCCAGATGCGAAATCTGCTATACAAATCCGCCAGCTTTGGTTGTTTCGCATGACAAGTTTGTCTTCGTACTAGTGGAATCCTGTTTATTAGCTAGTTCAGAAGCATCACAGATCCAGCATATCATGCTGATCCTAGCATCACAAATTGCCAAATACGAATAGAAAATGCTTCTCATGGGGCTCCGCATGACGAACTTTTTTGGCATGCAGATTTGCATGACAAGAACTCTGGGGCGGGGACGTCTTTACACAGAATAAGGTACGAGGGAAATTCGCTGGTTCCCGCACCACGCGCCGTGGGATGGGGAAATTTCGCTTTGCAACTGCTGTAGTCGGACGACGTGCGCTATCCAGGAAAAAACACCCATCTTCATCCAATTTGTCATGCAAAGCATGCATAAAGTCCAATGCTTGTCATGCAGAAAATGGATGGGGATCATGGGTGTTTTTTCCTGGATATGCGCCATTCGTGAACCTTCTGGTAGCAGATGTTTGTCGTGTCGCAGTTGCTCCAGATGGAATCGCATGCATTGCAAAAGTATCGCACTAGTGCGACTAGTAGAAGTAGCATGACAAATTTTTCCAGAAACAGACATGAAAGCTGTAGTGCTATTAAATTAGCTGCTTATAGAAGCCAGATCTTTCATGCATGATGATTGCAATCAATCCGAGTGCGCTAGCGATACTTTTGCAGAGCATAAGTCGTCCAGACAAGCGGTGTCGAAAATCTCCGGGGGAGCGCGGAGGCTAAACGTGTCCCCTTCTGCGCCTGCGGGTGTGCCAAGATCTTCTGCGTTTGGATTCCCGTTCTCATTTTCCGCTTTTGTTTCGTCCGCGTCGAGCCTCGCGTGCCCCGACTTCGAGCAGGTTGGGTCAGTAAAGATCTCGACAACGCCACCCCTCACTCCTCGAGGCATATGAGAGCTAATAAGCCCCTCGCCCATTTGACCTTCGTTGTTTCGTGCATTAAGAATGCGAGCACTAAATTCCTCGTCTCCGAGGTTTAGCTTGCCCACCTTTCCCAGAAAGCCGTGCAGCTGCAGGCACGCTGCATCGGAACGAAACCGCGACGAGCTGAAGAACTCCTTGTCGAACGTCGAGACGGCCCACACGTTCCTTCCGTTTGCGAACCCGGTACGAACATGATCGTACTTCACCAGCTGGAGCCTGACCGAGTCGTAGCTCCCCTGCGGAAAGCGCGCCCGGAAGCTGGCTACCTCCGCTGTGAGGTAGTGGCAGCGCTGTTGCGTGACAGGAGCGACCATCGACACCGCCGCGGCAGCTCGGCAGACCTGGATGCGCTCCGCGCGGTGCGACAGCGTGCGCGGCATCACGTAGTTTTTCTGGTAGCCGACGCCCCCCAGGTTGACGACGACATCAGCTTCAGCTGGCGGTGTCGCGACAGTCGTATCACCCGCGTAGGTATCCTGTGCAAAAGTCGTATCGTACTCGTATAAATGCAAGTCTTGCATTACAAATCTTGTTGCCAAGGCAAATCAGCATGACAAATTCCATTTCTCTTTCTGAGGAAATTTGTAATGCATTTATACGAGTGCGAAGATACTTTTGCAATTCATAGTAGGCTGGGAGGTACGAACAGCCGAAGGGGAGCACGTCGGAGTACGTGACGCGGGCAGACCCGCCCGCCGCGAGGCCGGCCGCTTGGCCGCACAAACGAGGGTCCAGCATGTGGTATCAAGTGCAAATATGTCTGTTTCTGGAAGACTGTCCTTAAAGTTGTCACGCAGGAGGTTCTCCATGACCCCTGAGGTCTGGGATGCGGGACCTAGCATGACAGACTCTGCGAGGTCTCTGCCATGCCTATCCTGCGTGAGAAACTCCCTCTACCCAACTTGGTCGAAAGTGGACAGCTTTGGGCACTCACGCAACACAGATTTTTGCATGATTCGGGTTTAGCATGACAAGTTGCAACCTTCTAGACCCAGACATATTTGCAATGCATAAGTGGTGGGCGTACGTTTCGCAGCCTTTTAGCCCTGCCGCCCGGTGGAACTCCGCTTGTGTAACGGTTTGTGCCTGACGCGCATAACAGACTCGAGCGTGCTTGCCGTTGTTCTGGTCAAAGTTCAAGTACGAGTTCCCCGGATTTAACGTCACCGCCGGAAGATTCGCTATGGAGGGGGAGAAGATGACCATCGCAACCATATACACCTTTGCGGAAGGTTGTTATGTCGCAGTGAAAAGTCAACCACTACGCGGAGTCTAAGTCAATTACAGTAGCCGGAGGGAGCTGCTTTACTTCGGTTCTGCTGTGCCTGTGCTTTACAATGTATAAATGGCAACTTTGCGCTCCTTCTTTTGTAGTATTGTAGAGACGGAAAATAACCAGGCGATAACACGCACACTAAGGCTTGGCTGCGATGCGCTTTTAGCTTTAACCATCATCATGGCACATTCACAAAAGTGCAAAGGCGTCGTGGAAATAATTGCGATGGCATTTTCATCCCGGATATTTGCGGCGGTGGTGATACTAGCTGGCGCAGGCGTGTCGGCGGCGAAATAAATGCCAAAGAGCAGCGGCTTTGTAGTTGCTGCAGGGCTGGCACTTGACGGCGGCGTGAATCTGATGGGCTTATATCCGAAGCGCGATATGCCAAAGAAAAGTCCGGCCCTCTCCCCAAGGTCAGAGAAAAACGTCTTCCACCTGTTGCGATGTCTCACTGTCATAAATGGCCACTGTGGTCGTGGTGATTGCAGGGCGCCTCAGGATCATCACAGGCCGCATGCTTCGGTATCTAGCACGGCCATAGCCTCGCATGGCAAGCGCGTCAGACCCTGAAGACGTCGGCAAAAAAGCACGATTTTAGTGGTTGTCCGCATGGCTATGTTTCGCGCAGCTCGCGTCTGCCCATCATACAGGAGAAGAAGACATGACTAACTTGATGCAAATGCACATTCCGCATCTCATTCAAAACACATCAGGATCAGGCACAGGGGGCGCCACCCTAATAAATATGCTGTGGGGCGGGGTGGATTTTTCTCTAGAATACACGAGCCGCTAATCTGGCGCTCAAGAACTGCGACGGTGTCGGCTGGTGGCTGCGCGCCGTTAAGCACAGGGCTGTGCGTATCACATAGAAAAGCACACCCATAGAAGGCACTACTATAGATACGTTGAAGTGCAACTCGCGAAGTTGAATGCGTTTCTTCGTTTTGTAAAGAAGACAGCTCTTTTTCGATTTCCATGGAAATTCGACAAAACAGGATCCACTTCTGTGGCTGTGTTACGCAAGACACAGTGCTTAGTCGTAGTGCTTAGGGGCCACCGCGCTCGCAGCATTAAATGCCGCCGCATTGCAAGTATGCCATCGAAGTGGCCGACCCGCAGTGCTCTTGGCAACGCGCGTTGACGTCCATGCCTGTGCACTTTCAACGCAGCATATGAAGCGTCCCGTCACAATATTGCCGTGCGGGTGTGCATTTCTATTTGTTAGTGCAGGTGGAACCCGTGGAGGCAGTCGCTGCCTGGGGGAGCATATCAATTGCAAACATGTCTGAGTCTGGAAAAATGAATAAACTTGCCATGCTTGTCTTGAAGTCTTTATCTTCTGTAAAGAATCAATTATCTTGCCCGACCGACAAAATCGCAGCAAGTTTTGTAAATGCAAAAACGCAATTTGCAAGGCAAACTGCGTTCGAGGGAGCGGCCCAAAGGTTTGCCACTCTCGGCTGAGACTCCAAATCCAAGTACTCCAGTCAGTCAGCATTCATCCGCATCACAACTTTCGAGACCCAAACATATTTGCAATGCGTAGAAAGACTTCCAGCGGAAGGCCAGCAGTGGTTGTCCCTTGGCAGGCTTGCTATTGAGTGCAAAAGTGTTTGTTAGCGTCAGCGACTTTATTTACGCACCACATTCTACTTGCAAGAGCAAGACAAACAACCACGATCATGGCCGCCTTGGGCGCTGTGAAATCCCAACTCAGATCAATTTGAATTTTGCCTAATTCACGGACAGCGAGCATAATTGCAAAGTGCGCTAACGCTAACATGTTCTGGCGCGATAGTTGCACGCGGTGGCAGATGGCGTGTTGGTAGAGCGGCACGACCGGCAAATAGTCTTTCTCTCCGCTAGACGAGATGGGTCGGCGAAAAATAATCTTGTTTGTACGCGCGTCAACCCGCAGCTGGAATGGGAGACCTGCTGTGGCTTATCAACTGCAAAAGTGTCTGGGTCTGGAATGTTGCCGGGTTTGTCATGCATATTTTGCATGACCCAGGATGTCTGTAACGCACGACCTAGCATCACAGATTTTTAGAGGGCTTCCTGATGCCTACCCAGCATGACAAATGCCCTCCCCGCATAGCACAGACGAGACATCTCTTGCTGGTCATGCAATACAGATTTTTTTAGAGTCCAGGGTTAGCATCGCAAGTTCCAACCTTCCAGACCCAGACATTTTTGCATTTGATATGGCTAGTTCGCTGTCTGTGGGCATTTCAATATGCACGGAAAACCTGTCAGGGCCAGGGAAAACGTTCTGCCACAAGTGCAATTGTAGTTGCCCTGCCGCCACGGTAAAAGACGCTGGCGTCGGATTCTCAGAATGAGAATACGAACAGCTAGTGCGTTAGTCTATGTAGTCGCACTGCATGCAGCAGCTCGCGGAATGGCAAAAAGCCTGACAGACTTCTGTAAAAGGCAAATCCCGTGGTCACAATATTATGCTAATCCGCGACACAATAAATGATTCTCTGCCAGCGAATTAAAATCAACGTAAACCTTCAACAAGGCGTCGGAGAATGCGAGGACAACACCATTAGAAGCACACATCAAGGCTTCATGTTCATGGTCCCTGACCCTGTCGCATTATTTGCATTTGGTACTCCACACCTTCGAGCACCGACATTCGGCCGGATACTTCGTCATACAAGGCAGTGCCGCAACTGGTGAGGACGTCGGACACAATCACCGCCGCGGCGCTTTATCAAATGCAAAAGTGTCTAGGTCTGGAAGACTGCGAGGTTTGTCATGCTTGTCCGGGATGACCAAAAAGCTTGTGATGCGTGTCCAAGACGAGACCCTTTTGCCTGTCATGCAAAAACGCAGTTTGTCATGCGAAAAACGCTACGCAAAGAAGCGCAGATGTTTCTCATGCTTGGCTGTGCATTGATTACAGAGCATTCCCTATTCCCAACGCAGCATCACAAGTTTCCAGACCGAGACATTTTTGCATTTGATACGCCTCCCGTGGGAGGGTCCACTTCCAGCGCGAACCCCAGGGCGCACGGACGCCCAGGAGGAAGAATTTCGTACGCGCCGGACTCGCAAACCTGCGCGCGGAGGCAGACGTTGAACGCATCCGGCAAGCGGGTCCCTATCCTGAGTAAAAACGCCCCCGCCCCCAGTCAGGATCTGCGCTAAGAAAAAGAAGTAGTTTCAGTCATACAAGGTTGCAAGTCAACATACAAGTATTGCGAGGCCGCGCAGTGAAGTTCTCCTCCCTGCCTGTTGCCAAAGTGTAGTCAAGATAGTTTCCTGCTGATGATCTACCCGCATCACGGAGATAACTTTCCAGAAACACACTATGTATAGTATACGCGATTTGATGGCCAAGAAGCAGCCTCAAGCCCCGGGGCTGCTTGACTAAAAGAAACCCCCAGAAGCCTTGGCGGGATACGCATCGCCAGATGTGTTGGTCAGAATGCAACTTCATTCTTGCCAGGCTTGCATGGCGAATATACATATCAGGTGATGGAGAGGGCGTATAAATAGTTCTCCCGCAGGATAGAATTGGACGTGTAGCCATCGTGGTACAACGGAGTTCGTGCAGTCGCCTTGGCACGATTGTAGGCAAAGACGAAGCTGTCGGTCGGGTAGAAGTCGAAATCGCCTGACGTTGTCGTGGTTTGTGTCGTGGTTGTCTGTAAGTTGCTGACACAGCCATAGCCACTTACCTTTATGGCTTCACCTTGAGCCTGCCCCGCTGTCGCAGTAGAAGCTGTAGCAACCGCAATGTCTGCGGCAGATACGTGCCCGTTCTGCCACGCCGTCGGCGTCTCCGGTGTAAGGGCGTCTGCCGCAGTGGCGCCGGACGCGGCTCCTCCCGGAATGTTGGCAAGGCGGAGCCCATAGCTGGCCGAGTGCGTCGCAAGAGGGGGAGCGGCATTGGCGCCACTTACAAGCGGCTCGACGAAAATTGCGGCTCCAAGCGGTCTTGCAGTCAAATCACCCAAACTCGTGGCTTCGCCCCCGACCGATACAAGCAGACTGAAAGAAGCGGCGCTCGATCCTATATCAGCCAAGCCGGGATACACCAGGTTTGTGAACTGTTTGGCGTATTTCGGATTGCCATTTGTGTCACCCTTATCGGACTGCACTAGTAAGTCGTCCTGCAGTCCAACACCCTTGCACGACGTTCCCGCAACGTGAAACCCGGCCGAGCAGGTGGCTTCGGCGTGCAGGATTTCGAATGCGGGGCCCGCCGCGCGGCTTGTGCGGCAGAGAGGGAGGTACTTACTGGGCTCCACGAGGGAAACAGGGGCTACGTTGCTTTTATGCAAATTGAAAGAGCGCGCGCTTTTCTGGTCAACAAGGAAAAATGGTTTGGGGTTCGGGCACCAGGGCAGGCGGCGTTGTCGTGGTGGTTTTATTTACTTTTTCTAAACACGCCACGCAGGGGCGTTCTTCTATCTAATTTTTTGCGTGCGCGCCGGGGCTATGGCGGAAAAGGAAAAGGTGGCTGCAGGGGCGCCGGCATCCCTCTTCAGATATGCTTTTTTCGATGTGCGAGTCACAGTCGAAATTGTATTGTTGCTTAGCGCGAAGGTGCGGTCTATTCCACCAGATTCTCCATCCTACAGCGCCAGTAGATCCACTAAGAGCACATCCCACCGGCGCTTGCTAAAAATCGCGCGCAAGTGAACGCGGCGCATGCTCCGCTTCCTTCGCGGGCAAAGCCGGGGCAAGACGACCATTGCGACACCTGCAGTGGCGGGTGTACTTATTCTCACTGACCTGCTTGCTAGCACAGAGCTCAGCATGAACATATCTTTAACAGGTTGGCCCTGCTGGTAAAATTGCTGTACTCTGGTTGATCTGCCCCCTGCTGCTCGTCCTGCGCGCTTGATGTGGATTCTTATTCTTTATCTTTTGCAGCTTGTCGTGGATGCTGAGTTAATGACGCGGAGCAAGAGGTTGATGAGAGGGGCACCGGCGGGCAACAACAAGGTCGTGCCCGCGGGAACTAAAAGGCAGCCCACCACTAAGATGCTGTACCATCTACAGCCCCCTCGGGACAGCCACTCGAAGCGGTAGTGGCTGACCCTACAACCAGGAACTGCTCTGGGAAGAGCGCCTCTCCGGGGGTAGTTCTGAGGTGGTGCGAAAGTGCAATACACAGCATTCTTGAGAACTGATCACACGACACCAAAAATCCAGTATTAAAGCACGTATCCAGTAGAACTATGAATTTCCCCCCTGGCCCAGCCACAAGCCCATGAAGCAAATGCTTCTTGATAATATTACGTAATCAATTTCAATACGCCGAGGACACCGACACGGGGAGCCCAAGAATATATATAAAGAAAATGCTTCCTCGCGTATCAGTCTTCAGTTCTGCTCATGCCATTTTCTATTCCATGATATGATCCCCGCAAACACGATGACCAACGCGCAGCACTTTAACAAATTGCAGCAGATAATTGATCACCCATTGGTTATCCTTGGCAGCAACAATAGCGTTTGGGTCTGTCACGAGCGGACACGTGGAAAAGTGGAGATACGCCGCGCCCGAACCGGCAGCGTCGTGAACAGTCATGTCGCTCTCGCAGTCTGGATTTGGGGGAAGGTCCTGGGCCCCCAGCTTCCACTTCGTGGCGGTTCCCGCGGATGTTGGAAGAATATTGCTCTCTTGTGCCTCGTTGTATAGCAAAGCAACAAACTTGTTCCGGTTAGCCGCTGCACTGCTGAAGTAGCAGTTTGTGTATTTGTAAGTTTCACCGTCGGGACGGGCATATGCGGTTGGCAATTGAGTCCCGAGCGCGCTCGTCGGATCGCTGAAGATGTCGGGTCGGCATTCATCTGCAGGAACGTGAAACCCCGGGTGGCATTGCGCCATGATGCCCGCTCCGAAATCATCTCCACTCGGTGGTACGTCTTCGTTGTCCTCGTCTTCGTAATCAGTTATTTTGTCATTTGCTGCGGCTCGGTGAGACTCACCAGAGCCGAAGGAGCTGACGCTCAACACATCCTTAAAATATAAATCTCCGAACCTGGCGGTAGTGGACATAGGTATGTACGCACCACTGTTTGTGGAATCATAAAGATTGGGAAATGCGTCGTCGTTTCGGATACCAGTTTTTGCGCGTCGTATAAAGGGACAAAATAGAAGCACGCGGAAACTTCAAGCCGGGGCGCTTACGTAAGTATGGCCCCACGCAAATAATGAAAGTTGCGGATGGCATCGGCCCACCAAGTACAGTGCGAACCCCCATAAAACAAAAACAGCGCGGCCCCGATGGATTGTAATGGCTCGCCGCGTTTTGGGTTTTGCCCCATCCTGAAAACGGAAAAACAAAAAAGCAAGGTCGGCGCCTAGCGCAATTACATCAGCTGTTGGTGCGCAGCTAAAGCGTAGCTGCGCGGCTTCCGCGAAGGCTAAAATCGTGGCAACCTTCGCGAGAAAAGTTGCCGGGGCTTGCGGCGAAAAAAGTCGCAGGGCGATAGTGCGTACAACATAGGTGCGACTTTCGTCTGACAACCCACTGCGCGGGTAGTTCGTGGGGCGATGATGTTTTCTGCTTATTTGCAACATTCTGTAGACTGGAAAAGAAAAAAAAGCCAGGACTGAAGCTGCGCGTGGATTCTATTGTATTGCCCATTCATACTCAGAGTGCCGAGGCCGACCGCAGCGTCAGCCTCCTTGTACGGCGGTAGGAGACTGACACGCCCATCCCTTGAGGGAACAGAGCGCAGGCAAATGATTCGCTCTACGTGTGCAGTGATGGTGCCGGATTCCCCCTGTCCGCTACCGCCTCCGCCCCAGCGAATCCCGGACCTCTCTACTTCGGTATCATCGGTAGGGGTGGCGGCGTGGAACGCGTAGCAGTGGGAGTACGAAATAGCATCGTCGGCGGGTCGTGTCCAATGCGTGTCAAAGCTGAGGCTTGCGGTGAAAGAGTCCTGATTGCCGAGCTTGCTTTCAGCGGTGCACACTTTGGCAGCGTATTCGCAAGTCTCCTTGTCCGGAACGGGCCACAATTTTGTGTCAACAGCTCCCCCATCGTCGTCACTGCATGTTGAGATGGCTGCACCTTCGCCGTTCGTAGTTTTCTTGATCGCAAATGTGTGGTCGCAGAAGATTAATTCGTATCCTGTGCAACAACTGTATCGTACTTGTACTAGTAATCGCAGTCGTGCATTAATACGGATCGCTTTCCCAAACCAAACTAAAGGTATCCGTATCGGAAAATGCGCATTACAAATACAAATTCAATAAATACAATTTCAACCCTTTATTGCTCGCATTACAAATTCAATTTGTCATGCTGAGCCAATTTATAAGTGAATGCAATTCACACCAGTACGATACTTTTGCAATTTATAACCCGTCGGCGCCGTTGCGGAATGGTCCAAATGCGGCAGAAACGGGAATCAGAAACAGGGTCGTCTATGCTTGTGGACAGCTCCCCCAGCCCGCCCAGCCCCCCGCTAATATTTCTCGACGAAGGGTTTATATTTATTACAGCAACAGGAACTACGACTATCGCAAACATGCAGCTTTTACATGACAAAGTCACGCCCGTCGACGTGGTACCGCTGTTATTTATAATTGAGCCTGCAGCTCCTCCTGCAGTAAAACTTTTCATGCAACTCAGATTCTTGCCAGTAGTCTACTGGAAAACGGAAGAGTTAGGTAAAACTAGACTTTGGCATTTTGCATGGCAAATCAGGGGTAGGAGGCGGGTGCGTAGTTGTCCACTAGCATATCGGCAACTCGATTCCCAGTACCAGGTGGAGAGCTGCCAGGAGTTCGCCTCTGCCCCATCGAACCCTTTTGCTTTTGCTCTCCGATCCTCGCGCCGCGGCTGCCTCCTTCATCTCCACCGCTGCAACAGAATGTCCTCGGCATGAAGGCGCTGGAGTGCTGCACGTCATGTTTATCTTCTTTGTCAACATCGTGCTGTTGGGGTCGTTTTCGCAACCTGCGACTGTTAAAATTATCAATTTAATGACTCGGAGTTTTTGAGTAAAGTGCGAAATTAACTTGCAGCAGAGGTATTGACAACTCCTCAACGGCGAATAACCTCGAAGTACGTAGTCCGCACTACGAGCACGGAACAGCGCAACAACTGAAGCAAGAATGTGTGTGACCACGAGGACTACAATGGAGAAACAAGAAAAATTTCCAGACGACACGGAAACAAACTGAGACTTCAAGCGAAGTAAGATTTAATCTGCTCAGCAGCTGGAAAGCTAGGCTTCTACTTGCGGGTAGTTCGTGCGGGATTTTTTTTCTAAAGGTGGTTTACCTACGTTGCTTTGTCCTCCTGCTTTTCAACATTCTAGCGAAAGAGACGAGTCCGAGTCGAACTTAAAGTTAAAGTTGTGTCGCAGCAGCTTTTGATGTGTTACGATCGTCACCACGCCTACGAGAATAACAAGGACGACAAGTTGTACTACAGAAGGAACGGAGAGTGCAAGACGCTGCGAAAGTTCTAAATGTGACGGAAGAAACAAGTCGTGAAGATGGGAGGACGACAGAACAACAAGATTTCTCCGGGTACTACGTTTTAGTCTTTCACTACTTCACCTTGTGTAGTAGTGTGGATGCACGAACGAAGGAACGAAGAGAGACGAGGACGAAGTGGCAATCTAGCACTATCTGTTCTTCAGCGTGTGCCATAAATTTATTCGTGTACGATGACCGATTTCATCTTCTAAAAATCTTCTGTTCTCCGATACTACGGATGGCATGTTCACCTCCTGCACAAGTGGATTCATGTACGAATAAAAACGCGCGAGTCATATGCTATATCATCTTCATGGTGCGGTAGTCGTAGTTGCTTTTGAGCTGTGCAGCCAGGGCTCTTCTTGAGTCGGTGTCGGATCCCGCTAGACAGAGCGTACATTTCACCAGAAAACATAAGTACTCACAAAGGGAAACATCAGAATGCAGTTTCTCCTCCTGGTGCCAGGATCTCGAAGGAAATGTAGGACCACCAGCAGAACGCAACTCATCCCACGTGGATGACGAACAAGAATTTATTTATAGTAGTACCACGATCCCAGCAACGACGCCGCGCCTCAGCATGACAAACTAAAACTTGTTCGCTGATTATACGATGGACACACGTTTGCACGTGTGAAAATGAAAACGTTGAGCAATACCTTAGAAGTAATAAAGGGCGTCGGAGAAGATTATCAGCATTTACTTCGCATTCGCACCACTTTATTTATTGGTCGGTGTCACTCGTTCAGGATCTACTGGATCTGACCCGAGTCGTGCACAGCAGGCAGGAAAGTAGGGTGGAGACCATGTCCTGACAAAACGTGAGGTAGAAAAGGTACTAAACTGCAAACGCGATACTGAAATCATGTTCGTGGTCGTGCCATTGAAAAACGGCCGAGTCTTTAATCATCTTTCCTCTTATTTCACCACACCCGACCGCTTTCCTTTGAAAAAGTGGCTCCGGAGTTGTAAAGTAAATGAATTTACTATCATCAGGGGTCGTTCCAGGTTCAAAATCAGATTTTAGTTCCTGTTTCTGTTAGTTTTGTCTTCGTAGAAAAATGGTCGTAAAAATCGGATGTAATATTTTTAGAGATAAACTACATTTTTGCAGCAAAACACCTTGCGGAACTCATCTTGTGTTTCATTTCATTCAACTCCTGCTTCAGAAACTAAAGCACGAAGGTGTGGGTGAAGATGAAGAATTTGTATCGTATTCGTAGTGCAATCATGCATTACAAATCTTTTTGTTAAGTCAAATCCGCATTACAAATTGGTTTTCTCATGCTGAGGAAATTTGTAATGCATTTATACGAGTGCGATGCTTTTGCATTTCCTAATGAGCTATGCATCGCAAATTTGTACACGTGGTCGGCGCAGAGAGTGCTGTTGTACGTAGATTTAGAGCACAATGGATAATATTTTCTTGATGTCATTGTTCCATCTCACTACAGCTGTAATTTACAGCAACTTAAACTTCTTTAGAGTTCTACTAGTTCACCTATTATTCTTCCTATCTTGAACGCCAACAAGGATAAGTCTAGTAGCTCGATGAATGATAATTCACAGAGCAGGAGCCAACGCGTTCTCTCACCAACCAGGCATGAAATTTGCTGCGGATATCTTCCCGTATGCATGCGGCCAACGGTGCAGGAATTGCTGCTCCTGCGGCCAACATGTTCTCCACGCTGCTCATCGACGGTTGGAGATACAAGTGCAACGTTGACGATGAAGAATTTGTATTTGATTTTGAATTACTTAATCAAGAAGCGCCCGAGCATTAATTTGCTTTCAAAACTAATTCAAAACGAATTCAAAAGTCTTCAATTTTGGAAATGTGGGGTCCGGAAAAGATGTATTAAAGCGCGGAAAAAGCGAGCTCCCGCGCAATTTTCGGGGACAGTCATTTCTGCGCCGTTGCCACATCAAAAAAAAAATGGAAGGCCCGATCCACACCGGGGAAAAACACAAAGGAGGCGCACACCTGGGCGCGTGGGTAGCATCGATATTCTGCTCGAGGAGAAAAAAACTCCTGCGGCTTCGCCCAGTATTCCTTTCCACAGACTACGCGACATGTCGAACACGACGCGAGGCAGAGTCTCCGCCCCAAAAAATTGCCCTCACCGAAAGGTCCCAGATCGAGAGTTCCGAAAGCCGGCGCGACAAGTCATCTCCCGGAGCAAAACGAAAGAGGAACAAAGACGAACTCCTCCGCGCGCCGAAGGCGCGCCCGCCAATTTTGCAGGCCAGATCCGCTTGCCAGGGCGGGCCTGTCCAACCCTCATTCTGAATTCACCCAAATTCCCAGCCCACGTTTTGAATTCGTCCTAAATCCCAACCCTCCTTTTGAATTTGCCCAAAATCCCAACCCTCCTTTTGAATTCATGCAAAATCCCAACCCTCCTTTTGAATTCATGCAAAATCCCAACCCTCCTTTTGAATTCATGCAAAATCCCAACCCTCCTTTTGAATTTCAAAAAGGAGTTGGGAAAGGGTTGGAAAGGAGTTAGGAAAGAGTTCAAAACGTGGATACTAAGTACGTCTAACTCATTTCCAACTCCTTCCCAACTCATTTCTAACTTATTTTCAACTCTTTCCCAACTCATTTCTAACTTCTTTTCAACTCACGCAAAATCCTATCCCAATTCTCGCCCAAGCCTTTGCCTCTGCCCACATGAAGTCTCCTCTCATCTGCTGCGGAAAGAGCCCAAGAGTGTCACCCTGGTAGGATTGGGGACCGCTAGCCAGGACTAACCACAAAAACCGACAACCCCACCACACTTTTCGCCCTAGATCAATATCGGGAGACAGATGGAATCCCGTCGGGGCCGTCGCCTCTGCCTGCCATAGGGAGCGCGCGACGAGAAGAGCACTCCAGAATAGGAAAGAGGCCGGCAAAACACGCAGCGAAAATGTGTCACAAGCACAAAAGCCGCCTATTGGCCTCAAACATGAATAGACAAAAACTCAGCCCAAGATCGCCCGAATTCCGTCGGGCAGTGCGAGAGGTGGGGGGCGGCTCTACGGCGAATATTTACGCGAACAGCGGCTGCGCCGCAACTTCTTTGGCCGCATGGGCTGAGTTTAGTTTCAGAAACTAAAGCACGAAGGTGTGGGTGAAGATGAAGAATTTGTATTTGAATTAGAAGAGGGCCACAAAATGTCCGCTTAGGTCCTCAGGGGACCTTCGACCCACCCAGCTGGGTGGGCCTTAGGTCCCCTGCCCTAAAAATTATTGCAAGGTAACAAGGAGCCAAGACGCGACCGGGCGGGACACGTCCGTCCGGCCGGCCGGACGCCACGTGACCGGGGGTCAGTAGGTCGTGGCGGTCGGAGGTGGTGGCCGCCGGGAAGCGCGCTGCGCGCACCCGGGCAGCGAAGAAAAAAAAGGTCATGGGCGTTGCACTTCACTGGAGCAGCGCCTCTCTTGCCCACGCTCCGGACCCGGTCACGCAGCGGGGGCCGTCAGCTAGCTCATGGGAGTACTCCGCGTGGGCGTCTGGTCGCAAAGGGTTCAGGGTTTACTTTGAGTAAGGCAATAAGCGGCAGACCCGGTTACTCTGTGAGGATCCACCCTTCCATGATTTCTCGCTCAAAAACTTCAGGATTTCTCGCTCAAAGGCTTGCGCGATCTCTCGTTCAGACGAAAATCAGCGCGGCGCATCTTAAGAACACAAACGCAGCGAAAACGATCTAGGACCCGCTGCCGGCCTGTTGCGATGAGCAAGGGGCTTCTGGGTGCGAATCCGTGCCTGCGAAGGTTTCGCACTTTTCGGCGCGAGCTTCTTTGCGCGTACGAGTTTAGCGCGACTTGCTTGACGATCGGCCACGACGCTCTACGACCTGCGCGACGACTTCATGATCTTTACCTACATCGAAAAAAAGAACGAACCGATCCCGCGGCTTTAAAGCTGCGCACTCTTCGTTCTTACACAAAGCGCGGGGCTGTGCTGGCACCCGGGATGCACAGACTGCCCGCGGGAAAGCTCCTTGAGGCTCGCGCCCGCCAGTGAGGCAGAACAGGCCACGGCAGTTCCGAAGCTGCAACACGGCGACCTTCGACTGTCTGAAAATACATCTTTCACGCGAAGACAGTCACTCTCTTCAATCATTTTCAACGTAGAGTTACAATTTCCACCGAGCGCGGTCTTTTACTTTTTATAGGTGGAAGCATTGATAAAAGTAATGGCCATTGAAGTGTCCCGCTCCGAATATTCGCTGCGCGAGCTCGATAAATCACGGCGTGGCAATGTCGAGCGCGCCTGTGTGCCACTAAGTATTCCGCGCGAGTTCTGGATTTCTTATCTAGATGAAATTACTTCTGAGATAGAAAGCACGTTGCAGTGTAGATGTCCACGCCCTGCTTGTGCTTTCCTGGCGAGGCACAGGGAAACCCAAACAAAGCGTGCGAAGAAGTGGTGGTGTGGTACTGAAGTGTGATTTTTTGCATGTCAAAAAACGACTTTGGGTTTGTGACTCTATATATTTGTGCTCCACTTTTCTGCGCAGTCCGCGGCGCGGAATTCACAGAAATGGAGATGAGAACCTTCATTATCGACCGTACATATGTAGTGCCTATCATAAGACTGTAGAACAAAGCGCGTTCTTTCGTACTTCTTCACGTTTGGATTCCTACTGGGCAGCGACTGAAGATTAGCATACCGACTATGAACAAAAGACTGAAGGAGTTCTTGCCTCGTTTTTCTTGTCGCGCCATGTCTAAGATACTTACTTCCTTCCTGGCCTTGCTAAGTAAAAAAAAGTCGGGGAAGCTAATTTTGAAAGCCGTTGCTTGCCGAAGGAAGTCTTCTCATTTCTATAAAAAAAATAAAGTCAGTTTGGGCCAAAGCTGCTGGAGCTAGAGGCCCCACCCAGGGACGGGAAAAGATTCTCCTCTTCTTCGTGGCCCGTCGACGGCTGATTAGCACCACCGCTCAGGGAACCTGTGAGTATATTGAGAAGCAGAATCTCGATCGAGGAATCCAACACAGAGCAGCTGCTATCTACTTACGCGCGACGCAGTCAGAGTGACGACTGTAGCCCTTCTGTGGGTGAATGAGCACAATTTCGCTACCGCTCAAGCCTCCGGGGTGCCAGGGCTTGTGCGGGCCATAGTAAGAGCTGAAGGATGGAAGCAACCGACCGAAGAGCGTCGCGTCGTGTGCGTTTTCATTGAGTAGCTGCGCCCTGTCACGCAGGGCGCAAGCCTCTAGGTTCGCACTGTCACTCTAGACGCCTAAGGTCGTCGCTATAAAGTCGAAATTCAAAATAAGGAGCAGCTTCAGCTCTAAAGCACTAAAGCGATGTTTATTTTTCAAGGAAGTGCTTCTGCTCGGAGGTAATGCGAGGAGCTTAAGTACCAGCCAGACTCAACAAATCCATCTGCGTCGTCTTCTTGGCCCCAGCTTTCGCCTTCGCTTTTGGTTTCCCGGTGCTACCCTCCTCGGCCTTCCGCTTGATCCCACCCTCACGGCCCGACTTGGTGTTGCGAATCGCTTGCATGAATTCGCTGCCCGGCCTGTCAAACGGACCGGATCCGGGGGCACGCCGGGTCTCCGGAGTCACCAACTTGCCCTGTTTCTTCAGCTGCAGCTGCGCCGGCGTTAACTGCTCGTCTAAGAATACGACTTGCATGTGGTACAGGTTTCTCTTCTTCGGGTTCTCCTCGTAGTACTCGTAGTACCCTTTCTGCAGCGCGGTGAGGTTGTGCAGCCCGAAGATGTCTCCAGTCACCTCGAGCCGCAAAGAGTGGAACTTGAACTGACCCAGGTGGTACCTTTTGTGGGCCGCCGTCATCGCCATGCCGTAGTACCTGTATGTCGAGCGATTTGGCGTTTCTTGCAGAAGCAATAACGGGCTGTCTGATAAAAAATGGCACTGCTCTGTCTGTCTGCAAAAACAGAAGGAAGTAGCTACTGTCAGTGAAAAGAGGAGGGCAAAACGCAAGTAAGTACTTTTTCCGGTCCATTTTGTACAGGGCCGCCCGCTGGCCGTCCATGTAGTGGCCAACCACGACAGTGCACCCAGCGAGGTCTGCGACCTGCTTCCAGAATTTGTCCGGCTTGTGCCGCCGGTAGCAAATGTCCTCATCCTTCGGAACGCGCTTCGGCTTCATTTCGGCCTTCCAGCCATCTGTGTTTGGGGTTCAGGCTGCATCAATCAATCCTACAAAAACTCCCCTTCAAATCGGGAGCGCATGAACTCATGTACGTGAGGGCGAACACGAATAGAATAAAGGAGCGAGAACTACAAAGCGAAAAAGTAGAACTTCATATATTGCAATGCAAAACCAAAATGGAGCTTGAGTAGATCCCCGTATATAGAAAGCAAAACCCCAAAGGGGAGTTTGAAATTATATCTCCATATAAATAAGTACCGTCCTGTTCATCGTCGACCTTCACGGACGTCGACTTCACGCCCTGTTTCCGCACGAAGCCCTGCTTCTCTTCTTCCGCTCGCAGGTTTGCGATCGGCCCGGCATGGTGGCGCCTTGATTCCTATATGGAGTTCTCAGCCGCTAAGCACCTTTCACGAGTAGGCGACGCAAGAGGAGGAGCGATAAAAGTGGGGACCTGGCTGTGGTCTGTTTTCTTTGCATTATTTAGAAACCCGGTCTGCGCGAAAGCGACTACTTGTTGGCTGTGGCCCAAGATGCAGACTCGACTTGCATGACAGACTAAATTTGCATTACAAACAAGATGCCAAAGTAAACGTCTGAGAACTCCATATCCTTCGGGATCGGGGGGTAATACAAATTCCTCGGCATCTTCGGGATATTCGTCAGCGCCTTCTCGATGAAGACCGCATCGTGGTGGTAGATATGCACAACAAAGAAAGTAAATCATCACGCTAGATAGTAGGGATCGCAGCGGGGGATTGGGGTTGCGTCTTTATTTCCAAAAGGGAAAAAGGAGCGTGCCTTTTTAGTTCTCTAGTGCGCGAACCCTTTCTGCAGAAAACTCCGCCCCTGCGCGGGCGCGATGAGTTACGCGGACTGTTGCCATGCGTATTGGTTGTTCTCTTCGTCCGTCTTGATCGGAACCAAGTCGATCTCGCGGACGAGGGCCGCCCCCATGCCATCTTTGAAGTCCTTCAGCGCCTGCTCATCCGTCCCACCCAAGAAGATGTAGAAGTGGCTGTCAGAGTATTTCTTGATCAGCTTCGCCGTCTCTTTCACCATATCTTGTGCACCCCCGGAGTATTTCACCTTGAAGGGAAATTTCCCACCGATGCCCCTGTCGTTCAGCACGCTCAACGTGTATCCCCTGCAAAAGTATCGCACTCGTATGAATGCAAGCCATGCATTACAAATCAGCACTTGCATTACAAATCAGCACTTGCATTACAAATCAGCATTACAAATCAGCACTGCAAATCATGCATTACAAATCTTTGTCTTAAGGAGAATCAGTATTACAAATGTAACTATGAGGCAAATCTTCAGCATTACAAAAGTCTCATGCTGAGGAAATTTGTAATGCATATATACGAGCGCGGTACTTTTGCAATGCATAGCGTGTTGACGTCCACGATGTGCAGGGGCTGTTTTTAAATTTTAAGAGCAAGGGCTTCGCTTTGGACTCGCAACATCATTCTCAGCGGAGGCACGAGAAATACTTACTAGTTGGAAAAACTGGGACTTGCGCTCTTGCCCGTGAAAAACTAGAAGAGTTGTTGAAATAGCAGAGCAGGTAAGTAGCAGCAGGCACGGGCGCTTCATTTCTAAAAAAGCTGTACGGTTTCATCTGGCGTGACCAGCGGATCGATTTTGTTGCGGTTGTGGTCCTGGTGCGGCTCGGCAAAATCCGGGTCATCATAGTCCTGGCCGAAATTGTCGACGATTTTGATCTTCTTCGGCGGAAGAGCGCACTTGTTCGCCCAATACCAGTCCGCCGGGTCCAATTTCCCCGTTTTGTCGCTTTCCTTATCTTCCTCCGCGGGACCGGCGTCCCCGGCATCGTCATCCTGCTGCCGCAACAGAGCCAGCTCCTCTTCCGGCGGGGGGGCCTGGAACCAGGCATCCGCCACGGAAGACGCCCTCTTCTTGAGAAACATTTTTGCCTGGCGTTCCGGAAAGATTGCGTTGCTTATCAAGTTGTTGTCCTCGCAGTACTTGATGAGCGCGGTCTTGAACTTTCCCCGGTTGTACTGATATTTGGCCCAGATGAACTGCAGGTAGTCGTCTTCGTTTTTGTTGGGGAAAATGTCTTTCATCACCGGCGCATCCCACGACTCGCACTGCTCTTCTTCCAGCATCATCATCACACGGAAAAATACGGGCGGGTGGCAGATCCATGATTCACTTTGCATAGCAAGTCCGTCTTCCTTTCGCATAACATAGTCGAGCCCCAGAGTTGCATAACAGATCCGTCCGCATTTCGCGTATTTGCATTACAAATATACCACCCCTGCATTTTTCTCTACCATAGTCTTCAGGTGCTTCCCGACGTCGTAGCGCTTGTTGTACACGGCCTTGGTGTACTCCGCCCCGTCCAACGTCTCCCCGATGACTTGGTGCGCGAAAAAAGCGTTCCGGTCTTTCATGTAAGTTGCGGCGTCGGTCTGCTTGAACTTCTGGCACTTTTTGTGGTACAGGCTGTGCTGGTGCCAGGGGCAGACCAGCAACCAGTCGAGCGTGCGCTGTTGGGTTTTTGATTGCGCGTTGAAAAGTGTTAGTTTGAGATGAACAACAAGAACCAAAATCATCAACACGCCCTCAAGAACGCCACTACTGTAAAAACCAGACATGGGGCCTCGGAACTCCTAGAAAGTCCATAATACCTTCTTAATCCCCGACTGACGACAATCCACCGCAAGCTGATACAGGAAGCCCAGCTGGTTCAGGACGGAATCCGTCGGCACGTCGAGCTTCCGGTTGGCCGCACGGATGCTGTGCGATTGATTGGAGCAGAGGCGTGGATATTCTCTTTTCGAAAGCAACAGGACGAAGTACTTAATCGACCAGAAACAGCCACTTACGATCGGCCCCAATAAAAAAACTCTAAGTATGCGCCCTCCTTACCAGTCCGCAAACCCGTTGGCCTTGTTGTCTCCTTCCTGATGAGTATTTACAGATGGCATTCTGAGCGGAAATGATGACGAGTCTCCAAACGCACTCTGAACCAGGTGACTTTACTGCGTTTGTCATGCTGAGCGCACTCGTCACGCGAAGACTTAGCTACTTTGTCATGCTTCAGCTCGGCCGATGACCAACGCTTTACCAAAAGTGTCACTCTACAAGGGGTTTGCAATGCTCCAATAGCTAATCTTATACCTGGGCGATCATGTTTGCGATCGATTGGTACTGCGGGGCGGTGGTCGTCGTGAACTCATATCCGGTGTTGGTCAACGCCTTGTATTGGTCCCTGTGTGCGAATTGAAGTGGAGTTCTGCACTAGCAACTCTCTCATCTCGGAGGGAAGGCACCGACGAACAACATGGGGCGAGGACAATCAGATAGAGAAATCAAAAACTAATCCAAAGTACAGGAATTTGAGGAGCACAATTTGGGCACCGTACAAGCCCCCTCCGTCCTCGCACTTCTTCCGGATCGCTTCCCACGCTGAAAATATGAATTCAAATAGATAAGTGCATTATATACTGCCTCAGCACGATCTTCTGTCTTCTCTCGAAAAAAGGAACCACTTGCGTCATCGCATGAGCAGACGTGTTGGCCTTCTGGGTAGCAAAATCATCATCATCATCATCATCATCATCGATCGTCACCTTTGCAGATTAAAATGAGGTCGGCCGCCTCGAAGGAGTACACCTTCAACTTCTCCAGATTGTTGATCAAGCCCATCAGGTCGTCGACCTCGTCGACGGCCACGAAAATGCCTTCGCGCGCCAGCCTCTTGTAGTCCTTTTCCTTGAAGCAATTCTCTCCCTCACCGACTTCCAACGCCCCATTCTGGTCGAAGCGCAGTTTTCCCCGCAGCAGAAGCTATGCACTGCAAAACCATTGCACTAGTATAAATTGCATTACAAATTAACGCAGAATTACAAATTTGAATTTGTAATGCTGATTTACGACGAGAGAGAGACTTGCAATTCATAAATGCGTGATTTACGATGACGAGAGCGAGATTTGTAATGCATAAACGCAATGAATTGCATTACAAATTAGCCCAGAGCTACAAACTTGAACTTGTAATGCTGATTGACCTTGAGAAAGATAAACGCAACGGAGTTTGAGTTTGTAATGCTGATTTACGTTGAGATGAGAGAGACGCAATTTATACTAGTGCGGCACTTTTGCACAGGATAGAAGCTCGTAAATAGCAAAAATCCCCGCCGTTTTCGACCATTTGCCGTTCTTGATCATGGTCACCCGCACCGTGTTCGGGTCCATATTGAAGGCCATCTTCAGGATGCGTTGCTGTTTGTTAGGTAGATGCTTGTTCACTTGAGGCATTTTCAGAAGATGGCAAGGCGCAGGCCCACAGAGCAAGAAAAAAGAGAACCTAAGTAGGGGGAAACACATGAACGCAGCAGCTGAAGTACGCTGGTGGGGGGCCCGTTGGTGTGTTCGGTCTGCTCAACAAACCGGCGTGGTTTGTAGAGAACATTCACCTTGAGAACCCTGCATCCAGGAAGAAACACCCAATCCCGTCCATTTTTTGCATGACACCCCCGCCCTATTTGCCAACCTACAATGCTGTAAGTTGGTAAATAGGCCACGGGTTTTCATGGGATCCGCCGTAATGCTGTAAGTTGGTAAATAGGCTGGGGGTTGGGTGTAAATATCATGCAAAAAATGGACGGGATTGGGTGTTTTTTCCTGGGTATCACTCCCGTAGCTCCGCATATCTCGTCTTCTGCCTCGGAGTGGTACAAGTTTTCGATCTGCCCCACAATTAAACCTAGGAAATTTTAATGGGTTTGGTGTTGGACAAATTGAGAATCTTTTCGACAAATACAACAGCTTCTGGGTCTCTGTCTGGAAGATTCCGAGATTTGTCATGCAGTTTTTCCAAGCTCCAGCAAGTCTGGAACGCACGCTCTAGCGTCACAGCTTCTGCAGCCCCTGTGCATGAGAAATGCCCTCTCAACATGGCGAGAAATGGGGACCCTTTGCAAGTCATGCAACACAGATTGTTGCATGATCCGCGACACACATCACAAGTTCGCATCCTTCCAGACCGAGACTCTTTCGCACTTGAAAGCAAATTGTTAACTCACATATATTGGCAATAGAGGTAGGCTCACTCAACTTTACTCAACACACAAACAAATGGACTTTTTTGCATATTAGAAAAACAAAAACTAAAATACGAAAAACTAAGAAAAAGTACCCAGCTCCTCGTTCCGCGCAGCAGTAAAACCCATCAACTTGATATTCTCCTCCTCGCGGCTGGTCAATTCTTGGTCCTGCTCCTGTTCCGGCCCGAGTAAAGTCGACAAGAGTGCCGAGTCGGCTTGGTTCAAGTTGATTCCAGCGCGGGCCTTCGCCTTCGGAGCAGCGCGGGTCTTCGGCGTAGGGACCAACCAACCCCCAAGCTCGTCCTCGATCATTTCCTCCTCCGCCCCGGCGGCTTCGGAGGCGTTGATGAGCGTTTCCATCTCCATCATCTCTTGGTCGGACATTTTGCGGCGAATAGAAGTTGAAGTTGTTTTTTATGCAGTGGAAGGTGTGGAAAAAATCCTGAAGCTGAATGGTCTGGCTTTTTGCAGTGGAAGATGAAGAAGATGAACGTCGCTGGTTTTTTACCAGGGGAGAAGAGCGCTTTGGCTTTGTTGCGCACCAGGTCGCTTCGCTCCTCGGATCGTAGGCCTCTTCTGCTATTTCCGGCGCAGATGAAATGTCAATCGGATCGCATATTATGCGCATTTGCGGATCATTCTTGGTCCGTGCGTTTTTTTTCCACGGTCGCGCAATACCAGTCATACGAACCGACGTCGGCTTTCTCATGCCATGCGCTACCTGCGCCGTTCGCTCCATTTCCAAGGGGATCGGTGATAGATCTGCTTCTATCGCAGCGACGCCTTCTCGGCCGGACCACGATTTCGATCCTTCTCTCTTTCGAAAGACCTGTCTGAGAGCTTGATTTATATTGATTCCAGGCGGAACTGTTCGCGGCTGAACTTCTTTCTCGATCGTTTGCATTGCCGACGGAACGAGTTATGGCTGAGGAGCTGCTTGATTTGTATTGATTCTCGGAGGAACTTTGCGTGGCTGAGTTTCTTCTTGGTTTGTATTGCCGGAAGAAGGAGTCACGACCGTGGCTGCACTGCTTGATTTGTATTGCACGAGGAGGCTTTTGAGACTTTTCATGAGTGAAGAGGTTCTTGGTTTGTATTGCAGAAGGAGCGTCTCATGGATGAAATTCTTTCGAATAATGAGTATTTGTGAGTATTGCTTCCCGCTTGGGCAGGCCGATCGGAAATGCAAAACGTGTGGAATGATGACGCTCTTTTTGGATTTTGCTCTTCAACGGGTACTGTATCCCTGCGCCGGGTCGAATTTACACGCCATTCTCCTCGACCGGCGGCACCAGACCGTTGCTTTTTTAATTTCCATGCGGCTCCTTCTCCACCATTTCGGTGGCGAGAAGGAACCGCCTGAAAACTCAAACCTCATGGAATACAAAACTGGCAGTTTTGTCGAGCGGGAACTGGAGCTTTGAAATCAAAGTTCCAGTTCCCGCTCGACAAAACTGCCAGTTTTGTATTCCATGCGGCCTTTGCCACCCGAGGCGAAAGGCCGCATGGAAAACAAAACTGGCAGTTAACTAAACCCCCTTGACCCCGTTGGTAACTGAACCCCCTTGACCCCGCGGGCGCGACCAGCAAAGCAGAAAGATACCTAAACCCGATAAGGTTACAAGATGTAGGGGGTTATCTCTTGCCCCCGCTTTCACGCGATTTGGATCGCGCGAAGGCGAAGCTGGTGCTGCTCAGTTCTACAAAATAAACTGACGAGCCCTCGGGGCGGACAACAGGTGACCCCTGATTGCGGCCGACCTCTGATCGAGGCCGGCCGACCTCTGATCGCGGCCGACCCCTGATCGAGGCCGACCTCTGATCGAGGCCGCTCGACAAAAATTTGAAAAGATGTCTCCTTCGACATCTTTTCAAACTTTGTTCCAGATCCCGCTCCTGCGGGGAAGAAAAAAGTGTCTGCCAACGCAGTGCCCCCATGCACACGTCGGGAGGCACTGAAGCGCTGGGGCCCGGACTTCCTGCATATACGTGGAAAAAAAAATGGTTAACATGACCTTTGCATGGCCAAAGGTCGTGTTAAGTAGATCAAGGAGCATCCCCGTGACGTAGGCCGACGTTGTGTCCAGGAAGTGGCCCTGCGCCACTCCGTTAACCAGACCTATGGGTACCCATAGGTCGTGTTTATCGCAGCCTGTTTTCGGCTTTTTGCCTGCACACCGAAAAGTCCAAAAACAGCTCACGATAAACACAACCTATGGGTACCCATAGGTCGCGTTAACGGAGTGCCCGGGGCCCACTTCTGTGACAAAACGTCGGCGCCGAGGGGCGCACCGACCAGCGGATGCCCGCTGGCTCTGCGAAGCCCGCGCCCTTAGGTGGCCGGGTCTCCGGCTTGCTACGTGGGCGGGCCAGCTACCTAGGTGAACACGGCAGGGCAATGGAGCCCAACAGGCCCCAGGCGTGCAGGATGAGCAACAAAAAAGCAATCTTGCCACACTTCGGCTGACGGCTGACGCCAAGGGGGTGGCTAACAATCGACAAGAAAGCGAAGCTATTGTAGGTGTGGGAACAAGTAGTAGTATAAATCAAAGCGCGAGCTCGAGAGTATGCATCTATCGTGGTAACAGGCGAAGGTAGAGAGAGCAACGATAAAAAGATAATTGTGTAGTGTGATAAAAAGATGCTTCTGAAGTGTGCGTTCCAGCTGCGAGCACCCCATCAAATGCAATCACCGCCGGCGAGCAAGGTCCGAAGAAGATGGCAAGCTGTTGGAAGGGGCGGGCCGCTGCTGTGCCTGGGCTGCTCTCGAAGAACTACTACTAGCAGCGCCCGCGTTGCCTGCTCTTGAAGAACTACTACTAGCAGCGCCCGCGTGCTGGCTTGCTCTCGAAGAACTACTACTAGCAGCGCCCACGTGGCCCGCTTTCGAAGAAGTACTACTAGCAGCGCCTGCGTGCTGGTCTCCTCTCGAAGAAGTACTACTAGCAGCGCCTCCCTGGCCTGCTTTCGAAGAACTACTACTAGCGGCGCCCGGGGCTTGGAGCTGCTGATTCCGGCGCTCGTTTTCCTGCTTCTCCTTTTCCTTTTTGCGTGCCTGCTCGGCCAGGACGCGCTGCTCCTCGGCCCGCGCTGCCTCCAATTTTTCCAGTAGGTAGGCCCGCTCAGCCGGCGTCCTAGCCTTATGCGCGGCTACCTCCGCTAGGTATCTCTTCCTCTCGGCCCTTAGCGTGGTCAGGTTCCGCTCAACCGCCGCCATTGTGTGTGTCAACCATGTCGCCATGTCTACGCCGTTTTTTCGTTGTTCCACCAGTCTGGATATGCATTGCAAAATGTATCGCGTTTGTAATAAATGCATTACAAATTTCCTCGAAATAAAATTTGTCATGCGGATTTCCTCAGCCTGCGAAATAGAATTTGTTATGCGGATTTACGTTAGGAGGAAAATTTGCAATGCATGACTGCAATTACTACGAGAGCGATACTGTTGCACAGGATACTGAACTGGACCCTGTTCACAATGGCTGCAATGAGGTGGCCGATGCCCTCGCTCTCCTTGCCCTGCAACTTTCGCTGCAGAAACATGCAGTGAGCTGGGTGCTCCGGGGCTGTTTTCGCGAGTGTGCTTTGCAAATGTGCCTGCTCCTGGGGAGCTGAGATTTGTCACGCGACATCCGCTGCGACACAGTGCGTGTTTTATGCGGGCCCCGGACCATGCGGGCTCCGGCAATTTGTCATGCGATTTACCAGCCACAGCTGCAATCTGTCATGCGATCTACGGAGCACAGCCATGATCTGTCATGCAATTTACCAAGCACAGTCGCAATCTGTCATGCGATTTGTGACGGCGCTCAGGCCAACGCGCAAGCACATATGCAAAGCATAACGTTTTTCAGGGTGCAATATTCATGGATCAAGCGGGCTTTCTTGTCGTCGCAGCAAAAAGCAGCCTGGATTGCGAATTTCGCGTGTGCGGCGTTCCGCATGCTGTCAGGCTGAAACAAGGCAAGGTCTTTCGCAGGCTCTGGTCGTTTGCTGTCTTTCTCCAGAAACTGCTGGGCCGCCCGCGCGAACTTAATATGCGTCTGGTCGATTTTAGCTTTTTTCGCCTGTTCCTTCATCTCCTCCTCGAAGTCCGTCGAGCTGACTGTTTTCTCGTTAAAGCGTTCGTATAAACTCTTCTTTGGGGCCCCATTTTCATCCTCCCGCGCCTTCACGATCTCAAGCCGCCTAGCCGTTCGGTCCCGCGTCCCAAACTCCCCTAGCCCGGCCGCGTGGGCAGCATAGGACTCCATCAGCTGTTTTTGGCTCATGTCTGCTACCTTTCGACCGTCCTGCATCACCTCGCCAACCCCTTCGCGATTTGTGACGAGCCCCGAACCGCGTGCGATCTTGATAAGCTCTTGCCTCTTCTTCGATATGGCGGCCTTCTTTTTCGGATCAGCCACTGGCGACTTCTTCCTGTTTCCACCCTGCTCTACATCGCTGTCTGGGTGCTCGTCCAAATCCTGGTCGTCGCCATTCATGAAGCCGGATGCTCCATCAGGATGCCAGTCTTTCCAAAACATCTGCTCAAGCCCTTCGAAGTCGGTCCCCGGGTCGCCAATCCGCTGCAAGTCCGGCGTGATGATTGTGCTGCGGATGTCCTGAATCGCCGCACTGGTTCGCTTATGGGACGAAAAAAGGCCTGGGGATACCCTGCAGAACCGAAAAGTCAATCAGCAGGCTTAAATGCACGAACTTTCCTCGTCGAGAATGCTAGGTAGGCCAGAGCGCAGCCCGCGTCTGTGATGCAAGAAAAACTAAAGAGCAACCTGCTGCCATACAAAAAGGAAGTGCTCGCACTAATTGCAGGCATGCATAAGAAATTTCCTCTCCAAGTTGGCAATACCTACTGACAAACTCAATTCTTCATGCTGAGAAAATCGTTTGTGATGCAATTTATACTAGTGGGATGCTTTTGCAATTCCTAGCCAGATACGCCCAGCGATTTTCGTTTGCCGCGGATACGGCAGCTGCAAATGCGAATACTTCGCAGCGACACCTTTGGCCCGGTCGAGCATCGACTTCATGTTTTTCTCCTTCAAGCTAGTCCAGTCGTCGCGAATTGCTCGTTGGATTTGCTCGGGGTCCGCATCTGGAATAAACCCGTTGTCACGGAAGGACTTGGTGTACTCTGCATGCGGCAACTGCAGCCACGCTCTCCGTACCCTCTCAACCGCAGCCTTCCGCGTTGTGATAGTCATGCGAAAGCCACCGCCTTCCCTGAATCGCTGCAGAATCTGCGCGGCGTCGGTGGTTATCTCGATCTCCCGGAGGGTATTCTGCAGAGCGCGATGAACATGCGTATCAAGCATCTGTTGATTTCGTTTGAAGTTGATTTCGTTTGAAGTTGATTTCATTTGAAGCCATTGACCGCATTTGAAGTTGATTAGCGGACGCCATTGATTTCATTTGAAGTCTAACCAGTGTAGCAATGCGCTTGCGTGTCAAGCAGTCTGAGTACTGCGGCGCCCTTTGACTTCATCGCTCTAGAAGTAGAAAATCTGGGCGGCTTACTTAGGAGCAAAACTCTTAGAAACTTAAAAGCCTGGGAATGAAAAAACTCGCACTATACTATACCTGGATGGAATCGGTGCAGCAGGCACCAATGAAAATACAGATGACCCAAAGGGCCCCGCATACGTGTGGCGGCGGGATCTTGTGGCCAGAAAAGTGATCGAAAAACAGCACAGTCACCTTGTTCTGTTTCCGGTTACGGAAAGCAATCCGCTTGATTGACTCGTCGAACAATTCCGCGCTGTACGAACCCTTCGGGGCTGTAAGCAATTTCATCCAGTCGGGCTTCTCGATCTCGTCCAACTTCTGCTGCACTTGTCCGTCTTCCGTAGCTCTAAACACCAACTCGATGGGCGGAGGTGGGCCGTCCGCCCGTTGATTCGAGCAGCACATCGTTAAGACGGTAAACCTGAGGGCGGGGGTTCGTATGTATTTCGAAACATTTCTTGCTTCTGGACTTCGCTTGGTGAAGGGAGTTCATATGTATGTTTATCCGGACGCAGCTGTAGGTAAAACTAGACTGCATTGCGATGGACAAAAACCAAAACAAACGGACGAGACTGGGGTGCGAAATAAAGTCAAAATCAAAAAAGAGCGCACCTGGCACGTGACTGATTGTGGTTGTCAATGACCTCCACCCGGTCCTCGCCCTTGAAGGATATGCACTTCTTCGTGGAAGTCATGTTCATCCAAGGCTATAGAAGGAAGAAGTGGCCGCGCACGCAGATGGCCGCCCAGCAATAGCCTGCAACTATTGCGCCACTACTGTCATGCAGGCTGTCACTACTGTCATGCAATTTCTACCAGGTCACATTCTAGCGCGCGTCTGTCTAGCCTGCAGGTGTGCTTGCTTCTATTCATCAGACACACAGACAGCGCCACTTTCGTCACGCAAACAACATGACAAAGCACCTGAGGACATTCAATCATCGGGCGGGCGCGGCAAATTCTTCCGGAGGATAGGCACGGCTTCTCGTCCACGTTGACCAGCTCGCACGCCCACCCGAGGCAATCCAGGGCGTGAATGACCCCCCAACTCGCGAGCCAGCTCGACCCCATCCGCGCCTTTCGATTGTAGGGGCTGAGCTTCGGCCTGGTATTCGGCACGCGAAGCGAGAGGTCATAGGCCACCATAAACCTCCGCACCCAGTCCCAGTTGATCTTCGGCGTCTTCGGCAGCACTTTCGTCTCCTTGCCGGTTTCCGGATCGATCACGGTCGTGGTGTTGTCCCGTTCGTACTGCTTGCGGAAGGCCTCGCCCAATGTGATTAATAGATTCGAACTGACCTTCGCCCTCGCGAACCGCAATGCGCTATGCAGCGGAAAACAAAACTGCGCACCCGGTCGGCCCTCCAAGGAGGCTCGGGGCCCTTTGGTCTCGCCATCGACCCTGAACTACTTATCGCAATGCCCCTTGACAATTTGCAGTCCCTCGAGAGCTTACATCCAATCCGCAAACGCAACATTTGCGGCTTTGATGCGCAGCTTCCATAGGGTGCTGGCGCACATGATCCCCTGGTGTGGCGCAGCTGGTTCCTATTCCTAAATTCTCTCTCGAGAGAGAAAAAACTGAATGCCAGCGCACCGCCGTGTGGCCGCATTTGCACGACGGCACTACGGTGAAACCGACTTTCTCCTTCCTCCCGCAAGCGGGAGCTGGAACTTTTCTGACTTTAAGTCGGAAAAGTTCCCGTGGCCGCGCGCGGGAGAACAAGAAAACTGAGTGCCACAATGGTGCCGCCGTGTGACCGCAATTACACGACGTTACTACAGTGACACTCAGTCTGTTTTTGTGTCTCCCGCGAGCGGGGGCTTTCGCAACTTTGAAAGGTGCGGAAGTTGAGGCTCCAGCTCCCACCCAAGACCCTCTGTAAATCGTTTTCCGTCTCACCAGTGGCAGGATGATACGTGCTGCTTCTGCCAACATGAACATTGGCTGGACGATGCACGACCTAATTACAGACGAAATGCTTTCTGCATACGGTATGCAAAAAGCAGTTTAGCTGTAAGTGAGTGCCTTGCATTACACGCGCCCCCTGGCCTGTAAGTAAGTGAATGCGCTGTGTTTCTGCGTAGGAAAGAGGCGTCCCCTGGTTCGCAACTCTTCAAGCCCGAGGAGCCCCTGGGTGAGAGTTCGCATTGAAGGGGGCCCCGGACGTGTTGCTACTGACTTGCGGACGGGGGTGCTTACAGCCCCGCTTCTACTCCCTCAATGGGGGCGCTCATGGCTGAGGCTTCTCCTTTTCAATCACAGGGCAGCGCCAGCAGCTTCTCTCCCCGGATGATGGAAACAATTTCAGTTCACATCCCAAGCAAGCATCAACAAGGGGACTGAGGGCAGTCTGCTTCTTGCGAAGCCAAGGTATTTCACGGAAAGAGAACCACGCCCAGTTCTAGCACCAAGAGAAATTTGCTCGGCAAGGCTACTGAGAACTAGCGCGGTCCAACACTTACGAGAAACAACATTGGAAGCAAACTGCTAGGGGACACGTTACGGAAAGGAGGCGCCGGCCAAGGTGCAGTGGAAAAAGTGCGCAAATGAAGCAGCCGTGCCTTTTTCTGTAATTCATTGGCCGCGCCGCTTTGTCTTGAATTACTAGAACAGAGAGTTCCCACTCCTACCCTCGACAGTCGCACCTCCTACGCCAATTTGCGTGGACTGCGCGTCGCAAAACCCGACCCACAATGGGCACCCAAGGGCACGGTGCCTGCGCTAGATGTTGGACACGCCGAAGACAGAGCAAAAAAACCGGCCAGAGCGGCTACAGAAAAGAGGCAACGGCCGCTGCATAAACAAAACCACGCGCACTTGTAGCAGCAGCGCGCCTTTCAAATACCCAATGTCTACAAGGTCACGACTGAGCGCAGCCATGCGCTGATTAATTTATTACCTTCTCTCGTGGCGCGCAGGCAACAATAGAAATCCAGCAACGAGGACTTTCAGCAACAGCGCAAGCACTTTTGTGAGAAGCAAGCAACTGCTCGAAGCAGGAGAATCTTGCCCGGGCCAGCCATGGTGGCGAAATAGGATGAAAAAACTTTCGCCAAAGAGTAAAGAAACATCGTAGCGACTACAGAAAAAGGGCAACGGCCTCTGCACAAAGTAAAAAATGCGCAAACGCCACAGCAGCGATTCTTTAGGGTGCTAAGTGGTCGCAGAGCTGTGCCCTGGCACCCTTTCGTGCTCATTCCGAAAGGATGCTACCAGGACAATACTAAACGCAACTCCAAAGCTCCGGGCGCTGAAAGGCTCCAAGGAATAGGACGCGGCCGCTGCGCGATGCAAAATATGCGCAGACGCAGCAGCCGCGGCTCCCTCGGATATCAGGGCGCCTCTCTGACGCTGCGTTGTCGCGAGCTTCGGCCTATTTGCCATGTGTGTTTCTAGATGATCTGCGCCCAGGCTACGCAGCAACGCTAAAACCGTCCGCAAAATAACAAAAGGCGCGAAAATGTGCGATCCGCGCGGAAATGCAACATTTGCAGGAGAGCATGAATTCTACAGGCCAATGGCCCGGGCGCAGGCCTTTGGGCGTCAACTCGCGCGGGGGAGCGCGCTTTTGTTCACCCGGCCCCAGCCTTAAAGACTCTTCTTACCAGGCACAGCCGCCCGGCCCCTGCCTCAAAAGCTTTGCTGCCAACAGCAATCAGAGACTATTCGCTTCTTACTTCTTCCGAAGAGTTTGAACCCTGCTTCTGCAGGCGATTCAGCGCCGAGCCCAGAAGCCCCCAGCCGGGGGCCGAAATGCCCGCGCCGGGTGTGCGTTTTGTTTTCCCTGCTCTACTCGATGAACATTTCATATACGGACTCCCGTATTTCAGGCACAACGACCTTCGGCCCGGCCCCCACATCCCGTAACCGATCCAGCTCCTTCGAAGAATAATGCTTCAAGAGCCGCTATCAATCAGAAAGGCTCGAGGGTAAGCAGGTAAGTGTTGGCGTGGAGGACAGGGCCACTCTTACTTACCCTACCAAGGTAAATGCGGCGACTTACTATAACTACCACTATGATGAAAAATCTTGAAGCTCGCTGAGTGCCTAGACCTACTTACCCTCCGAAGCCTTCCCCGCTTTCATAGAAACGAGTCGAGGTCACCGAGATTTCTCTATCAAATGGAAGAATGTCTGGGTCTGGAAGGATCCAAGGTCTGTCATGCGCATTTTGCAGGACTCCTGATGTCTGTGATGCATGCCCTAGCATCACAGATTTTGTGAGGACTTCTTGATGCCTATACCGCATGACAAATGCTCTTTCCTTGTAGCAAAATTTTTTTTATTCTCTTTGCTGCTCATGCAATACAGATTGTTTTAGAATCCAAACGCAGCATCACAAGTTCCAACTTTCCAGACCCAGACATTTTTGCAATCCATATTTTCCAGGCTTCGGCGATTTGCTGTGGGAGGAAAACCTCCAAAGCCATCTCCTTCCCGCGGGACATCATCTTCAGGACCTTCTCTGTTCGGTGCTTTTCCTTGGTCGTCAAAACGTCGCGAATTGTTCGCATGTCGTCCTTATCAAAAGCAAAAGTGTTTGGGTCTGGGAGATTGCAAGATTTGTTTTGCATGATCCATAATGCCTGCAATGCATGGCCTAGCATCACAGGTTCTTACTTTTTAGAGCGCTTCCTCCGCATGACAAATGCCATCTCCGCGGAGCACAAATTCTACTTTTCTTGCTTGTCGCGCAATACTTTTACGAATCCAGAGACACCTCCAGCATCACAAGTTTAGAATCTTCCAGACCCAGATATCACTTTTGCATTTGATAGTCCCAGCCGGCTACTTCCAGTCGCAAAGCCAAAAGGCCAAACTTCAGGCGGTTCCGCAAGGTGTACGACGTGTGCGTTCTCTTTTTTTTATACTCTGCCGGCACGGCCGCGACAACTTCGGCCAGGAGCGCCTGCTGCCAATCCACAGCCGCACCCTGCGGCGCGCCTTGGAGGGGCTGGAGTTGGTTCATGATGAGGCGCGGTGTCTGCACTGGCGGCTCTACAGAAATTATATACAACGAAGGCTCTTACTTACAGCGCTGAGTGGAAGTATGTCGCGTAAAGTAGTGTGGGTTTGCAGATAGACGATGGATATTTATTCGTAGCTGGACGAAATAGATAGGGCGTAAGGGTGCTGAGAGACTTACTAAGCTTTATCAAAAAGAGGTCTTGGCCTTGCGTTGCAATATAAAATGAATAAGACGGTCTTCGGGTTGCAAAGTAAAGTGAAGAAGTCGAAAATTCGCGCGACTGCGAAAAAATTAGTGTATTTCCGTTTCAAGTTGAGTGCTTTCATTCCAAGTGATGTATTTTCATTTCAGCGAGCTTTAAGCGTTTTCATTTCAATTGATAGCATGCTTGCGATTAGAGAGCCCCTCGATTTGCGAAAAACGATTTTCATCATCTGTTGCCCACGATTTGCGTCTGTGCTGCCCCACGATCTTCGTTTGTGGTGACTCACGATCTTCATTCACGACAGAGCAGCGCAGTGGCTTTTCCTGTGATCTTTTATTTACCCTTTTGCGCCCCTACTCTCGTGCCCAATCATCAGTGCTCGAGCTCGTTCTGTCATGCTAGAAAGCACGAGTAAGTTTCACCGTAGGCACTTAGACACGTCTGACACGATTGGAGACGATCTTCCATCGGGCCCACAGCTGAACATTGCACCGGCTCCGAGACAACAGGAGCGTCGGCGCGCCGGGCCAGTCGGTGCAAGCACTACGCACCACTGACGGCTGGCGAGAAGAAGGCCACAGGCTCCGCAGCAAGTGCCTGCCAGGATGCGTTCCAAACTTTCTCAAAATTTGAGCGAGAGAAGAAGTAAAAACGCCTGTGCTTGTCGTACATAGTCCAATCATTCTCAGCGATGCGCAAGCGCTTTCATATTTGGAGAACAGGTCTTTCTTGTACGTAGACAGCGTTTTTCGTTTTGTTTTCACTGCCTGAGACACTTCACCAGTCCTCCATCGGAAGCCCTTTGTTTACACGCGTCTTCCGCCCGCCCCAGGACATTCGACCTGTGCTCCGGCCCTTGGCCCACGACGTCGCCGCGCATGCTTGCGCTTCCAGAACTCGGCGGGATCGCGACCACCTGGGAGAAGTTTTCGGGGGCAACGTTTATAGCGCAGCTTCGTTCTCGACCATGCAAAGTCATACCCGTAACACATCGCGCTGCAGAGTCATAAAGCATTTAGCTCCTGATGACTAAGTACTTACAGAGAGGCCAATGCTAATTCAGGCACGACAAGATAATTATAATGAAAGAGATTGAAAGAAAAAGTACAGCTGATCTCCGTCTCCATTGGCCCACGTTGCAACTTCGGGAATCAAGTTTCACCTTCTCAACACGACACGGGCGTGGCTCGCTTCCAACGTGGTTCGCCAAATTTGCAGAGACAATTCTCCTCGGACATTATGAAGCGCGACTAGGGCTCGATGCACGGCGAGAGTCATGGGTTTTTGGAATTCACAGGCATTACCGGGTTTGCCGCTAATTGAGCGTTTTAGAGGCATCCGGATTGATGTTTCCGATTTAGGATTCAAGGGGTTTTTGTATGGCCAACGCGGCGCAGGCTAGGTAGCGTCGATGCTCTGGTGGTGTCGGCCTACTGTTACAACACACGGCGCAACCCCCGGCGAATCACGACCGGAATAAGCGCACCGATACCGATACCAGCTAGCTCGGGCGCCCGCGCCCAACCAAAAAAGATAGAAAGGTCATGAGTTCGGCCCCTCACGGAAAAAGGGACGACTCTTGCACCTGGTCTGCCCCCGGTGGCGCGAGCTTTTAGCCCGAGCTTCCAACAACTAAGAAAAAAGTCATGCGCTCGACCTTTCACGAACAAAAAAAGGCGCGAATCCTCCCCGTGCCCCGGCCCCGGTCGCGAGGCCGCCGGCTGTCTTGCTCCGGCGGCTCTGCGCATTGATCTAAAGTGGGTGGATTTTGTTTTTTTAAGAAACTAAAGCACGAAGGTGTGGGTGAAGATGAAGAGTTTGTACTTTCGAAGGGGTTATACGAGGTTTTGAAAATAAAAAGCCCGGGTAGGAAATATGAGTTTTGCACTTTTTCCTACCCGGGGTTTTTATTTTCAAAACCCCGGGTAGGAAATGTTTATCAGCTGTTATCACTCTCACAGACGTGCAGATCAGCGGATAAATATTTCCTACCCGGGGTTTTGAAAATAAAAACCCCGGGTAGGAAAAAACGCAAAATGCATTTTTCCTACCCGGGCTTTTTTTATTTTGCTTACAGTGCCCGTATATCCCGCGAGCCCCCGAGCATTGCAACCTATCTACGCTGCTTGCCCACCTATTTTCTACGTCTAAGTACGCGCGCACTGCTTTGGTGCGTTTCAGAGGGCTGCTTACTCGAAATTCGTGCCCCAATACTCCCCGCGCAAATTGGGTGGCAGCCGACGGGGACTAAAGTTTCCGAGCTGTCGAAAGCTTTCTTTGACTGGCTGTTTCTACTTCTTCCGTTGCGATATTTCCCTGTGCAAGCTGCTTCAGAAGCCTACGCCACTGATAAAGTGTAGGCTCCTTGTAAACAAGCCTCTTGCTTCTTTTGTTGTACGGAACTAAAGGGAGCGCGCCTGCTGCACAAGAGCGAGTAGCTGCAGACGCAGCTCCTGGACACGTTCCGACTTATATCAAGTTCTTTTTTTTTTCTTCGGCGTTGGGTATGTGACAAGGAGTGAAATGTCCGGACTTAGGAAAGGGCCGCTAATTAAGTATCTGGGAGTAAAGCACGAAGGTGTGGGTGAAGATGAAGAATTTGTATTTGAATTACAGGAGGTTGTTCGTAAAAATAAACAGAAGTAAGTATAGTCTGCCAATTTGTCATGCTGTTTCCCACTTCCAGCTGCCCCCTGTCATGCTGAAGATGCAAGGCTTTCCCACACCAACCAGCACTACATGGGGGGGGAGAAGGAGTAATTGTGCACCGTCATAAAACTGAAACAAGGAAGCTGTGTGTGTAGTCACCTCATCGACCAAATTGTTCCTGGTACTTGATGTCGTTCATCTCCACGTCCTCTTCTCGCATCATCATGATGCCAGGTCCGTCTTCAAAAAAATCTTTTTCAAAATCAAAACGGTAGAAAAATAATCAAGATCAGGGGACAACTCACCGGTGGTCGAGTGTTCTTGTGCTGTATGCATCACAATTTCCATTTCGATGAACGAAGGCCACTTGCTATGTAGAAATATCGTCTACAACACGATTTTCATTTCAGCTTGGATAACCTCCTGGTGCAGCGCCGGTTGGTCGTTATGCAGGCTCAGACTGGGACTCATTTCTTACAAACACAAACTATTGGTGTGGAAGTTCTTGCAAAGCGAGAGCATAATTATCGCACGTGCCAGAATGGACATAGACTCTCTTGAGCTACCCTACTAGTTCAAGTTCTGCTGCACGACTGGTCCCAGGTATCCACAAAAAAATCCTCATCTCCATCAAATTTCTTGATGTCAGGCAAATAAACACGACGGAAATTATAAACGAAAAGGAAACTACTTAAACGTAGGAGCCTGCATTTGTAATGCAAAAACTAAAGCACGAAGGTGTGGGTGAAGAATTTGTATTTGAGTTACAGGTTGTTCGTAAAAATAAACCGCGAAAAATATAATGATTCGAGGAATTTGTCAACCTCTATAATTTCTCCGCATTTTTGTTTTTCATTGAAAAGAGCCTGTTGTTACTGTTGCAGCTACTGGTGGTACAATTCTGTGACTCATTCTGCTGTTCTATCGCAAGGAAAAATACCCCCTCCCCATATAATTGAAGAGGTAGGCTTTCGCAGATTTGTGTTGCTGATTTGAGGTCACAAATCACGTCTGTGTTGCAAGAAGACAAGGGCAGCAGCTTCCGTCCCATTATGGAGGCAGTTTGTCATGCTGTTAAGCCAACATCACGGACGCTTCTCATGCTAAGCGCCTAAGTCAAAGCCTCTCTACTCAGGGTAGATATGGGTCTGCAGTCCTCTCCAGCAAGACAAATGCGATTTGTGTACTCAAATACAGCATCACAAATTTCGCTTTCGATATGGGGAGGGGGGATTTTTCCTCACAATATGTTCCACCTGCGGCCAACATGTTCATCACGCTGCTCATCGACGGTTGGAGATATTGGTTAAAAAAAAAGTCCCCAGTCCACATTCGATATAGACAATTTGTGTTGCTGGATTTCTGTACACAAATGAGCTGTGTATTGCAGCAAGAGATTGCCAAGATATACTAAGCCCATTTGGGTACGCATCCGGCTAGCAGCTTAGCATGAGAAACACGTCTGATATAGGCGAAAGCGCATGACAGACTCGCTGTACAATACGCCACATGGGTGCCGTTTGCCTTGTACGCAAGACACAGCGGATTTGTGGCCACAAATCAGCATTACAAATTTCCTGTTCGATATGGGGAGGGAAGATTTTTCCTCACAATACGGAACCCGATTTGCTTGTTGCAGAACTACGAGATGTTCGTGTTGCGGTATCTGGGGTGGCAGCTACAGTTTCTGGACGAAATCAAGGTGGCGGATGTGGTGGCTTCGGGATCAAGCGGTGGGAATACGGGAGGAGCGGTCAAAGACAAACAGTCCGGTGAGCAAGGGAGTGGGTCTTCTACTGCAGGAACAGCGGGTTCTGCTGACACGACTAAAGAAGCCAGAACTTCTTCGACTTCCAGCTCCAGCAGCACAACAACAACTGGAGCCAATCAAGACGGGACCACTACTGCATCTTCTGTCGCAATAAACAACCAAGCAGCAGTTGTGTCTTCCTCCGCGACGTTACGCCAAGCGGAGATTGTATGGTAGTGTCAGGATCGAAATCGACAAAGTTGAAATAATTTCTGATGCATAAAACGGATACCAGTTGGTGCCTAGTTTTCAACTGGCGCATGACAAATTTGGGAAGAGCCGAAACCCAATTTGTAATGGTGTTTGGGTAAGGAAGACGCCTTCTGTCTTGCTACTTTAGCAGCTCTATTTCTACCCCTCAACAGGCTTACAATCTGCCTTCCTTGGCTACTCTGCAAGACAGGCTTTTTGTGGGTTGCATTTTATGCATCGCAAGCTATTTCAACTGTGACGATTTCAATCCTGACGCTTCCATAGATTGTGTATTTGAAAAAGCGGCTGTTTTACTCCATGCGGGACAATTTGGATTCTTCCGCGATTGCCGAGCTGAACGCGAATATCCTGCCGCTGTTCCGGAGAATAGAAGCCGAGATTTTGCAGCAGAACAAAGGGCCGCTGACATCTTCAAGTGGGGGCGCAGGAGGAGCAACTTCTTCTTTCGGAACTAACGACAGACTTCAGGACAGAAACAGCAGGGGCTATCAAATGCAAAAATGTCTGGTGTTTTGTCTGGAAGCAAGACCATGGTACAGCACAGGGAAGAGAACGACTTTAACATTTTGAAGAAAGAAAAGAGAAGAGAACTACGTGGATATAATATGTAGAGAGAGACTAAAAGCATGCTATGGCGTCCACCGGTGGTACTGAGTACTACTACTTATACTATCACTTGCGCAACATGCAAATTGGGTGCGATGAACTTCTGCCCACGGGGTCCCGCAGGCTCTATCGAGGTGCAACGCTGGCCAAAGCGCTAGGCACCTGGGAGCCTGTGGGTGCTCGCGCAGTAGTGTCTGGGTCTGGGTCTGGGTCTGGAAGAGTGCGCGACTTGTCATGCAGCTTTTCCATGACCCCCGAGGTCTGGAATGCAGGACCTAGCATAACAGATTCTGCGCGATCTCTCTCGTGCCTATCCTGCATGAGAAACTCCCTCCCGACTTGGTCAAAACTGGACGACTTTTGGTAATCATGCAACACAGATTTTTGCATGCTTCAGATTTAGCATGACAAGTTGCATTCTTCCAGACCCGGACACTTTTACATTTGATAGCGGCACCGTATTGACGAAAGAGCTGTGCAAGGATTTGCTGCATGAGAATTGCTAACAATGAGTCAATACTCATTTGCATGCGGCCAACGGTGCAGGAATTGCTGCTCCTGCGGCCAACATGTTCATCACGCTGCTCGTCGACGGTTGGAGATATGAAGGTCGCGCCCGGAGGGCGATATTGGTAACCAAATGCGTGCGCGAAAACCTAACCAGCGCGAAAGCCTAACCAGCCGCGCGACACAATTTTCGTCTTCGAAACCCTTCCGCGGGCGATGAAAACTGTTCTTGCAGTTCTTTCATCGTTTGCGACTAGTCCTCGAGCTAGTTCTAGTTATATCCCAGTTAAAACGCGATCCAGGTAAACATTTAAAGTGCGATGGTACGGCAAGCACTGACGACATATCTGAAGTACACGATGGCGAGAACACGATGCAAACGAAAACGAAGATGTAAGTGTGGAAGTTGAAGTTTTGTTTCGACGAACCGGATCGAGAGTACGCGGGGGAAATAAAGGAAGATTTGTTTTTTACGAACCGATAACGCAACTCTTCCGACATGCATCATTGTACCGATTTCCAACCCGACCCGATTCTGCAGTACAGCCGACGACCCTACACCATCGCCTCCATGAATTTCTTCCACCCACCCGTAAACTGAAATTGGAATTATTCTTCCGGATTCTGAGCGTGAACGTGAATGTACAAAACCTAACGCCAAAGTGCAGAGGGGATTTAAAAAAGCAAGGACGACCGACGGACTGGAAGAGGATGCGACGATGGAGAAGAAGAAGATGAAATTATTTGACTGTAGTCTGCAAAATAAAGCACAACTGTTGCCTGCCAAAGAAAATAAAAGCTGTTTTTTTGTTCAAGAAAAGACTTCAGTGTCGCGTGCAAAGCTCGCGTAATGTTTTTGTTTTTTATCGTTTCGCTCACCAGTTTTTTCTTTTTTCAAAAGGATGCAGCTTACTTCCGACAGCGAAGATGTCGCACTCCGAGGCGTGTGAAAGAAGGGAAAATTAAACAAACTACACAGTATTTTTAACAAAATAAAAAAATGTGCTGATGCAGAATAAAATCGCTTCAGGTCGTGGAGAGTGGTTCATCTAGTTGCATTTGATGGGTTGGTCGTGTTCTGGGGGTCTTTTTTCTTGGGCCAACATGTTCATCACGCTCCTGCGGCCAACATTACATGTTCATCACGCTGCTCATCGATATGCTATAACAAAATACAAAACGCGCATTTTCGTTTTTCGATTTTTTGAAACAAAAAACTGAAAAAGCATTTTCAAAATGCGATTTACAAAACCGATTTTCGACCGCGCCGGGAGCCCACAAAAATGACGCGCCAAAGCACAGCCCCTCCGCGGCAAAAAATGCCGCAACTCCGAGGACTCTGGAACCTATCCGAGACCTCCGGGCCCGAACCATTCGAAGGCAGTCGCGGCGCTTCAGCTACCTGGCTTGCGACCAAAAGCCAGCCGTGGCATCACCCTGAAAACACAACTCAGGGGTGATTAAAAAGCCGCAGCAATTGCCGCAGGCTGCGCCCCCATTCCTGAAGTTGCGCGGCCTGCAGCACGGGCCCACCGTTTCGCGCGCCATCTTGTCCCGGGGCGGCGCCGGCGCGCGACGCCCCGCCGAGAATCAACGGCCGGGCCAAGCAAGGCGCCCGGGGCCCAGGCGATGCCGAGCACTCCGGCCGACGGCGGTGCCGCTTCGAGGCGCACAGCCGAAGAGATTCCGCGGGCCGGGCACCCTTTCGCTCCCAATTCCGCACCTGCCTTTGTGAGTTTCCTGGGCGCCCCCCGCCATGTTTCTTCCCGCCCCCCTGCCTTCGCGGCGCACTAGGTGGCGCGGGGCCGGGGGCCGAGCCGCTTTGCGATGCGCCCGGGCCGCGTGGGCTTGGGAATGCTACAGGCGCGGGCGCGAGATGTTGCGGCTCCGGCGCTACCCCCGCCCGCCTCTATCTTCCGAATGAAAAAAGGCAGCGCGGCTGCTTGCGCCGCCTGCGGCCTTCTCGCGAATATTTCTGCTGCCCCGGCGGGGTTGCGCATTGTTGGGGCCGGGCGGCCGGGGGCCACCTCCTTTGGGCCGGCGGCCGCAGCGTTTCTCCCCGGCTCTGTCTTTGGTGTTTTTGCGCCTCGGCCGGCACACCGAAAGAGAAGCCGCCGCGCGTACCGCCGGGGGCCGTGGCCCCGCACAGCCGGGCCGGGGCCCCCCGCGGGGACGGAGCTTGCCATGCCTGTGGGGCGGCACGGCCGCAGGCATACAAACAACAGCCCGCCCTTCGCCCGCCTTCGGGGCGGGGGGCTCGCATGTCCAACACCAGGCAAGGCCGCGCGCAGCCCGCTTGGAGGGGCCTCTCCAAGGGCGCACCGCCAAGCCGACTGCGCAGAACCAACCAAGACGACGCAAGCCGACGCGCCCTGCCCAATGCCGAACACATTTGGGAGAAGGTCGCTAAGCGGCGCAACAACATCGGCACCGGGGGGGCTTGGCGTAAGAAAAAAAAACGGCGCGGCGCTTCGGCACCAGGACAGGTTGGCCCACCGGTGTGTAGCCCGTGGGACAGCCGCACCGGCGAGGGGGGCGCAATAACAAAATTGGGGGCCGGCGCCACACAGGCACCAGCCTGCTTGCCCCCGCCAAGGGCGCGCCTCATTAGCACTGCAAAGACGCTCCGCCCGCCCGGCACAGGGCCGGGTGGAAGAGGCCGGGGCCTAGCGCCCTTGGCCTTGCCCGGCAAGGGGACCGCGCGTTGCGTGGCGCCCAACCGAGCAGCGCACGCTCCTGCGGCCAACATGTTCATCACGCTGCTCATCGACGGTTGGAGATACAACTGCAACTACGTTGTGCGCAGAGTCCCGTTCTGGTTCTTCTTGATGAGCAGGTTCATCTCGCATCATGTTGGAGCTACAACACGCAGAACGTACTTAGTTATTGCTAACACGAAAAAAATGTTTTTGACTTCTTTGTCTGGTTGCTGCTGCATCAATACATCAAATTCGACGTCGTGGTAGTTCTTCGAACTGCTACTGCTTCTCCGCTCTCCGACTTAGCAGCCCGTGGCGGGTTCTGTATCACCGGGTCAATTTCTTTTCGGGACAATCTCAAACTGATCGTGAACGATGCAAATCAAGGGAAAACAGGTCGGTTTTATTTAAGTACTATGTTACCATCTTTAAGTTTAATGCAAGTCGTTATCCGGCTAGGGCTTGTGTGTAGTTGCACAAAAGACAAAAATACAACTAGACACCTTATTTAGGACGACTCAAGCACGACGCGCAACTAGGTACAACTACAGCTGATGCAAGCTGTAATGCAAAAATGACAATCATCATCATGACAATATGCGTATTATGACACGTACTTCTCGAAGATTTGCGGAAAACAAAGAGAGCAACGTTCTTGTTCCTACAAGAAGTTCTGCAAAATTTGGAAAACTTGAGATTGCCCCAACTTCTCTGAGCAGTCCATACTCCAATGGCATGCCGTCTACTACTATCATGGTGTAAAAAAAGAGTCACCAGCATCTGTTCGAGTACTAGTACCCACAAGAAGTTAGTAGTACGCTGTGACGAATCTTGTCATGCCAAACATGCATCCATACGAAAATTTGTCATGCACTTGTGCACATCTGTACTGCATCCGAACATTTGTATTCGAAAGATTTTTAATACGGTGATTCTTTTTTTACGTAGCATAAACACATCGTAGTCTTGGTCTGGATGCTCCTTGTTCTCGTATCACACATATCAAATGTAAAAGTGTCTGGGTCTGGAAGGATGCGAGGTTTGTCATGGCCACTTTGCATGACTCCTGAAGTCTGTGACGCATGCTCCAGCATCACAGATTTTGTGAGGGCTTCCTGATGCCTATACCGCATGAGAAATGCCCCCTCGCCGTGGCAAAAACAGGACCTCTTTTGCTGTTCATGCAATACAGATTTTTGTAGAATCCAAATTCAGCATCACAAGTCGCATCCTTCCAGACCCAGACATTTTTGCATTTGATAACACAGAAAATTCATTCATAACATAGCTTCAAAGTTGTAGATTTCTGTTTTACGTTCCAAGATACAAAAACTGCATGACAATTTTCCCCTGCAAGTAGAGCAGGACACGCATTATTAAGAAAAAGACAAACGCAAACGATGCACAGCCGACATCTTCGATGCAGCTGAGGTTGTACAAGACACAAGTCTGATGGATTTATTCTGTTCGGCGCTGTCGCCTTAGAATGTCCTTTTGAGACCTTGTAATCTCATTAGTCAGTCTACTTCTGTTTCATCTGTGTAAGTCGAAGGGGAAGCAAGCTTGCATGACAAAAACCAAAACACTGGCCGCGGTGTTCTAGAATTATAACCGCTATGCGTCGTTTATGGAGGTGTCAGAGTTGAAATCGACAAAGTTGAAATGATTTTTCATGCATAAAATGCGACACAAAGACTGACTCTATTGCTGAAGGCGCAAGGGAGGCAGATTCTAGTGCTGGCAAGGGTCAAGAATTGGGCTGCTGACTAGCATGACAGGGAGCAGCCACCTTGCCCTAAACAGCATGACAGACTTGCTTCAGAGGCCAGGAAAATTTGTCATGCGCCGATTGGAAACTGTGGGTCCAACTGGTATAGATTTTATGCATCACAAATTATTTCAACTTTGTCGATTTCAATTCTGACACATCCATATCGTTGATTCTGCGTGATACGTTTTCCTTGGTGTTCAGCAGCCGCGCTATGGCGTTTCCGACATCTTCATGAGCTATGCATCGCAAATTTGTACACGTGGTCGGCGCAGAGACGAGTGTTGTTGTACGTTCGTAGATGTAGAGTAGAATGGACAATATTTTCTTGTTGTCATTGTTCCATAGTGTAATTTGCAGCAACTTGAACTTCTTAGAACTCTAGTTCACGAAATTCTTCCTATCTTGAACGCCAACAAGGATAAGTCTAGTAGATCGATGAATGATAATTCACAGAGCAGGAGCCAACACGTTCTCTCACCAACCAGGCATAAAATTTGCATCGGATATCTTCCCGTATAATTGTGGCCAAATGAAGCGAGTGTTCGAAGTTATTGCTCCTTGTTGTGTCATGCAAAAACTACTACAAGCAATTGCGATAGCGACGGAAAATTTCCTCACTTGCGTGCTCGGTGTAGGCAAAATTGCAGTTGTCAATCTCTTTCAATTTCTATTGCATTTTGGCATGACAAATAAATCAAACTACTCGAGCTGCTGCTTCGAGAGGACTCGCGGCTTTTCACTGTTCGTACCTCGGTGTCGTTGCGGAAAAGCAAATCCGTGGTTATCGGCCTTATCACGTTGCACAACTACTCCCCCTCCTCGTGGTCCCCTTCATTTTTCAGTACTGATTTGTGATGCAAAAGCAATAGAGTGCTTGCTATTCAGTTTGTAGCATTGACATTGTTTGCAGGACAAGAAAGCTCGGCACAACGACGACGACAAATCTCAGTGCGCGCACCTTGTTCAATATCTCCGCGTCCATGATCTCCGTGCAGATGATCATGAAGCTACTTAGTATAGCCACCTGATGCATCATTGTCAGAGTCAGTAGAACCACCTTAATATTTGTCCATCCTCTTTATCTTCTTTTTGTTACATCTACATACTTTAAGTCCTGCAGCCTTGATCCGAATCCACATGGGGGGGGGAGAAGGAGTAGTTGTGCACCGTCATAAAACTGAAATAAGGAAGCTGTGTGTGTAGTCATCCTACTTACCATCTTGATACTGCGTCTTCTTTTCGACCACATTGTTTCTGGTAGTTGTCGTTCATCTCCACGTCCTGTTCTCGCATCTTCATGATGTTGGTGTTGCCAGGTCCATCTTTATAAAAAACCTTTTCCAAAACAGTAGGACTAGAAAAATGGTCAAGATCAGGGGACAGCTCACCGGTGATCGAGTGTTCTTGTGTATGCATCACAATTTCCATTTCGATGATTGATAAAGGCCACTTGCTATGTAGAAATATCGTCTACAACACGATTTTCATTTCAGATTGGATAACCTCCTGGTGCAGCGCCGGTTGGTCGTTATGCACGCTCAGACTGGGACTCATTTTCTTACAAACTCAAACTGTTGGTGTGGAAGTTCTTGCAAAGCGAGAGCATACTTAGAGGAGGGTCACAAACCTAATCCTTAGGTCCGCACCGGACTTACGGACCACCCGGCCGGGTGGTCCTTAGGTCCGGTGCCCCAAAAGTTGCTTTACGTAACTGCACAAGCTGCAACAGCTCAATCGATCCCACTCTGACGGCAGAGGAGCTCTTGCACGAGATTCCGCATGTATTCAAGGGCAGAGCCACACTAATTCTTGCGCGAGCTATACTGCTCAGAAGGCTTGCATTCGCGCGTTGCAATTGAAATGCAATAATTTCTTGAAAGGGCGGCCCTTGGCGAATTTGTTACTGGCGCAATGCCATAGGCAGTTCTAGATTGATGTAGTGCAAGAAGTTTGTTCTTTGATATGTATTTGTGGGACTTCCTATAATATTCGCTTTCCCTTTCCGCTCAAAACGGCACCCGTTGGCCGACGTCGATCGCGCAGGCACAGTCACAATCGTGTCGGGAGCGGCGCTGCAAGAAAACAGCCAGTACAGCGCCAGCAATTGCCCATCACTAGTACTGTTCATCATCACCGCCATCATCTTTTCCTCCAATCAATCCGGAAACGCCCCCGCCCCGGCGACGGTTGCAACGGCGGCATCGGCGTTGGTTGTGACGACACTGAGGTCACCGCCACCTCTTTTTCTTCCTCCAATCCGGCGACCGACGGTTGTGAGCAAGTCGCAACGCCGCGGGGGGCACCAAACCGTGCGTCATCCGTGTCGCAACCGTCGGTCGCCGGATTGGACGAAGAAAAAGAAGTGGTGGAGGAGGAAGAGGTGGTGGTGGTGACGACGCTGACGCTGCGCCGGCTGTTTTTCTTGCGGCGCTGTTCCCGATAGGGTTGTCGCTGTGCCTGCGCGAACGACGTCGGTGTGCCTGCGCGAACGACCTCGGCCAACGGGTGACGTTTTTAGCGGAAGGCTAATATGGAAAGTCCTATAAATGCATGCCCCACTGCAACGCAAAATATAAAGTGAAGTTTTCTAAATAGCTTCAAAAACGGTCGATGTAGAAGTTCTTGCAATGCGAGAGCATACTTATCGCACGTGCCTCCAGAATGGACATAGACTCTGCTCTTGAGCAACCCTACTAGTTCTGCTGCACGAGTGGTCCCAGGTATCCACAATAAAATCCTCATCCCCATCCAATTGCAATTTCTTTTCATGCAAAACACCGGGCACAAGAAGCAAAGCCTGCATTTGTCATGTTGGTAAACTAAGGGCAGGGCGTCCCTGTGTGTGTGTCATTGCAAAAACTACTGAAGGGGATGAGAATGTTCCTGTGGATACCAGTTGATTTTTGGATACTACTGCGGTGGATGATGCTGGGGTATCATATGGAAAAAAATAAAGGCTATCCAAGAAAAAAATGGGCGCTGGTAGGTCGTAAAAAAATAAAGCAGAAGTCATACTTGTGTTGCAGAAAAGCATGAGTGCATTTTAGTGCTAGAAAAGCATGCTGCCAAGAGGTTGTGATGACGGTAGACCGCCAGTACAACTTTATCCGGTAAAGTTTTCTTTTCCCGTGTAGTATCTGTGAGGCACCACAGACTTCTGAGCAAATGCTCTTTATGTTGACTACGTGAATACTTGTTTTCCTATTCCTCGGAAATGCAAAGTGTGACAAAGTAGAGAGAGTACTAACGTAGCATGCGAATACTTATACTGCTCGTCGTGAACTACCAACGCCGATTCATTTTTCTTGGATACATATACCCAACGTCCCACATTTGGTGTACAAGACGCAACGCCAACGCATTCATGTTGCCTGTCAACTAGTACAGGAGTGCTAGCAATTACCTCAGAATTTTAAATAAAGTAGCAGCACCGGATGTAGTTTATCCTCTTTTTTACTCATACCAATGACACATGAATGCAAAAGAGATGCGGTCGTGGTGCTGTGCAGCAGTAAATCTTCACCAGCTTGTACACCTACGAAACCTCACTAATGTCATGCCTCTGAAATCTACTAAAGTACCTGCAAAGAGCGGTGTGTTGGTTGCGCGTATTTTATTTGAATTCTAGATTTATATCCACATTCTATAAGAACTTTGTCAAATGTGGCACTCCGTTGGAACAAAGAAACAGCTCGATCATGTTTCTGCGGGATAAGAGCTAGGTATGAAAGTGCACAACTCCCCCTCCCCCTCACTTGTATTGCATGAACAGCAATACAAGCGTCAGCAAGAATACAGGTTTTCCTGCATGACAAATTTAGACAGGAGTGTAGTGCTATTGGGGCTGCGAGAACTTGTCATGCAAACAGTGCCAAGAGCCAAGGCGTAAACTAGGCACTTTGCATGACAAATGAGGGGGACGAGGGGGAGTTGTGCAGTTTCATACTAGGACCGGCAAACAGGGAAGATCCACCTCCGTGACTCGGCGGGCCACCACCGACACCGGGCGCATATGCATTGCAAAAATGTCTGGGTCTGGAAGAATGCAGGAGTTTGTCATGCAGATTTTGCATGACCCGTGAGGTCTGTGATGCATGCCCTAGCATCAGAGATTTTGCGAGTGCTCTCTGATGCTCAAGCCGCATTAGAAATGTCCTCTCCGCGTAGTACAAAACACACCTCTTTTGCTGTTCATGCAATACAGATTTTATGTAGAGTCCAGAGGTAGCATCACAAGTTCCACTCTTCCAGACCCAGACATATTTGCAATCCATAGCGCAGCGGCTTTCCCCATACTGTTGGTTCCGTAAGGTCCCGACCGGCTCGGCACGCCTGGAGCGGAGGCTCCCATGGGATTGGGGTTGTTCAGCATGCCACCTCGAGAAGGAGCTACACCTCCCACGTTGACGTTGTGGTGACTACCACCGGTACCGTTCTGCTGCCGCATCGGTGGAGCTCCTCCCGCACCGACCCCGCCCGGATTTCCCCGCCGGTCGCCGTCTATGGGAGTGTCAGGATTGAAATCGTCAAAGTTGAACTAGTTTGTGATGCATAAAATGCTAGACGCAAAGCGCTTGTCTTGCAGAGCAGGCAACTGAGGCCGATTACAAGCCTGTTTGGGGTGTGAGATTATACATAGAGCTGCTAAAATAGCACGACAAAAGCAATCGTCTCTGCTCAAACAGCGCGACAGATTGGATTTCCATGCTGCCAAAATTCGTCATGCGCCGCTTGCAAACTGGGCTCCAGCTGGTATCGGTTTTTTGCATTACAGATTCTTTCAACTTTGACACTTTCGATCCTGACACTCCCATACCGTCTGTCGTGCCCGTAGCCGTGCGACTGCGTCCACCTGTGGTCGTTGATGTAGAAGGGGTGTGTGTCAGATGACATGCTGTGATAGAGTTCTTACCAGAGAGCCGCGCCAATAGGAAGTACCATGTGGATGAGATCAATCTCTGCAATCAAAATTATGCAGTTGTAGAGCGTGGTGGTCGTGGTGGAAATTATAAGATGCATGATCGTCTGTTAATCCGCATTATACTTTACGTTCTCAGCTACAAGCACCGCAAAACATGATGCACGACTGGGTCAGCTTGCCACCATATGGTGCACAACTACGGTTGTTGTATTCCATCGAAAAAAATAGGTTGGATAAAATTCAAAATAAATGCAACTGCGTTTTTTACTGAAGAGCTGGGACTGGGCAACGGCGTAGTTTCTCGGGTCCAAGTATCCTCGTGGAAAAAACACCCACCCACATCCAAATTGTAATGCAGAACACGTATCAAGTTCTGTGTTTGTCATGCAAAAAATGGATGGGGATGGGGTTATTTTTTCTGTGGATACCAAGCCAATCGGAGGCCCAGCTCTCGGGTCGCCAAAATCGGGCCCACCGCCGAAGGAGCTGCCTATCCTGTGCAAAAGTATCGTACTCGTTGTATTGCAGTTATGCATTTACAAATTTTTTTCTTGAGGTAAATCCGCATTACAAATCTTATTTCTCACGCTGAGGAAATTTGTAATGCATTTATACGAGTACGATACTTTTGCAGTGCATACTGCCACTAGACGGACCAAACGGAAAGTGGTCGCGGTGCTGGTCTTATCAACTGCAAATCTGTCTGGGTGGTCTGGAAGCAGAATGCAAGTTTTTCATGCTCCGCTAGCATGACTCTCAAGTCTGTAATGCAAGTTACCCAATAAAATAAGCCCCAGCTTTCTGTCATGCAAAAACGCAGCTCGTCATGCTGAGTAGGCAATGCCTTGCCTCTCAGAAACTTGTCATGCTGAGCCGTCACTTGTGGCACCCTCATGCTTCGCCATTCAGCATCACAAGTTTCCAGACCCAGATCGATATTTGCGTTCGATAGGTCTCGCAAGTGCGGATCGCGTCCTCCCCCGCGGGGGCCTCGAAACGATGGCCCGTTCAATATCAAAGGGAAAAATCCCCCCTCCCCATATCGAAACTAAGTTTCTGGCGCTGGATTTGCGTACACAAATCGGGTCTGTCTTGCTGGAGAAAACTGCAGGCAGATGCCAAGCCTGGGCCGAGAGGTTTTGACGTAGGGGACTAGCATGACAGATGTCGGCGCTGTAAGCCCAACAGCATCACAAACCGCCGGCATAATGCGGCGGGCTCTCTGGCTTTGCCTTCCCGCAGGAGAGACAGGATTTGTGACCTCAAATCTGCATCACAAATTTTCAGACGAATGCGTTTTCAATATGGGGAGGGGGGATTTTTCCTCTCAATATTCAGGAAACTGGGACCGGATCCGATCGCAAAACCCCCGGAATGCAGCGGGTTGGTGGTCGAGGCGTTTATCCAGTGCAAATATGTGTGGGTCTGGAAGAGTTATGCTGCTTTTGCATGACACAGAAGGTCTAGCATGGAAGCCCTAGCATAACAGGTTTCGAGAAGCTTCTGCAATGCCGAATCTGCATGACAAATGCGAATGCCCCATTTTTGTGACAGAAAGTGGGCAACCTTTGCTGCCTATGCATGAGAGATTTTTACGTGTTGTAAAATGCGCATCACAAGTTTGCAATTGCATCCTTCCAGACCCAGACATATTTGCAATGCATAGCGTTGTGGAATCCGCCACCGCCTCCCGGTCCTCCACTGGAGCCGAACGACGAGCCGAAGGAGGAAAACCCGCCGCCAGACCCGCCGCCTCCCTTCTGCGTGTCCAGGGTGGAAATGGCTTTGAACAGATTCTGTTGCATGTCGGCCTTGAGGGAAATGATGTTGGCCAGGTCGTTATCCTGAGTAAAAACTACGTCCCCACACCAGAGTCAAGCTGGGAAATCTGCTAGACAAATCTGTCAGCTTTTGCTGCTGCGCATGACAAGTTTGGCCTCGCAGTGAAATCCTGTTTAGCTTGTTCTGCAGCATCACAGATCTAGCATATCATGCTGATTCTAGCATCACAAATCCCACAACACGACGAGAGACTGCTTCTCATGGGTCTCCGCATGAGAAACATTTTCAGCATGCAGATTTGCATTACAACTCTGGTGTGGGGACGTTTTTACTCAGGATAGTCGTTACCCGTGATGTGGACGGTTCCGGGCCCCATCCTTTCCAAGTCCGCCTGCGTGAGGTGTCCTGTGCAAAAGTATCGTACTCGTACTACTGTACTACTAATTGCAGTTATGCACGACAGATCTTTTTCTTAGGGTACATCCGCATCACAGATTCTTTTTCTCATGCTGAGGAAATTTGTAATGCGACTTCTACTAGTACGATAGTTTTGCAATTCGTATGAGGTGTCCCCCGTTCACTTGCATGGCAGACCGGGACAGGGCCATTTTTATCAAATGCAAAAATGTCTGGGTCTGGAAGGATGCAACTTGTCATGCAGATTTTCCATGACCCATGAGGTCTGGAATGCGGGACCTAGCATGACAAACTCTGCCAGGTCTCTGTCATGCCTATCGTGCATGAGAAATCCCCTCCCAACTTGGTCGAAAGTGGACAGCTTTTGGCACTCATGCAACACAGATTTTAGCATGATTCAGATTTAGCATCACAGGTTACTGTCTTCCAGACCCAGACATTTTTGCATTTGATAATTTTCTGTGGTTGGTCGACGATGATGTTCATGCCGCGCTCCGTGGCAAACTGGCGGTACCGCCGAATCGCGTCCCCGTTGCGGCCGATCAGCAGGTATGGATTGTAAAAATGTCTGGGTCTGGAATAAAGTTGCAACTTGTGATGCTAACTCTGGACTCTAAAAAAATCTGTATTGCATGACCAGCAAGAGGAGCCACATTTGTGCTACGCGAGGAGGGCATTTGTCATGCGGAAATGGCATCAGGAAGCTTTCCAAAAATCTGTGATGCTGGGTCATGGATTACAAGCATCATGGGTCATGCCAGACAAGCATGACAAGCCTTCCATTCTTCCAGACCCAGACATTTTTGCATTTCATAGCAGGCCCAAGTATTTCTGCGGCACTTCGAACCAGTCGTGGCAGTTGTGGTGCTTCCGTGCCTGCTCCAGAAACGACGGAAGCGGTTTATGACTTGCTCAAGCGTTACAATCTCAAGCGTTGCAAATTTTGTGTAGCATGACGAGCATGACAGACCCGGACAGCATAATTCATCCACTTTCTGCAATACAAATTTCGCCAGATTCATCTAGTGCGGTGTAGAGCTCCGAAACTTGTTGTCATGCGCAACTCTGTGGGAGTAGGTGAGGTCATGCACTTCTTGCATCACAGATTTCCACATTTTATTGCAACGTTTGAGATTGTAACACCTGAGCAGGTTATACGGTTTCTCGCCGGGAGGGCCTCGTATCAAATGCAAAAGTGTCTGGGTCTGGAAGAATAGAACTTGTTATGCTGCATTTGGATTCCAAAAAAATCTGTATTGCATGAGCAGCAAAGGGAGCGCGTTTTTTGCTACGCGGAGAGGGCATTTGTCATGCGGAATAGGCATCAAGAAGCCGGCAAAAAAACTGTGATGCTAGGGCATGCATCACAGACATCACGGCTCATGCAAAACGTGCATGACAAGTCTCAGAATCTTCCAGACCCAGACATTTTCGCATTTGATACCTCGACCGCCCGACTGGTAGGGATGATGATGCGAAGGGGGGGGTGCATGTTGTGGTGGTCCTCCTCCTCCCGGGGGGTGCTGGCCACCACCGGCGCCTCCCGCGCAACTGCTGCTCCCCGGATGCACGAGGGGCGGGCCCCCGGGTGCCCCGGCGCGACTGTACGGGTGCGAGTGCTCGTACTTGCTGCTGATATCAAAAGGAAAAATCCCCCCTCCCCATATCAAAACGGAAATCTGTGATGCAGATTTGTTGTCACAAATCAGCTTTGTCATGCTACACGGGAAAAGATGCGGACTGTAGTGCTGGGTGGCGTGGGGAAGCCTTCCATCTTCAGCATGATAGGAGGCATCTGAGAGTGGGAAACAGCATGACAAATTGCCTGTAAACGAGGCCACGACTGCGCCTCTTGGCCTTCTAGCATGACAAGTCGATTTGTGACCTCAAATACAGCATCACAAATTTCGTTTTCGATATGGGGAGGGGGATTTTTCCTTTCGATAGCTGAAGGGCGGTAACTGGTGGTGTTCTCGTTGGTCCCGGTGCATCAGAAAGTCGCTGTGCTGTTGGTCCTATGCATTGCAAAAGTCGTACTAATCGTATTCGTGCATTACAAATTTGAATTTCGTTGTTAAGTTGAATCCGCATTACAAATTTCATTTCTCATCATGCTGAGGAAATTATTTTTATTTGTCATGCGATTTATACTAGGACGATACTTTTGCGGTGCATAGGTCCCGGCTGTCCCGGGGAAAAAACTGGTGATCCGCAGGCCCGCCGCGTTGGTGCAAGGGCGGTAGATGCTGTTGGTGATGTTGACCACCGGCTGTCGCGCCGGCCATCAGTTCCCGGTCGCGTTCGCGTTGCAGGTGCAGCTGCTCTAGTTCTCGCAGTTCTCGGTCCCGCAGTTCCATTTCGCGGTCTCGCATCAGCTCCGCCCGGTCGCGAAAGCTGAGCAGTTCGCGGTCCCGCATTTGCAGCTCCCGGTCGCGTATGGATTGCAAATAGGTCTAGGTCTGGAAACTTGTGATGCAAGGAAGGCAATACTTAGCACACTGCAATGCGCTGCCAAGCATGACAAGTTTTTCCGTTGTTCTGGGTTGCATATTCCGCATGAGAAGCTCCATTTTGCATGACAGGCAAGAGAAGCTCTTCGCGGCCACGCAAAACAGAGTTCAGAGTCATGCCAGACTAGCATGACAAGTGTCACAATCATCTCCCAGACCCAGAGATATTTGCGGTTGATATCGCGCATCTCCCTGTCGCGCAGCTCGCGGAGGGAAATACCGCCGGCCGTGGCCGCGGCCGCGTTGTCTCGGTCACGGAACGAGAGCGGCTGCCCACGCGGCGGCATGTTGGTCACGTGATGCTGGTGCTGGTGAGGTTTTTATCCACAGTAATTATTTTCGAAATCTTCCCGCAGACTTACAAAAAATGCGGTTCTTTCTGTATGTTGACAAAACATGCCTTCGATTGTTCGCTACTTAGCATAAGACATCAAGTCGTGGCATGCTGTAGGTGGGCCACGAAGTTTGATGTGCTGCATTTCCGTTTTGTACTTGCAGTACGAGAATAAATTTACTGTGGATAGAGGTCCTCCTTGCGGGTGCTGTGCACCCCCCGCCCCGCCGCCGCCGCTTCCCGGCTGCTGCATTACCGTCGGAGTTGTAGTCGTTGCTGGTGCACCGGATGTTGCCGCGGAACAAGATCCCAGTGGGGGTGGTGGGAAAGACACTGAAGTAGAAATTTTGTTGTTTTCATCATACGTATCGTCGTCGACGTCCTACTTACTTTGTCGACGTGCTTATAAATTGTTGCCGCCAACTACAATGAATCATCATGGTGTTTGTGCTAGACGATAATTTTTGCCACAGTCGCACGCAAGAACAAGAACATGAACAAAGATCCTACATCAAAAGTACTTACCTCCAGCACCGCTGTTCCTTGGTCCCGAGGATGACGAGGCGGGTCCGTTGCCCGGCGTTGCACAATGATGCGGCTGCAGCAAGGGTATCAACTGTAAAAATGTCTGGTCTGGAAGAATCCAACTTGTCATGCTGATTTTGGATTCTAAGAAAATCTGTATTGCATGCGCAGCAAATAGAGTCCAAGTCTTGCTACACGGAAAGAGCATTTGCCATGCGGTATAGGCATCAGGAAGCCCTCACAAAATCTGTGATGCTAGGGCATGCATCACAGACATCAGGAGTCATGTTGGAAGGCTAAGGGCAGGGCGTCCCATTCGTTTATAAACTTAAAACGGTAGCCACCTACCCAGCAAACTCTGAGTGGAATAAGCACGGGCAAAGCGATCACTACCAAGAGACAGTCACAAGAGCTCCTGGGACGGCTGCGGGATGAGCTTTGTAGCCATCTGAGTACTAGGGATAACTTTGTCGGCAGACCCACCAGCGCTGAGGGATAAAAGAACAGTAAAAAAGCGGTAAAGTCATCTACTATGGCACAGTCCGAAGTACGAAAAAACCCATCTTAAAAAAGTGAGGCAAGATGTAATGTAGTTGCTTTCAGGAGTCATGCAAAATGTGCATGACAAACCTGGCAATCTTCCAGACCCAGACATTGTTACATTTGATAAAGGGCTGCTGTTGATGCTGATGATGATGCGTCGTTGGAGGTGGCGGGTGCTGCGGCTGTCCTCCTTGATGCTGCGCAACATGAAGATGTGGTGGTGGAGCGCCCCCGGGAGCTCCTGTGCCTGGGCCCGGCCCACCTGCTCCGGGGGTGGTGTTAAACTGCTGTTGGTGATGATGCTGTTGTAGCTGGTGTTGCTGATGCGGGATTCCAGCAGTAGTTCCTCCTCCTGCTGCGCCAGCGTGTTGGTGTTGTTGGGCATGAAGATGTTGAGCACCACCCGGCGCCGCGCCCGCGCCCGGCAGTGGCGGAGGACCTCCGCCGCCGCCTCTCATGTGGTGCGCCTGCGCTGCACCTCCAGCAGGACCTAACTGCTGGTGGTATAATCCTGGTTGTTGTAGGCTTGGCGAACTGCTCGAGTTGGACGCTGGGGGCAGGCTTGGAGAACAACTACTGCTAGAGTTACCAACAGTTGTGCCCGCAGTAGCTATATGCATTGCAAAAGAATCGTACTCGTAGTATTGCAACACAAATTAGCTCAGCATGACCAACGGAATTTGTCATGCTGATTTAGCTTGAAAATGAGATTTGTCTTGCATGACTGCGATTAGTACGAGTACGATGCTTTTGCACACGATAAGTTAAAGTCGCGCTCCAAAAACCACCCGTGGACGTCGTAGTCGTAGTGCCAGGAGCGGGAGCTCCGGGAACCAAACCAGGGGCACCCGGAGCCAGTGGAGGTGCGCCTAGCTCTTGTCCACCACCGCCACTCACCGGTCCGTTGGTAGAAGGAGGTGGATATGCAATGCAAAAGTATCGCACTCGTATAATAAATGAAAATGCATTACAAATTTCCTCAGCATGAGAAATAAAATCTGTAATGCGGATTTACCTTTAGCAAAAAAATTGTAATGCATGACTGCAATTACTACGAGTGCGATACTTTTGCACAGGATAGTGGACCGCCAGTGGTGTGGACGAGGTGAGACGTTGGTGTGCCCGATATCAAAGTGAAAAATCTCCCCTCCCCATATTAAAATGGAAATTTCTGATGCTGATTTGTGGCCACAAATCGCCTTTGTCTTGCCTATAGGGTCATAGGAGCCCGGTGGCGCATTCTACAGCCAGTCTGTGATGCGCTTTCGACTACTGTAAACCTGTTTTCCATGCCTGATTGCTAGCCTTCTGCATACCCGAACAGGCTTGGAAAATACCGCCAAGCACTTCCAGCAAGACAAATCTGATTTGTGACCACAAAGCAGCAACACAAATTTCCATTTTGATATGGGGAGGGGGGATTTTTCCTCAGAATACCCGACGAGTTTTGACCAGAACTGGTGGAGTTCATATTTTCGGTGGACATGCTATCGCACGAAAAAACTGTTTCACTGTGATGATTTTGCAAGATCTGCATCACAAGTTTGTTACACATAACACTGGTGAAAATTTGTCATGCGCGCTTTCCAAGGGGGAACACACTTGAACCTCCAATGCTCTATGCAGGTGTAGCAAGACAAATAGTTCTGTATTCCATTTTCTGCATCACAAGTTCACAGCGAAAGAGTTTTTTCGTGGGATACATGCTGTTGTTACTGTGGTTGTTGAACATGATATCACAGGAAAAAAGTGTTACAGTTACACATTCGTTGCAGTTTCAGCATCACAAAGTTGCCTTATTCCTGGCAAAGAAACCTTGTGATGCACAGCCACAGACTGTATAGGGAAAACGCGCATGAAATGGGGCTGGAAAGCATTTCCTGCATGACAGAGGTTGTCTGTCTTGCTGGTCTTGCATCAGAGTCGTGTGTCACTGTTAACACTTTCTTCTCACGATACATGATGTGCGGATCATTCGAGGTGTCGCACTCGTCCGCGGTGCTCCGGGCGTCGTCTTGCAACAGCTGTTATCAACCGCAAATGCGTCTGGGTCTGGAAGAATGTAAAAAGTCTATCATGCTCGACTAGCATGACTCTTAAGTCTGTCATGCACGTTGCCCAAAGCCTAGCTCACCTCTCTGTCAGGCAGAAACGTAGTTTGTCATGCTGATTAGACAACGCGAACACCTAGAGACGCAGAGACTTGTCATGCTCAGCCTGCAGTTTTGGCATCCTCATGATTCGCCACTCAACATCACAAGTTTCCAGAGGACCAAGACATATTTGCATTCGATAGCTGTGCCGAGCCGAGGAGTTGCTCGTGCTGTCTACCTATGCATGTCAAAAGTATCGCACTCGTATTGCAATCATGCATTACAAATTTTTTTCTCAAGGTACATCCGCATTACAAATCTTATCTCTCATGCTGAGGGAATTTGTCATGCATTTATACGAGTACGATAGTTTTGCAGTTCATACTACCGATCTGGTCTACTGGATCCTCGTCCACCTCTTCTAGTTGGTGCCTCTCAACTAAATCCTGCTGCGCAATGTCCTCGTCCTCTTGCAGATGTTGATCACCAGCATCGTGTATCAAGTGCAAAAGTGTCTGAGTCTGGAAACGTGTGATGCTGAGTGGCGTAGCATGAGGAGGCCACAAGTGCTGGCTCAGCATGACAAATTTCTAAGCTTGTAGGTGTTGCCTATTCTGCATGACAAACTGCGTCTCCGCATGGCAGAAAAGTGCGGCTCTTGGGCAACGTGCATCACAGATTTAAGAGTCATGCCAGACAAGCATGACAAACATGCATTCTTCCAGACCCAGACATTTTTGCATTTGATATCGTGATCATTTTTGTCCTCTGCTAGAAACTCGAGGCCCGGCATCCGTTCGAATTGCGGACTCACTTCGTGGACCAGCCGCGGTTCTGAGGACGGAAATTATCGCAAGAATACGATGCATAATGGGAAGAATAGTCTATTTCAGTTTTTCATGTTGGACGAGGAACAGGAGCGAGAAATTAGTTTTTCATGCACGACAAACGAGATATTACAGTTTTTCGATGTACCAAAAAAGTGCTAACTATACCTGTTCTCTGCGAGGGCGCCCGGGTCTCTTGGGCACAAGATATGGTGAGGAAAATGGAGGAGGAGAAAACAAATGTGATTCTAGAACTCCTTCTTCTACATAACGATCGTCGTGGTCTACTTTTACGAAATATTGATTCGTCTTTTTTCCATGCTGTAACGGCCATGCATGCACATGAGAAATCCAGTCATTCACTACAACTACATCTTCCTATGCTGCTAAAGTGAGTATGAGTCAGGTAAGGCTCCACGACCTAAATAATGCTGCGCATGAGAAGATATTACTGCGGCCGCACCATGCTGCAGATGCAGTACTACACGTGGCACTACTGTAGTAACTTCTGTAAAATTGTTTTAAGTAGTACAGGAGAAACAGAAAGAGAAATCTTGCTCCACATGATCTACAACTTTGCTAAGCATCCTGCTTGCGTTTCTAACTCCTCACTTTCCATACAGCTGGTGACCATCTTGTGGATAACCGCAACGGCGTGGTCTATGCATCGCAAATATGTGTCTGGGTCGACTGACAGAATGCCAGACTTTTCGTTTTAATGCTCGCTGGACTAAGTAGCAGAAATAAAAAACTGCTGGGACGTGTGATGCATGTTTCGCAAAAACGGTAGTGCTCCTTTTTGAGGCAAAAACGCGATTTTTGTATGCGCAGATGAGGGCTGCAGCAACCGAGTGGACTTCAGAAAACGTGGCGTCATGCACATTAGTTCACTGCGACGCGTTCCGATGAGATAAGTAAAAGCGGAATTTCGTGGAATTTTGCGTCTCGAAAATTGCCAGCAGGGCACTGCGTACCCCGCCCAGGCAATATTGCCCCATTGAGTAGACCTGCGCGATGTTTTGTAGCCCTGGCTCCCGGCTGTTCTTTGTGTATCTTTTATGTATCGCTGTGTCTTCTTTTCCAGGTGGGCCGATATTGTGTCGTGGGGCAGAAACGATACCCGGAGTGGGCGCCTAAGCGCCAACACGCAACAAGATAACACTTCGTGGGCTCTCAGGGCAATAACAATCGGAAGCCCTGCAGGCCTCTCCTTCAATATTACCATGCGCGTGGGGCCCGACAAGGGCCACAAATTCTGCGCCAGTGGCCTGCAAATACGCCAGACGGAACAGACAGAAGCTCTCTTTTTGCCCTTTCGGATTCCTTTCGTGGCGAGGCCCCTGGCTACGTTTATTGGCCATCCTGCCTTTCAAGTGCCACCCCTTAGGAATTTGCTTGGAATTTGCAGCAACCATGAATGAGGTCTGCAGCAACCGAGTGGACTTCAGAAAACGTGGTGTCATGCACATTAGTAGAAGCTCTCCGTAATTATATTGACTTTGACATGTGCTTGCCATCGTCCGCATGAAGATAGCACGACGGGTTATTTCCAGATCCAGACATATTTCCAATTCGTATGGTCAACACCCTCACAATTGCCGGGGAGTATGGCGCCGCAAAAGAGATGCAGATTGCGAATCTTCACAGAAGTTAGAGCTACTTCACCATAAGGGGCTCTACATGACACAATGTAGGTAGCTTTTCCATGACAAAACAGCTGCACGATTTTTCTTCTTCAACGAACTTTTCCAATACTTTTTCATCTCGTTGATGGAGTGCGAAACACAGTACCCACAAGAGAAGCAAGTACCTACCTATTTCTAACAAGGCAGAACCCGGCTATGTATCCCGGGCTTTGAAATCTTCTGCAGCTGATTTTGCTAAATTTGGGCTCTTCCTTGATTCGAAATCAGCAGCTCTTTTCCCGGCATAAAAATGTGCGCAGTGGCGTACCCGTTTTCACAATTGCTGATGTGGATCTGTGAGAGAGTCGATGTCCTTTTTTTTTTGCACAAACAATCGCCATCATCAGCTTAATAAATTGACAACATCACCAAAGGATCATGGAATACAAAGTCAGTGTCTAATACTGCATCTTCCCGCAACATATTGAGACTAACACGCAAAAAAAAAAATCCTGTACCTCGGTGCTGGTGTGTTTTTTTATTTTCGTCAGGGTCTGCTCTTCCGGACCGAGAAGGAGAGAAAGAAGGGTATGGGAGGGAAACGTATTTTGTAGCATACTAGCAGCATGTTCCAACATGTAGTTGTGTTTGATTTTGTCATGCGGGGGTGCAGCACCGATTTTGGTTACACATGAATATAAGAATATAAGCATTTGTACTCCTCCACTTAGCCGTGCCGAACTACAAAAACTGGAATGACAAACAACACAGAAAGTCCATTTTGTCATTTCTCTATTTCTTACCCATTCATATGATTATGGTTGTTGTCTCTTTCGGCGGGCATGACAAAGTACACAAACACCAGTCTTCTACTTTGCATCTGCAATGCTACACGACGAACCACGCACTCTATATTAATTTCTGTCCCATACTACTTCTCTGGTACTTGGAGGTCTTTCCCGAGCACGTCACCTATCAAATGCAAATATGTCTGGGTCTGGAAGGATGCGAACTTGTGATGCTGCAGCTGCATTCTACAAAAATATGTATTGCATTAACAGCAGAAGAAGTCCAGTTTTTTCCATTACGAGAGGGCATTTCTCATGCGGTATAGGCATCAGAAAGCCCTTTTGAAATCTGTGATGCTAGGGCATGCATCACAGACATCAGGACTCATTGCAAAATGTGCATGACAGACCTTGCATCCTTCCAGGCCCAGACATTTTTGCATTTGATATCGCCGTTTGAATTGCAATTGGAAGACTGCGACTTTCCACGGGAATATGCACGACGAGAAATGCTGCGGCCCAATCGATGATGTGATGTCCACCTCACGATGTTCATAATCATAGCACAAGAACAGGGAGCGCAGTTGTAACATCAGAGGCACTTACAACCATGTGAAAATCTGATGTCCTGGCATGAAATAAATGCATCAAAAAAATACGAAAATATCATGCACCGACTGTAACTGTATTTTCGTATACAATCAAGAACATCTTTCGATTGGCTTTTTTTTTCCCGAGTGGATAACTCCAGTGCAGCCAGCTCGGGGTCCACGTCCTATGCCTTGCAAAAGTATCGCGCTAGTTGTAAATCGCATTTGATTTACTACGAAAAATTGGGTCAGCATGACAAATGGAATCTGCATATGCTGTTTTAGCTCCTCAGGAAAAAGATTTGTCACGTATAATATGATCTGCAATTTATTAGTACCAGTGCGATACTCGTCTTGCAAGGCATACGTCCGGTTCTGTGTCAACCAGCAGAGTGGGCAAATCGCATGACCGATCGGCGAAGTCGGAGGTCTTCTTCTTCGGTTGACTTATGAAAATGGGATAAATCTCTAGACGGGATCGGCATCGGGAACAAAGAGAAAGAGAAACAGAAAGAAAGTACAAAAATAAACTTTCATTTTTGCCCATGCACTTACTTCTATCTCTATGTGCTGGACCTGCTGAAAGCTCAAGGAGCTTTGATTGTCGTCCCGACAATACTCGAACTTGCCCTAGATGACTCACAACCCTGGACGACGGCAGGAGCTCCTCGGGGATAAGTAGTAGAGAAACTAGTATGAACAAGAACCAGCATATGAAGTACATACCTTGATGATGTTCTTGTTAAAAAAATAGAGAAGTTGCACTAGACTCGGTTCCTTCGTCCGCCCTTGAAGAACTGTGGGAGATGATTTCTTCTCTGTCATACGCAACTGGAATTGCTCCGTCGAAGGGGCTATCAAATGTAAAAATGTCTGGGTCTGGAAGACTGCAACTTGTCATGCTAAATCTGAAGCATGCAAAAATCTGTGTTGCATGATTACCAAAAGCTGTCCACTTTTGACCTAATCGAGAGGCAGTTTCCCATGCAGGAGAGGCATGATAGAACTCTCACAGAATCTGTCATGCTCTGTCCTAGATACCAGACCTCATGAGTCATGTAAAATCTGCATGACAAGTCTGGCATTCTTCCAGACCCAGACACTTTTACAGTTGATAGGGGCTATGGAGGGGAAGAGAAATTTTACTTGCTTCTTGCCCCCGATCATGCACTTCTCATGCGCTATGTATCCTTCTACTGCGTGATTGTCTGTGAAACGGAAATTTACGCACGGCTGCATCTATTGGGGAGGCAAGAAGCTCTTAGAATTTCAATCCCGTAAACATCAAGATCATTGCGTCCGGATCGTCGCTCTCTATGCGAAAGAAAATGTCTTTCCATTATTCGCTTCTTCTACTGCGTCATTTTCGAGAGAATGGCATGCATACTACTGATGACAGCATTAGCGCCGTCAAGGTCAACTTGCAATGCATATTTCACATCACATAATATAAGATGAAGCTCACGAAGATGGCAAGAAATTTTCCATTGCATATCCATCTCGGTAGGTCCGGAAACGAATGGGTTTACGGTTGCCATTTGGTGTTTTTTTTTTGTCGAAAGAAACTACTGGTGGTCTGTGTCTGACCGAACGATATAAAGGTCGCCGGCGATACTTACAACGAAATCGAAATCGGTGCTCACACACGATGAGAAACTACCGTGGTGATTGACGACACGATGTGGAAATTTTTACGATGCAGAGTTGTACTATGCACACAAGCTCGCGACAAACGCGAATCGGAGATGATGATATTCAAGATTCCTATTCACACGGACTAGAAGAATTGCTTCAAGAATCGGTTTCGACATCAAGATCAAAAATGCAAATGGTGTCACGACTTTTTGATTATAGACACCAAAGATTTTTACTCATCTAGGTTTCCAGTTTTCTTGTTCGCACGACCTTCTTCTAGGAATGCTTGTAAGAATTGTGTTGATGAAGATCGTCGAGTCCGCCGATTTGATGGTATGAAGATGATGATGAGTACGAGGCTTGCAACTTGAGATGCTTCTTCTTCCTCGTCGAAGCAGGAGGAGTTTCTTTCCGCATACGATTTTTTGTTTTCTTCCCTATACTTCTAAAGATGACAGGAGGTAGGAAACTAAACGATGAACTCGGACATCAGAGACAAATGAAAAACGATTCGAGCTGGTTTTTGCTTGGAAAATTCGCGAAGAAGAAAACATTAATACTCGCCTTGGTCTTGTTGCTAGAAGTTGTGCATATAGTAAAAAACTATCAATTTTTGATCCAGACTACTAGTAAGACTAATGCAGAAAACTGCTGCTGCAGGAGCCCCTTGAGCTTTTTTATGAGTAGGCCTTTTTGGTTTTTGCTCCTACCTTCATCTCGCGTCGACTTCTATTATTACTAGCTAGTGCCAGTTTGCTGAGTTTCTATTTTTTTAACGGCGAGGGATTGCATCAAAAAACGAAAATTTGGTGTCCATTATGACGCCTGAGTGGTTCTACTTATAGCACATCGTTATATGAGACAGCAAACTTTTCACAACATGTACGCCCCTGAAGTAGATTTTGGTGTATCATGTCATGAAGATATTCTTGAGAGCTGCACTCTTCTTGTGGTTCCTCAGCTTTAAGGAGAACATGGTGGAAACTTTCTTTACTAGAAGTGCCTTGTAGTTGTGTTCTATGAAAAATATCTGTTGCTGTAACTGGCTGCGTCATACATGATTCAGCTCCGAACTTCAACACTTGCTTCAACCTCTTGATGGATTGTTCTACAGCTTTTCGTAGCTGCACTAGCTTTATCCTTTCTCCCGGCGATTGAAGATTCAGCCGAAATTTCTTGCGAAAATTACCTCGCGATCATTGGCTTGCAGCGATTCGCGAGTGCGATCTGATAAGAATGAATGCTCCACCGCGACAAGGACTTTGTTGCACTGCTGAGGAAATACAAAAAAAGCAGGCGATTTTGATGGCAATAGTAAGCGCGCAAGAAAAATTCTTCCGCACAGTAAAACAAAAAAGTTTTGCGCTCGTGGTTCTAATCAGAATTCGCCAGCGATGATGTCGTTCTTGTGTAGTTGAGAATGATGAGACTCGCGACTTTGAAAGCAGGACTTTGAGAATTGAGATTCAGCGAAAGCAGCACAGTAGGAGCGCGAAGTAGCAGGAACAACAGCAGCAACGACAGATTTCGTACTAGTGTCGAAAACTCAGCCTTGATGGCATCGACTGACCTCCGCGGCCGCGTAACGACAAGCCACGACCTCCTAAGCCCAAGGATATTGATATACTGGCACAGCTTGCTCCTGCGATGGTCTACTTGCTTCTACCTAGTGTAGTAGTAGTCATCGTCGCGCTCCCAGAAAGAGAAACCACCACCAGGGCCACGAAATAAAATCGAGTACTCCGTCTCAGTCACGGTTTTTACTAAGTACTTAGCCGCACTGTAGCGGCAGTGCCAAATTTCCAATCGTTAAGGGAGAACTTTGCAATTGAAGATCATAGTACCATAATCGCCCCCCGCTGCTCAAAAGAGGAGCCGGCACTTGTTTGTTAAATTAGAACTAGAAGCTGTATTCTAAGCAGGCTACTTATTTGCGGCCAAAATTCTGTGTGCTAAAACGCTGCGCTTGATCGGAACAGTTTCTGTTTCTTTCTCGTGCTCCATAATCTAATTGATACGACCTCTAGAACTAATACGACGCTTGCTGAGAGGACTAGAAGAGATTGGTCGTGATGTTGCACCACCGCTGAGATGAATACTACAACTACAAACTTAGACTTCGCTCGTCCGGATCTTCGTGTAATTATTCGTTGCTTTTACCAATTTGAAATTCCAATTCGTAAATTGAAACTTTTCGTTTTTGCTTTCACGAACAAAACGACTTTTTTGATTGTTCACGACTTCTTATACTGTACATGTACTAGTAGTTCTGGTGACCACCTGGCGATGTCGTGTATAGCAAATGACTTCTGGCTCTGCACTACAACTTCTGCTGCGGAACACTTTTTATTAAAACTGTGGGTTGCGGACGAGGAGCAACAATTCTTATGCTCGATCAGTCGCACAAGCCAGGCGTCCTTTTAGCGGACTATAGCTTTGCGTGCATTCCTCTACGCAGGAAGCGTGTACTTGCATCATATCGCAATCATGGAGGTGGTACTTAAAGGCCAACACAACTGGAACAGGTCGTGATTGGTACAGCTGGGATACAGCATGGTCGACATGCACAGAAAAGGGTTCGGCTTTGACCCAAATTATGATTATCGTCAGGCACAGCACTCAAAAACATAATTTACGTAAAAGAGCTGAAAAAAATGTGATAGAAAATAGAGCTGGGATACAGCTACATCAAATCTCAGTACGGTATATGTTGAATGTGGTATAGCTGAAGCTGTGATTTAATATAGTTGTGATGGACACTACTGCTACTGTAATTCTACTTCTGACGACGTATTTTTAAGTGATTTACACCCCTTCCCCCCGATCGAATTTCATATCTCCGCTATTTTCTCCTCCTGCAGCAACAAGAACAGCGTCCTTGCTATCCTCCTCTCCGTCCTCGTCGCCCAACTCTGGAAGCAACTCGATCGGGTAATTTTCGTATCAGCTGCAAATATGTCTGGGTCTGGAAGGATGCACCTTGTCATGCCAAATCTGAATCATGCAAAAATCTGTGTTGCAGGATTACCAAAAGCTGGCCACTTTCCACCAAGTTGAAAGGGGGTTTCTCATGCAGAATAGGCATGATACAGGTCTCACAGAATCTGTCATGCTACGTTCTGCATTCGAGACCTCATGCGTCATGTAACACCTGCATGACAAGTTTGCATCTTTCCAGACCTAGAGATATTTGCAATCCATACTTCGCTTATTTTCACGATGGGCACGTCCATCTCCCCCCGTCGGAACGGGTTCAGGATCCAGTGCAAAAGCATCGCACCCGTACTAATTGCAAATAAGCATGACAAATCTTCTTCCTAAGGTAAAACAGCATTACAAATTGCATTTGTCATGCTGAGCAAACTTGTGATGCAATTTAGACTTAGTACGATGCTTTTGCATTGCATATTCAGTTCCCGCATCCTGCGGTTCGCTTTGGTCATTTCCCACCCGGGCTTCGCGTATCCTATGTAAAAACGTCCCCACCCCATAGTCAAGTTGCGAACTCGGCAACACAAATCCAGGAGCGAGTTTCGGGAGACATGCATGGCAAGTCTGTCTTTGTACTGTAGTGCGGCTTAGCAAGGACAGTCGCATCACAAACCCTCCTCCTCATCCTGTTTACGGCATTACAAATTCCAAAACACGATTGGAAATTCCTCTCATGTAGGTGCGCATTACAAATGTTCCTGTCATTGCAAACCCGCATGACAACTATCGGGTGGGGACGTTTTTACATGGGATATCGCGTTTAAGGAGGTTAGCGGGACCGCGGATCCGAGTTTCGCGAAGAGTTGCTGCGGGACTTGGAATATGCACTGCAAAAGTATCGTACTAGTATAAATCGCATGACAAATTCCCTCAGCATGAGAAATGGAATTTGTAATGCGGATTTAGGTTAGGAGGCAGATTTGTGATGCGTGATTGCGATTACTACTAGTACGATACTTTTGCATTTGATATGGAAACCCATCTCGAGGGCGCCCTGGGCGATGGACTCGAAATTCTTCTTCATATCGAATTCGTACACGCTGGTCCCCTTTGCGTCGTCTAGAAACCAGGTTTCGCGCTCGCAATCGAAGTAAATGTATGCGTCCGATTTCTTTATGCTGTGTAAAAACGTCTCGCACCTTGTTCCCAGAGTTCTTGTCATGCGCATTCCTATTTTTTGCATGTTGTCCGGAAGATGAACATCATCTCTCATGCGGCTTCGCATCATTATTTTGGAAGGCATTTTGTGATCATGCGCTGCATACATTTAGAGTTGAGATATGAAAGAGAGGCGGTTTGATGCAGTGAATATGCGGTTGGTCTGTCTAGGCTACGCGACGGCGCTGCTCTCAGAGTCGAACTTGTCATGCGTCAATCCTAAAAGTTGAAGTTGTTCTGGATTCATTTGTCTTGCAGGGTATGAATAAAGGACGGGCGTTTTCACCTTATGATACTCTCGTGCTGGTAGTAGTCCGCATGTTGGTTCACCGCTATCCAGAAGTCTTCCGGGGTGCCAAAGTTTTCCCGCTTGCAAATTTTGCGGAAACCGTTGGGCACGTTGATGATCGCTGGTAGTCTCTGTTTCGTCTTTATCCAAGAAAAAAACATTGTAGGTGTAACTTTCTTGGAGGATTAGCATGACAAATATCTCTCGCATGAAAGCAACCACCTGTCATGCGCAGATAGTACGGGAAAACGCCGTGGAATGGGCCCTACGATGCATGCCAAGCATGACAGACGCAATCATCTTGCATGTTGCGCATCACAAATTTACACTAACAACGTTTTTTTCTTGGATAGTCTTCGGGTCATACCTCGGGAAGGGGATGGAAATCGCCTCCTGGCGGGAGTTATCAAATGTAAAAGTGTCTGGGTCTGGAAAGTTGTGATGCTGGGTGGCGTCTCATGATGAGGCCGCAAATGCTGGCTCAGCATGACAAGTTTCTGAGCTTCTAGGTGTTGCTTATTCTGCATGACAAACTGCGTTCCTGCATCGCAGAAAAATGAAGCTCTTGGGCAACGTGCATGACAGATTTAAGAGTCATGCCAGACAGGCATGACAAACATGCATTCTTCCAGACCCAGACATTTTTACATTAGATAGGAATAGAGACCGTTCAATTCGCGAACCCCAGCGCCAACGATTACCAATTCATCCGTTGGCGGACGGTTGAAATGGATCGAGGGACGAGCGCTGCCGCGAGAGGAGCCGCGCGAGGAGGGTTTGCGAGGTTGGCCCACTGCAACGGTTGCCATGCTGGTACTGCCGTTGCTTAAGTAGGAGACTAGTTGTAGTTTGGAAGATGCGCGGCCCGCAGGAGATAAAAAAAGTAAAATTATTTTTATTCTCGACCACTCGGTACTGTAAATTGAAAAAGAACAGGCACAGTTGCTCTGCAAATTGCAGGATGCATTTGTCCAAAATTGAAAGTCGCGATTAAAGAAAAAATCGCTCACGAATTTGAAGAGTGGTTTTTAGTTTAAGTTTGCTTTAGGGAATAAGAAGAAAAGCTCGCTGTAGTACATACTTACTAGTATAGCGCCGCTCTTCTTCAGGGGGGGGTGCGTACTATGGAGTACAAACTAAACGATCTTAGAAGTAGTAGAAGCAGTCACCTGACAGTTGGATTGAGGCATACACTCGTATTCGCTTCAAGATGTCCTTGGACAATTTGACGAGGTGGTATTGAACCTAGACGACCACGAGAACGAAAGACACAACAAATAAAACAACACGACAGGGACGAAACAAACACCATGAGAGACGACAAATACGCACGACCGGATGAAGACGAAGAGTAGGACCTGTCCAACCGGATACTCAGAAACTGAGATGATGTTGAACGACTAACGAGTACTATACCGAGAGTATCTGTGACGGGTACGAGGACGAGCTGCGAGAAAGAGTTCGCAGAAATAAACGCACGACTTTTATTTCCGGTGTACCTGCACGACGACGTACGAATAATTCTTGGCGCATGACAACCACAACAATGATGACGACAACTTGTACCGTATACCGGTGGAGTACCAACGTACTGTTTCAATGTCAAACGAACAAACCACTACAACCACCTGCTGGTGCTCCTGCGGACGAGTGAGTCCTACTCACTTGGCCCTTTGTGTTGTCATGGTACGAGGATGTTGTGATAGAAACAAATTGTCGTGTCGGGAACGGATAAAGTTTAAGTTTGCCTGTCTCTGTTCAAATGTTGTTTTAATTACAATCGAGTAGTACTTCGTTTATGTAACTCTAAGTTCGAGCAGCACAATCTTACAATGGGATACTATGTCAGATGATGAGCACGACGCTTTTGAGTTGTTCTAGAATGTCAGTAAATTATGGGCATATAATTCAACAGATCCTGCGAGCTTGTCGTACAATCATTTTACATAAAGCTGCCTGACAAAAGCACGGTCTTCATGCTCGTGAAGAATACAACGGGAGCGGACTCAGACAAATGTAGGTAGCACCGTCTTACTTAGTATCTTTAGTTTTGAAGTTCCACCTCACGTCCTTCCCTCTAATGATTCCTCCGGGACGAGGTGCAATCTTGACGACCGGGGCCTTCTAGTACAAGAACCGGATTTCATCTTCATCTTGATGTCGTTGTACTAGTTCTAGATCTAGTCCTTGCCCTGTCAGGACTCCTGACAATAAAACCACTTTTTTCATGTCAGCAGATCTTCGTCGAAAGCGAAACGATTTCGATTTATCCTCATCGTCTTCGCAGATGATGAGGAACCAGAAATAGACTCGTCCTTGCTAATACTAGTGGTCGTAGTTGTAGCTCCTCCTACTAGCTGGTGCATCATGTGCTTCGTCTCTCCTTTCTGCTCCAATTGGTTCAGCGCTTGGATTTGCTTCTCAAATTTCGGTATACATCGCAATAATGAAAGTTGTATCGCTTCTACTAAAGAATAACTTGCATCACAAATAAGTTTTTGAACCCACAGTACCTGAGAGACGCAGACGAGTTCTTTGTTATGCGTGATGGTGATCAGACATGAGGAAGAAATTTGCAATGCAGTCCTGCAATTTTAACTAGCACGATACAACAACTTTTGCAGAGGATAATCGGATTCATTTGCCACGTTTCGTCGTAGGAGTTGTTTATTGAAGATCCACTTGTTGTTTGCTGATTCTTGTTCAAGTTGACAACTCCAGCAGAAGGCTCTTGGATAAAAATTTTGCTCGAAATTGTGCTCTGACTTATCTCTTGCTGTTGCTCCTTCGAGCTGGCCCGAGTGCTGTTCTCCGAGGGTGGCAGTTGCAAGAAATGCGACGGATCTACTATTTCACGCGAAGAAGCTGCTTGCGCACCTGCGGCGGCGAGAAGGTGTTTCTTGCACCAAGCAGGCTTGACGGGCCTCGTGTCGGATGGTTCTTCTTCTTGATCGTGTTCAGCCGCGGCTGGATGATCGTCGTGTTGACCGTGGTTCATCCCGGCGCCTTCTTCTTGTGAAGAACCAGTTCCAGCCTCTCCGTTCAGACTCCGCATCACCTCCCGAGAAGCGGCGACTAATTCCCGCTTGATTTCCTCCGGATGCTCTTGATGACCTTGTTGGTGGTGTTGGTGGTGGTTCTTGCTCGTTGCGGCCGTGCGTTCTTGACTGTTGATGTTATATTCCTCTTGCAAGGAAATTGAGTTTTTTTCCGACAAACAGGAGCCGAGATTGGAATGCAGGCAACTGTTTGTCGTGCGGCTGGTGTCCAGCAGTAATTGGCTATTGGAGGTAGAAGTTGCTGCTGCAGCATTCAGGAGCACGCTGTTACTAGTATTATTTCCGCCTGAAGAAACTTCTGCACCTGCCTCGTACGTCGAATTTTCGCTCAATATCGCGGCCCGCCGGCTGCACCTGCGCTCCATCTTGGCCCGGGTGTATGAAATGCAAAAGCATCGCACTAGTAGAAATCGCATTTCAAATATTCTCAGCATCTGAAATGGAATTTGTAATGCGGATTTGCCTTAAGATTTGTAATGCACGACTGCGATTACTACGAGTAAGATACTTTTGCACAGGATAGGGTGTGCTCCACAGCGATTTTCAGCTGCAGTTTATAGCGCCTCTTCTCCTCATCCTTCTCCTGCTCGTGTTGCTCCTGCTGCTTCAACAACTCCGCTTGCAGCTGCTGGATTTGCAGGTCCTTGTCCTCTTGATTTGTAGTTGTAGTTCGCGCACTGATCTCGCCGCCGTTCGTCCCAACAGGACCTCCTCCTGCGGTGTTCATCCGCAAGGGGGGCGGACAGGTAGAGGTGGAACTTGTTTTGGAAGATGATTTCTCATTTGTAGATGAAGCAGAAGCAGCTGCAGCACCACTACTACTACTGCTGCTAGAAACTTCTACCCCGCCGGCGCCTGCGCGCCGCAGCTTTTCTGCGCTCTTCGAACTGCTGGTGTGAAGATTATTTTTGTACTGCTGGGTCGAATGATCGCAGATCTGTTGGCTGTGCAACAGCAGCTCGCTCCCGCGCAGCGCCAGGGCCTTTGCTTGTTTCTCGAAGTCTTGCTCTATCGACACGAAAAATTTTCCAATACCTTTACCTCCGTTTATTATTCCGTACATCAAAAACAGCGCTGTACTACAAAATGCATCACAAATTCAAATTTCATCGCGCCCAAGAACTTCGTGAGGTTCTTGTCATGTTGAACAGGATCAACATTGCAGGAAAGAAGTGTATTTGCCATGCAGATACGGCACAAGAGCTAGTAGTACGTGTACACATGTACTACCGCTTCTCCGGGGGCAGTGGCAGAGGATTTTTTTCCTGTTGATATGCTCTTTCAACTCCAAAAGCTCTTGTTTCAGCTGCAACTCGTGCTCTTTCACCTCGGTTTCGTCCTTCAACTTCCTTAGCTGTTCGTATTTCACCGTGAATTCCTTCTCCGTCGTGCGCCGGATATCCTCCAAAGCCTTCGCGTTGATTTCCAACTCGGACATTTTCTTCTCGTAAAGTGCTTAATGCACTGCAAAAGTGTCGCACAAAGTACGTATTGCATATTTACAAATTTGAATACCCTCAAGAATCAAAGACTTGTCATATGCTGGATCTGGTACTACAAAGGCAAATTTGCCATGCACGACAGTACAATTCGTACGAGCACGAGCACGATATTACTTTTCCAGTGCATATGCTTTCGCTTGCGTCTCCTGATGTTCCATTTCGTTCTGCTTCTCCTGCCAGTAGTTTTTCATTTTCTCCTGCTGTTGCTTCGTGATCTGCAATTGCTTCTGCAGTTCCCGCTCTTGATTCGCCAGAATTTCGTTGTTTTTTTCCAACTGTTGTTCCTTTTTTGCTATCATATGTAAAAACGTCCCCACGACCCCATAGTCAATGATTGGGAACTTAGCAACACAAATCCAGAAGCTTTGGGAGCCACGCATGACAAGTTGCAGTCCGTCGTGTAGTGCATGTGAGCAAGGTCAAGGAGAACCGCATCACAAATCCATCTGCGTATCCTGTTAGCAGCATTACAAATGCCAAAACACGATTGGAAATGCCTCCCTTGGGGGTGCGCATTACAAATGTTCCTGTAATTTATCATCTGCATGACAACTCTGCGGTGGGGAGGTTTTTACACAGGATATTTGCAAACTGTTCTTTGAAGCCCTTGTCGAACTGGTTTTTCAACTTTTCCCTCGTTTTATGAGGCTGCTCAACCTCTCCTCCCCCTCATTTGTCATGCAAAATCCCAAATCCAGGCTGTACCGCTTGTCGCAGCTGTTTGCATGACTACTTCTGGTAGCCCAAATAGCACTACAATCCAGCGCAAATGATTTGTAATGCAAAACAGGCACTCTTGCTGACACTTGCATTGCCGTTCATGCTATACAAATGAGGGGGAGGGGGAGTTGTGCATTGTCATACGTTTGAAAAATTTCCTCGTCGAAGTCCATCTGCAATTTCTAGTATGCATTGCAAAAGTAATCTATCTGGAGCATCGCACTCCTTGCAGTAACAATGAAGTGTAAATAAAATGACTTCATCGCATGACACAGAGCTCTCCTAAAAACAAGCGCGGTCAGAAAAAATACAAATCATCATCGGTCTTTATGTTTCATGCTGCGTAATAAAGGTAAAAAGTTTGGCATACGATTTCTCTTCTTCTTACTACGGAGCAGTAGTCCGATATTACTTTTATTGCGGTGGATATCTCCTTTTGCTTTGCGATTTCCTCGTGAAGTACTAAACTCCGTTCCTTCCACTTCTGTTCCTATGAGAGTGCCCAACTTCTGCCTCGTCTCGCCCTCATTTGTATAGCATGAACAGCAATACAAACACCAGCACACGTGGAGCCGACAAATCGCAAATTTTTTGCACGCCTAATGCAGAAGTACTGTTTCGGCTACTTCCGGAATATGTAATGCAGAACAGTGACGCAATCGCAAGGGAGCAGCTGGAATTGTGGGATTTGCATGAGAAATGAGAACGACGGGGAGTTGTGCACTGTCATAGCTCCTCCTCGTGCTTTATTTTCGCCAGTTCATGTTGAAACGAGTCTTGGTCCTGGATTTGTCTCTGCAGCTGCTGTTTCTGCATTTCCGTTTTTTCTTCTTCAAAGTGAAGTTTTTCGAGCTCAAACGCGTCTTTCAGAGCCCTCATCGCGGTCTTTTCCACACCTAAAATCTCGGTCTCAGATTTCAGCGCGGCCTGCTGGTCCTCGACTGTTTCCTCGCGGGACTTGATCTCCGCTAGTTTCTTCTGCATTTCGTCTGTAAAGTCTGCCACGTGGGTCTCGACCTTTAGTTTCAGTATTTCTATTTGCATGGATCATCTTAAACAATTTTGCGAATTCAAGTTTCAGTGTGCGATGCGTGCAGTGGAGGAAAGTAGCCAAATCATATTAGCTGACTACTTTTGCTCCATCAGTAATTGTTCTTCATCTTGTTCATCTCGGGCAAATGACAAAAATGAGATCATGACCACCATGCCTCATGTTACCTTCTCCCGCATTTTTCTGCACTCCGCTTCTTTTTCCTGAATGTATGCAGTTTTCCATTGATTCAAAGTTTCCTCCATCTGTTTCTCGTTCTCCGCCATGTTCTTCGCCGCGCCAGACTGCAGCTATCCTGTGCAAAAGGAATATCGCGCTCGTAGTAATCGCAGTCATGCATAATGACAAATCTCCATCCCGATCCCAAGGTAGAATTGCATGACAGATTTCATGCTGAGCTACTTTGTAATGCAATTACTACCAAAATACGATACTTTTGCAAAGCATAGCAACTGCTTCTCCCTAATTTCCATCGTTTCATCCAGCCTCTGCTGCAGGTCTTTCTCGTAATTTTCCGTCTGTACACGAATCTCCGCTTGCAGATAGTCCTTTTTCGCCGCTTCAAATTGGGTCTCGATTTGTGTCCTCGCGGTTGCCAATTTCTGCTCGAACTCATTTTTCACCATGAGTTCGATCTCCCGTTCGGCGATTTTTAATCGCGTTTCGTACTTTTCCACCTGGTATGCATTGCAAATATGTCTGAGGCTGGAAGAGTGGAACGTTTGCCATGCACATTTTGCATGACCTATGATGTTTGTGATGCATGCCCTAGCATCCCAGGTTTTTTACGGGCTTCTTGATGCCTATCCCGCATGACAAGTGCCGTCGCCGTATAGCAAAAACTGGAGTAGTCCTCTTGCTCTTCATGCTATACAGAATTTTTTAGAGTCCAAAGTTAGCATTACAAGTTGCACTCTACTTCCAGACCCAGACATATTTGCATTTGATACCTGGTTCTTCTCAAACAGCTCGCACTCCTCCGCCGAGATTCCGCTGTAGTAGTGCTGGAGCTTTATCAAAGTGAAAAATAAAACCCCTGCGTTACTACATCAAAATGAAGCGCTCCTGTGATCAACAGATGATCCTATTCCTAAGCCTAGGTAGTACAGGCTTCTTGGTGTAGGCGCCTCCACCTATGGTAGACGTCTGCCCTCTAACCCTTACAGAATTACAAATCGCCTACATATTTTTGACACGACGGACCCGCCGCTAAATTTGTTTTCTATGCAAGACAGACAGGATAAGCATGTGGCGGTGGTCTCAAATCTGCATCGCAAATTTTCAGAACGGTTCGCTTTCAACTCTACATGGGGAGGGGGGATTTTTCCTCACGATCATAAGCTTCGCACTTTCTTCCGCTTTCCACTGCTCAAACTGTGTCTTGAAATCTGCTTCCATTGCACTGTACTGCGCTTCCTCGTTGTCCTTGAGTTGTAAACGGAAGGAGTCCTCCAGCTGTTGAAATTGTTCGTTCTTCAACATCAGCTCTGATTCCTTGCACAGCAACTTCTTCTCCTTGTCGACCAGATCGCACTTCAGCGTCGTGCATCCTGTGCAAAAGTGTCGCACACGCACTCGTTGTAGTAATTGCAATCACGCATTACAAATTTTTTTCTAAAGGTAAATCCGCATTACAAATTTCATTTCTCATGCTGATGGAATTTGTCATGCATTTGTACGAGTACGATACTTTTGCAATTCATATCGTGATCGTTTTCTCCAGCGTTTGGATTGTGATTTCCAACGGCTGCAGCTTTTCTTCGTCTCCTGTGGAAAAACGTCCGTCGCGGCCCACGCGAACGACCTGGTACCGCTGCTTGTCATGCAAAAAAGCTGCATGGAAAATGCAAAGCGCAGTCGATCGAGAAGCGTTTTGTACTGGTGGCGTTTAAAGATCATGATGGGTGAGGTCATGCTAGAACCGGGATAAGCAGCAGCTGATTCTCATCACACAGCTACTGCTACACTAGCTAAAACACGATTTTCACTACGCTGCGAGCCCAAAGATGAACTTGTCAACATGCGAAACACACAACAAGATTTGTTCGTTTTGTGATGCAAAGTGCCCATGTTATCTTGACTCTGCGGCCGTCGCCGTGGGGACGTGTTTTCTACTCAGGATACTTCGATTTTTTTCTTTTCGTTCATCTTGGCCTCGGCGAGGTTCAGTTTCAGCTTCGTCGCCTCTGTTTGCATCTTCTGTATCGTACGAAAAAGTAAGTGCTTCAGTGTAAGGATTTTGCATCACAAGTTTGCATCACATCAAGTTCGCATCACAAGTTGCGCATCACAAGTTTGCTCAACACGACAAAGACAATTTTCCATGCGAGAGAACTACGGGAAAACTACACGCCTAGTAGATATCATTCCATTTCTTGCATGTGCAGCAAAACAAACACATCTGTCTTGTTCTTACATCCGTCTTCACATCAGAAGTTTACTACACGACCGGTGAAGCAATTTTTTCTTGTGATATTCTGTTTTGCCTGTTCAATCACTGCCGTGCACTGCTTGCGCTTCTGCTCGCTGTAGTCTTGAAATTTCCTGTCGTAGTAGGCTTCGAGTTCACTCCGGAGGGCTTTCTCCTGTTTTTTTATTAAAGGGTCTACGTCTAGAGAAGGTGATGATGCGTTCTTCGCACTACCAGAAAAGTACTGCACTTCTTACCCCAGTTCTTCAATCCTGATGATGACGAGTCAATGAAATGCAGGAGGAGCAGGTGGTGCTGCGCCAAAACTACTCCTAAGTGCACCACATGAAAAAAGTGTTACAGTTACACATTTGTAGTGAATTCAGCAACGCAACAAGTTTCTCGGCATGAGAGAGAAAGCTTGCATTGCAGAAATCCCACGCGAAGACACGTATGAAACAAAGCTCCCATGCATGTCCGGCGGAATGACAGAGCTTGTCTGTATTGCTATGCCTGCAAGCCAATGTGTAACTGTAACACTTTTTTCTTGCGATAAAGTGAGTTGTAGCTGTAGTACCTTCTCCCGCATCTTCTGCAGCTCTTCCCGTAAAACCACAGCTTCAGACGCCTATCCTCTGCAAAAGTACCGTACTAGTGGCTGCACTAGCAGTAATGATCCTAATCCCGTTTAATGCACTACGAGTGTCAAAACTAAAGGCGAATCCGCATTACAAATGCCAGTTCTCATGCTGAGCAAAATATTTGTCATGCGATTTTTTTAAATACTAGTACAACTGTAACTAACACCTGTACGATAATTTCCAATGCATAAAGTTTTCTCCGCGCACATTTCCGCTAAATGGCTTGAAGTAGCCGAGTTGACCGAATTTGCCAAAGCGTCCACTCTATGCATTGCAAATATCCCTGGATGTCTGGAAGAGTATAAACTTGTCATGCAGGTTTTCCATGACCCTTGAGGTCTGGAATGCGGGACCTAGCACGACAGAGTCTACTGTGAGGTCTCTGTCATGCCTATCCTGCATGAGAAACTCCTTCCTATCTTGGTCGAAAGTGGACAGCTTTTGGCACTCATGCAACACAGATTTTTGCATGATTCGGATTTAGCATAGCATGACCAGTTGCAATTTTCCAGAGACAGACATTTTTGCAATCCATACATTCCGAGGGCCGTCATCAGTAGCGAATCGTGCTGCTGCTGTTGCGAGGCAGTTTCCGACAGGATCAACGGTGGTGCATCATGAGGGGCAGAAGTACAACTCAAAGTGCCAGCTACTTCTGCTGCAACTCCCGACGGAGCAGCCGCAGCCGCAGCACTTATACTACCGTCCAAAGTAGTTCTACTAGTACTTCGCTGGTGGTGTAGTTGATTTAAATGCTGTTGCTGTTGCTGGTACAGCTCTGCCTGGTGGTCTTGTTTCAGCTGTTTCAACTTTTTGGTCACCTCATCCACCTCGTCCTGTTTCTGGGCCACTAAAGCGCAGGATTGCTGGAGCTGTTTTTGAAACCGGTCCCGAACTTCCGTCGCTTCTTGCAACTGCTGCCGGAGCTTTTCGTTTTCAGCAAGAGCGTTCAACTGGCTTGATAATTGGCTTTGTTCCTGCTGGTAGAAGTGGGCGCTTTTGGCAGTCGTGGTGCTGCGGTCCTGTTGTTCTGTCGTGGCAGAAGTGGGCATCATCTTCGAGGTCAGTCCCTCGGCCTGGTGAAAAGTTGCACCAGCAGGAGCTCGTTGTCCACCCGGGCTGTAGGCAGGGGAGGGACCTCCACCTGCGAGATGAGGCGGTGCACTACCACTTGTGGAATTCGTCATTCCATTAGTATCTGCGCGACTTGCTGCCTGCTGGTCTCGCCAACAAGTAAGTACTTGCCGCGGCAGGACACTGAGACGAGTATTATACCTCAACGAACATCTACTAGAACTAGAAACCGCTACTCCGCGACATTACATGATCCAATGTCCTCCATTCATAGGCCGCACGACGATAGTATTTCTACGCATAACAAATCTTTATGCAGACGCCTTACAGCTGCAGCTGAAGCTGTTGAAGAGAACTTCTGCAAGTCCCATTTCATTCTCTGGCGCTTTGTTGAAGTTCTCTCTTCATTGCTCATTACACTGCAAGTATTGCGTCTTTGCACGACTCATTTTGTCTCAACGCCCTAGAAGTTGTAGTAAAAAACGCAGAAGAAGATGAACCACTCGGCGCGACTACTTTTGTGCGTGCTGGTTTATCTACTTCACTCAGAAGTAGCAAAGCTGACGAACCAACAAGCAAGGACGCGGCCCAGGGGGCTATCTATACTTTATTTAGAAAAGCATAGTTATTACATGAGTGCAGCTGCTCCTCTGACGGAGAGGTAACAAAAGTGCTGCCTCATCGCACCACGACACGAGGAGTTTACGATTTGCTGTGTGATTCGTCAGTACCATCACGCTCTTGACATCATAATTTATTAATTGGGCAGCTTTATTATTCATATTGATATTCTCTTTATTCAGCTGTCGCCGACCTGGTGACCGAGGCTGATGCTAGTGTTGCTACTTCTACTTCTACAACGACAAAAAGCCAAATCGGGAAGAATAAGAATCACCAGAACGAATTATAACGACCACAATGTACTACGAAAGCCAAAGCTAGAAGAACATCAATAAATTTGACCAGCACTGTGCGTGCGAAGTTCAAAAACGGGAATCCCCATGTGGCTGTGTCCCTGCGCGATCGTGATCACGAGTGTACTTTTGTAAAGATTTTTTGTATGCGGCTCTTTCTATGCAGCACAGTTGCTTTTTTCCTTCAGTGTGCAGGTTCTTCATTTTGTCAACATGTAGAAGTAGGTCGTGTTTTATTTTTGCGCTGCCGCTCAGACCAGGATCTTCATCTGCAGATGAAAGGGATCCTCTACAACAAATCCTGCTGCAGGCCGCGCTTTCATGATCTCGTACAAAAATCACGCCCCCAGAAGCCCAAATTTTTCTAAGTCTACGTCGTCCAAAGACATGTTTTCCATGGTTTTCTGAAAATCTCGATCAACATTTTCGTACGAACAATCGTTGCCCCCTTGTTCAGCAAAATAATGATCACCTCCATATTCTTCCATGTCTTCGTTATTTCCCTCGTTTATCCTTTCCATGGCCCGGTCATAGCCCTTATCGTCCACTTCCTTATCAAATGCAAAAGTGTCTGGATCTGGAAGAATGCAACTTGTGATGCTGCATTTGGATTCCAAAAAAAATTGTATTGCATGAGTAGCAAAGGGAATGTATTTTTTGTTACGTGGATAGGGCATTTGTCATGCGAAATAGGCATCAAGATCAAGAACCCCTCGAAAAATCTGTGACGCTACGGCATGCATCACAGACATCATGGCTCGTGCAAAACGTGCATGACAAGTCTCAGAATCTCCCAGACCCAGACATTTTTGCATTTGATATTCCTGCTCTTCGTAATACTGCAACAAGTCGTTGACTCGGTGGGAGATTTCGTTCAAGGATTCTTCGTCGTACTTCGCAGATAGGGTGCTGTAGGAGACCATTTGGTACTGCTCCAGCAATTCCACAATCGCGGCGTTCAACTGCTTAAACCTGGGGTGCATGGTCTGGTTCAGTTCAGGGAGCAAGTCTGAGGGTTGGCACAAATCCAGAAACCGGTCGGCAACCGCGTTTTGCATCTTCCTCTGAAATTCGTCCTCCTGTTCGTCACCCGTTTTTTCTTGGTGGTGCAGTTGCTGAATAGGGTCCGTGAAGTATCAAAATGAAAAATCCCCCTCCTGCTCATATCGAAAGGGAAGCCTGTGATGCTGTATTTGCGTACACAAATCAGCTCTGTCTTGCAGTAGAGCACCGCAGGCAGATACAAAGCTCAGAAAGGGGTGGCTTGAGGTAGGCGCTTAGCATGGCAGACGTCTGCCCCAGTTGTGGCGCAGCAGCCTTCCAAATCTTCCTGCGAAATGCGGCGGACGCTCTGGCGTTGCTCTCTTGCAAGACTCGATTTGTGGTCACAAATCAGCATCACAAATTTTGAAAAGCACGCCTTTTCGATATGGGGCGGGGGGATTTTTCCTCACAGTATGAAATCGTCCTCCTGTCGGTAGTTTTTGTCCAGAGTAGTTTTCTTGCTCATTTTGCCGTCGTCTCCATCGTCTGCTGATCTCGACGCGCCAGCACCGCCCCCGACCAGGTTGTTTGTAACCAACAAGTCCACTTTGGTCAACAAGTTGAGGTGGGGTAACTGCAAGTGCAGCATCGCATTCAGGGCCATTAGCGAGCCGGACAGGAATTTCGAGGCGCAACTGTGCTCGTTTACCACGGTGGCCGCGTCGAGCAAGAAAATACCGCACATGCGGATCTGCAGGTCATTCTGCAGGAACTCCACCACCGAACGCATCACCGGGTGGTGCACGTAAAGCTCGATCTGCCCGGGACAGTCGAACAGGAAGTACTCGGAATCAGTTTGGTATTCCTCGATTTGCTCGCGAAACCACGTCATGAATTGCAAATATGTCTGGGTCTGGAAATTTGTGATGCTGTGTGGCGTATCATGAGGAGGCGACAATTGCTGGCTCAGCATGACAAGTTTCTGAGCTTCTAGGTGTTGCCTATTCTGCATGACAAACTACGTTTCTGCATGACAGAAAATAAGTGGGGCGCTTTGGTAATGTGCATGACAGATTTAAGAGTCACGCCAGACAAGTATGACAAACTTGCATTCTTCACAGACATTTTTACATTTGATACACGTGTTTAGGTGCTCCCCGAAGTATTCCATGGCGTACACCAGCCCGCCGTTGGGGCCGAATTCCAACTCTTCCTGAATATCGTCGGAGGTAATTAAGTCGCGAATGTCGATGTCGTAGTCGTACCCGCCGGGACTGGGATTTTTATTTGAGGAACAAGTCGCTGTTCCATCTGGATTTAGTTGTCCGTCAGTATCCTGTTTATTCATCGTCGTTGTTTCTACATTTTCATGCAGTGCTGGGTCCAAATTTATGAACTGCAAAAGTATCGTACTAGTGCTAGTCGTAATTGCAATACAAATTAGCGTCGTAATTGCAATACAAATTAGCTCAGCTCGACAAATGGAATTTGTCATGCTGTTCTACCTTGGGACGGAGATTTGTAATGCATGACTGCGATTACTACGAGTACGATACTTTTGCACAGAATAAAGTTTACTATTCGGCAGCGCTTCTTGTGCGTGATTTCCATGTGCTCCGCCATGACGTTATGCAATACAAATTTCCTGCACACGTACAAAATGCATGACAAATTTTACAAAGTTGGAGCATGCAACTTGTCGTGCTGAATAGGATTGGAAGAAAAGTTTGTCATGCAGAAATCACATTTGTACGTGTACGGGAAATTTACTGTGGATAGAAGTGGCAGTAGGTCGACTTCCCGGCGCCCGCGGGACCCATCACAAATTGCCCGAACCGAGACATTTTCAAATCTATAGATCGCTGGTTGTCAAATGGGTGCTTTGAATATTGTATTTCTATTTGACGAGGAGGACTGGAGAAACGCTCCTGCTTTTTTTGTTCAAGCGCAGTAACCGGCTCACTTCTGTTGTGTCACTTGTTCTATGAAGGAGAAATGCATTGTTCTAGCTTTTTTAGCATAACTACTTCAGGTCGCAGTGCTGAATAAAATTGCCTGTTCGCCGAGTTCTTCTTCTTCTTTTTGAAGATGAGGAATAACTTCTTTATTTTACCACGATGTCCTGACAAGTTGCGATCAAATGCAAACTGCATCAAGAGCAATTGATTTCTTTGCAATACCAATCCAAATGATCTGTGTGCCGCCACGAAGAACAATCATGCGAAATTTTGAGCATTCTTCTGTCTTGTAGAAATAGTTGCAACAGAGTTTCCAACACACATGTCGTTATTTATGATCTTTTTTTTGACCACAGGGACGAATCTTCTTCAAAGAGTTGGATCTGATTTGATTTTTTGCGACCAAAATAACGAGCAGATATCGTCCGAAAGTGTAGAGTGCCCGGATGATCTATCAGAAATCTTCTATTGCTCGACATTATCGAAGATCTACGGCGTCCAAGCGGATCATGCTCTCACCGACAATGAGAACGAAACTTCATCTTTATTTTTTTGATCTGGGTGGATTTTGTCCTTTTTATTTCTGCATCTGCGGGCTTTGATTTCACGCTCTGTTGTTCAACGGCGGCATAACAAGTGCATGTCGTTCAACACGGACATGAGTGTGGATCGGCACCTGATTATATTTTTGGTAGTTCTACCAGCTTTCACATGTAGATGTGGAAAACCTCGTCCCTCTGCCCGTCTTCTGCAAACAGGAGCAGAAGCAGTGAGCAACAACCTGGAAAGTGATTTTTGCTCACACTGATTTTCACGCGACGCCGCATGATGCAGCCTCACCTCTGTGTGTCGTAGCGAATTCTTTTGATATGATAATGATATGATGTTCTTCAAACGCGTTCTTTATCTTCTTCATTCATCAGACACCAGCAACCGGAGATGTTTTCTTGTTTAGTCGTAAAAGAAAGGACTCTGTAATTAGATAAGGGGTCAAGAAGTGGGAGACTTCGTCCTTCATAACTTTGCTCACGACCGCGTGTCGTAGTAGTTGTGCGCTCCGTGTGATGCTGGTGCCTTCATCAAATACGGTTTTTGAAAGGGGTGAGACGCAGGAAAATACTTCAGTAAGAGGGGGCTTTAGTAGTACAGATACAGAAACAAGATGTTTTTTCGTGTTGTTGATGTTACTGCCACTAAATAGTTAATTAATTTTGGGTGCGTCGTTAATGTGTAAAATCAACTGTGTGCTCGCTTCTTTAGGCGAGCGAGTGACTGTTGTACGTGCTATCTGAGTTCCTGAGAGTAAGTGGCAGGCAAGCTGTGTTTCAACAATTTTCCACCAGAACTTGACTAAAAAACACCCGCTTTGATGTCGAACAGCCAAGACTGGGGAGTTGCCTCAGAAAAATTGCACCGGGATGCTCTTAGTCCTTGGCTTCAGGCGGGACTAGCACTACCTCCTCTTCCGTGCTAGTTCTACCAACCTCCGCGCAGCCACGAGGTCCAAAACAAGCCGCCTCTGCTTGCCCTTCCTCGTGTCCAACAGGATCCACAAAACTGGCAGGTCCTAAGAGAGCCTCCTCTGCTCTCCCTTCCTGTCAACATCAGCGTAGCCGAGGCTTAAGCGATGGCACGCAAACGCCACCAGGAAACACTGGAAAACACGAAGTTACACCCAGCGTCGCCCAGTTGCCTTGCCCCTAAACCCTATTAACCCTTTCTTAATGCTCATCCTTGCGGATTTGTCGCAGAGCTTTCTTTATTTTATTTTGCGATCTTTATTTTTTTTTTCCGATTCAAACAAGCCTGCCTTCGGGGGACCATGGTAATGCCGGTGGATGTGGATCTGGTACAGCTGTACTCGCCTTGTGAAAGCTTGGGGATCTGGTTCTTGATCTTGTATTGATTTTTGCTACCGCAGATGAACATCGTCAGCCTTCATCCGCCACTGCAACTAACTGGCGTTCTACCTGTATCAGCTGTCTTTTCGCACGGATCCAGCTTGCAACTGGATCTTGTTCTTCGGACAGAAGTGTAGCGCAGGGAAACTAGTATCCAGATCTTTGGCACTGTAGGAGAAGAAGTTAGCACAGATCTCCAGACGGTAGCGTAGAGAATCAAAATTAGAAGTAAAAATACGTAGGAAGAGGTCATGATGAAAAGAGGTGAGTACAAGTCGGAATCGAAGTAAAATGTTAAAAAAGTGCGTGAATAGAAAAAAGAAAAGAAAGGTGAGCGACATTGCTCCTGTAGTCAACTCGCAAAGAAATAAGTAGATCCGTCTTCTGAAGAATCTGAGTAAGTAGCCCACTATATTAGCGTTTTACTTTTGCTCCACCTGAAAATCAAAATTTATTCATACTGTAACATCGAAAGGATTTTTTCAATAAGCCACCCTGTACGTTTTTTCGCCACATCAATCTCAGCAACAAGCTCGCTCTACTTTCGAGCTCACCTGCTCGGAGGTACCCAATTCCGCTCCATCTCGGCCCGCATTATGTCCGCCCCCGAAAGTGGCGTCGGGCGCGGGCCGTCATGGGCTTTCACTCCCGGACCTGCGTTGTCTCCCAACACGGCCCATCACGTTGAAAAAGATCCGCAAAGCATGCCTACAGGTACAGAGATACTCACTTTATCTTCTTCATTCGTCAGACACGAGCAAACTACGGAGATGTTTTCCTGGTTAGTCGTAAAAGAAAGGACTCGATTAGATAAGGGGGGAAGAAGTGGGATACTTCGTCCTTCATATCAACTTTCGCGACCGCATGAAATAGTAATTGTGCGCTCCGTGTGATGCTGGTGCCTTCATCAAATACGGTTGTTGGAAGGGGTGAGACGCAGGAAAATAGAAATACTTCAGTAAGAGGGGGCTTTAATAATACAGATACAGAAACAAGATGCTCTTTTTTTGATAAATACTTAACTATTAATTCATTTGCGTGCGTCGTTATGTAAAATGAAAATCAGTAAAAGTATATAGGAAGAGATAATGATGAAAAGGAGCGAGTCGAAATAAAGCAGAGATGTAGATGTTAATGTTAAAAAAATGCGTAAATACTTAAAAGAAAAAGAAGCAGAAAGGTGAGCGACATTGCTGTAGTCACCTCCCAAAGAAATAAGTAAGTAGATCCGTCTTCTGAATCTGAGTAGTCCACTATATTACCGTTTTACTTTTACTCCACCTGACAATCAAAATTTATTATAATGCGCAATGATAAGTATAGAACAAAAAATTTTAACGCACACCTCCGGAAACCTCAGCCAACAACTCCCGCGACCTCCAGCCTCAACTCCCGAAACCTCCCGACCAAAACCTCCGACCTCCGGGCCCCGTGGTCCCCGAAACCTCCGACCTCCGGGCCCCGTGGTCCCCGAAACCTCCGACCTCCGGGCCCCGCGGTCCCCGAAACCTCCGACCTCCGGGCCCCGTGGTCCCCGAAACCTCCGACCTCCGGGCCCCGTGGTCCCCGAAACCTCCGGCCTCCGGGTCCCGCGGTCCCCGAAACCTCCGACCTCCACGTCCCGCGGTCCCCGAAACCTCCGACCTCCGGGGCCCGGGTTCCCCGGAAACTCCGACCTTCGGGTCCCGGGTTCCCCGGAAACTCCGACCTCCGGGTCCCGGGGTCCCCGAAACCTCCGACCTCCGGGTCCGGGGGTCCCCGAAACCTCCGACCTCCGAATCCCGCGGTCCCCGAAACCTCCGACCTCCGGGTCCCGGGGCCCCCGAAACCTCCGACCTCCGGGTCCCGCGGCCCCCGAAACCTCCGACCTCCGGGTCCCGGGGTCCCCAAAACCTCCGACCTCCGGGCCCCGGGGTCCCCGAAACCTCCGACCTTCGGGTCCCGGGTTCCCCGAAGCGTCCGACCTGCGGGCCCCGCGGTCCCCGAAACCTCCGAACTCCGGGCCCCGCGGTCCCCGAACCCTCCGAACTCCGGGTCCCCGAAAGCTCCGACCTCCGGGTCCCGGGGTCCCCGAAACCTCCGACCTTCGGGTCCCGGGGTCCCCGAAGCCCCCGACCTCCGGGCCCCGCGGTCCCCGAAACCCCCGATCTTCGGGTCCCGGGGTCCCCGAAACCTCCGGGCCCCGTGGTCCCCGAAGCCTCCGACCTCCGGGCCCCGCGGTCCCCGAAACCTCCGAACTCCGGGTCCCCGAAAGCTCCGACCTCCGGGTCCCGGGGCCCCCGAAGCCCCCGACCTCCGGGTCCCGCGGTCCCCGAAACCTCCGACCTTCGGGTCTCGGGGTCCCCGAAACCTCCGACCTTCGGGTCTCGGGGTCCCCGAAACCTCCGACCTCCGGGCCCCGCGGTCCCCGAAACCTCCGACCTCCGGGCCCCGCGGTCCCCGAAACCTCCGAACTCCGGGCCCCGCGGTCCCCGAAAGCTCCGAACTCCGGGTCCCGGGGTCTCCGAAACCTCCAAGCCTCCGACCTCCGGGCCCCGCGGTCCCCGAAACCTCCGACCTTCGGGTCCCGGGGTCCCCGAAACCCCCGACCTCCGGGTCCCGCGGTCCCCGAAACCTCCGGCCTCCGGGCACCGCGGTCCCCGAAACCTCCGACCTCCGGGTCCCGCGGTCCCCGAAACCCCCGACCTCCGGGTCCCGCGGTCCCCGAAACCTCCGACCTCCGGGCCCCGGGGTCCCCGAAACCTCCGACCTTCGGGTCCCGCGGTCCCCGAAAGAAACCTCCGACCTCCGGGTCCCGCGGTCCCCGAAACCTCCGACCTCCGGGTCCCGCTTTTCCGAAACCTCCGACCTCCGGGTCCCGGGGTCCCCGAAACCTCCGGGGCCCCGAAGCCTCCGGGTCCCGGTTTCCCCACAACCTCGCTCCGGCCTTTGGGCCCCGCGGTCCCCGAAACCTCCGACCCCCGGGTCCCGGGGTCCTCGAAACCTCCGACCTCCGGGCCCCACGGTCCCCGAAACCTCCGACCTCCGGGTCCCGCGGTCCCCGAAACGTCCGACCTCCGGGTCCCGGGGTCCCCGAAACCTCCGACGGACCCCCGGGCCCCACGGTCCCCGAAACCTCCGAACCCCGGTTCCCCGGAAACTCCGACCCCCGGGCTCCGGGGTCCCCGAAACCTCCGACCTCCGGGTCCCGCGGTCCCTGAAACCTCCCTCCGACCTCCGGGCCCCGCGGTCCCCGAAACCTCCGACCTTCGGGTCCCGCGGTCCTCGAAACCTCCCTCCGATCTCCTGGTCCCGCGGTCCCCGAAACAAACCTCCGACCTCCGGGTCCCGCGGTCCCCGAAACCCCCGAGCTCCGGGTCCCGGGGTCCCCGAAACCTCCGACCTCCGGGTCCCGGGGTCCCCGAAGCCTCCGACCTCCGGGCCCAATGGTCCCCGAAACCTCCGACCTCGGGGTCCCCCGGTACCCGAAACCTCCGACCTACGGGCCCCAGGCTCCCCGAAGCCTCCGACCTCCGGGTCCCGGGGTCCCCGAAACCTCCGACCTTCGGGTCCCACGGTCCCCGAAACCTCCGACCTCCGGGTCCCCGAAACCTCCGACCTTCGGGTCCCGGGTTCCCCGGAAACTCCGCCCGACCTTTGGGTCCCGGGGTCCCCGAAGTCCCCGACTTCCGGGGCGCGGGGTCCCCGAAACCTCCGACCTTCGGGCCCCGGGGTCCCCGAAACCCCCGCCCTTCGGGTCCCGCGGTCCCCGGGCCCTCCGAACTCCGGGCCCCGCGGTCCCCGAAACCTCCGACCTCCGGGCCCCGCGTTCCCCGGGAACTCCACCCTCCGGGCCCTGCGGCCCCCGGAAACTCCGAGCGACCGCCGGGTCCCGCGGCCCCCGAAACCTCCGCGCGCGGCGCTGCGTTCCCCGGAAACTCCGACCGCCGGGTCCCGCGGTCCCCGGAAACTCCGACCTCCGGGGCCGCAGGGGGCTAAGCCGCTGGGGCCTAAGGCAGCCCGCTGGGGGCTAGGCCGCCGGAGGCTAGGCAGCCCGCTGGTGGCTAGGCAGGCCGCTAGAGGCTTCTGGAGGCTAACCTAGCCTCTGGTTAGGCCGCTAGAGGGTAGGCCCCTAGGGGCTAGGCCGCTTGGGGCTAGGCCGCTAGGGGCTAGGCCGCTAGGGGCTAGGCCGCTAGGGGCTAGGCCGCTAGGGTGGGGGCTAGGCCGCTAGGGTGGGGCTAGGCCGCTAGAGGCTAGGCCGCTAGAGGCTAGGCCGTTAGAGGCTAGGCCGCTAGAGGCTAGGCCGCTAGGGGCTAGGCCGCTAGGGGCTAGGCCGCTAGAGGCTAGGCCGCTAGAGGCTAGGCCGCTAGAGGCTAGGCCGCTAGAGGCTAGGCCGCTAGAGGCTAGGCCGCTAGAGGCTATGGCATTTCCGCTGAAGGTTCAGAAAGGCGGGGGCGCTTGAGGCGAGGGCCGGAACATTAGAGGCCCGGCTGTGCCTGCACCACTGGGACCGCCGCCTTTCTGTGCGGCTGTGGGGAGTGCGTGAGGGTGCGGCGGGGTGCCTGCCTGGTCGTTGTTGTGTGTTGCTTTTGGTTTCTAGTGTGGAGTGAGTCAAGGGTAGCTTGCGACTAGTATATAACGAATTGATTTTTTGATAAACACCACTGCACGCTTTTCCACCGCAATGTCACCAACAAGCTTAATCTATTTTGGTACTCACCTCGTCGCCGCAAATGAAGATACCCAGTTTCCATCGACATCCGCTGCCGGGCCCGCTTTCTCTCCCAACACGGCTCATCACGTTGAAAAATATCGGTACAACATGCTTACAGAGATACTCAGTTGCAAACATAAACGTTCGGATCTGCACAGAACCAGAATGCCACACCTCATTCGCGCGCGTTGTTCTATATTGGGCACCAGGATCAGCAGCCCATTGCGATGGTGAAGACCAGCTTTTCCTATATAGAAGAGCCCACGGGCTGGTGCGCAGTTTCTCTACCTTGCACGGCCGCGACGAGCTGAAAAGTGACCAAGCCCGGCGAAGTTGCAGGTGGCAGGCCGGAGCAGGTTTGTGCCTGCGGCCGAGAGCAGGTTTCGTCTTATTTGTATCCCAGACTAAAAAGTGCGATAAACTAAAAAAAATCAATGACAGGACTCCTCCTGATGATGGCTGGCAGTGCGCGCTTTGGCGGACTGCTGCGCGCTGGTCCCTCCTCGAGTCCGAGGAAGATTGAGCGCCCATTTTTAAAGTGGGCAGTCAACCTATCACCATATATGAGGGCGCGGCTGTTGCCTTTTTTAAGCGCGGACGCTTTAAGTACGAGGCTAGGTTTTTTGTTTTTCGGACTTGGGTCTGGCTCAGATTTATTATATTCTCATTTAGAGGACCCCGGCCCCTGCCAGAGCCGACATCGTAAAGGGTGGAACAGAGAATATTCTATCATGATGCTTCCACTCGAGCTTGAAAAACGGTCTGCACGCTGCATGGCTGGTGGGTCCCGCAGTTCTAAAAGATGAAGAACTCAGGGGTCATGATGCCATGACGAAGTGGGAAGTTGAGTACTTGCACTAGCTGCCCGATAAATCTTTTTCGGTTGCCGTATGGATCTTCCAAACTTGTCATGCGAAGGGTTTTACAGGCCCCCGGTATCTGGGTCGCACGGCCCGGCGTGGGCGTGGTCGGTGCCGGTGGTGAAAAACAAAAACAAAAAGAAGAAATCGAAAAACAAGGAAATACCGGTGTAGTGTGTGTGTGTGTGTGCTTGGTACACCAAAAAACAGATATCCGCAACAACTCTCTTCTCTGGAGATCCCTTCGCTACCTCTTGAAATGTCACAACCCGAGATATCTTCAAAACGGTTCAGTGTTTGGATTCTTCACTCCCCATCCGTGATCGATTGTGACTTGTCACTTTGAAAAATATTCGCGCAGCATGCATGCTGGTACAACAGGAACAGATAAGATAAAGATACTCCAATTCCAACCTTCGGAATTGGAACAGCTCCGCTTTTGTACTAGAAAGCGAAGCCTTCGCCTTTTAGCAGAGCCTTCGCCTTCTAGGCGATAGGCCTTCAAGGCCTAGTAGGGAGCTCGAACTGAAACTGAAACGTTGACCATTCCGGCGAAGCTGATGGCTGCGCGCACGGAAGGTGCGTTTCTATACACCTGAAGACCGATTCTTGGGTGAGCAGGATGTGCTTAAGAACATAGCTTCTGTCGCATACTCACAACATGTATTTACTGCGGAAGCACGGTAGCTCTACCTCGATCTTCCAAACATGTCGGTCGAAAAAATAACTATCTGCAAACTGCAAGCCTGCGCCTGGTAAAACAGCCCCTAGTCCTAAAAAACCATCAAGAAACCAGACATGCAAGTAAAGATCATTATCAAGTGTATTGCTACTGTACTAGTAGCTGCGCGATAAATCTTTTTCGGCATCCGTACGGATTGCCCATAGATGTCAGAGTGGTGGTAGACCTTTCTGCCCTCGTCGTCTGTGACCGGATTGTGAAAGCAGTCGAGAGTCTTCATCTTATCCACTACGGACATGCCTTTGTCTGGGTCTGGCATTTTCATTTTGCGTGAGTTTTGTGATGCCAATTATTTTGCATGATGAAGTTCTTAAAGTAGATGCGACTTCCAATAAAGCATACATACTGACACGAATTTGCGTCGCTAGCTCAAGTGTACGACTACACAGCTTTTTGTCGCGAACTCCAGCGTAGTAGACAGACCGCGACGCTGCTTCCTCATGACAATCAAAGCCACATTTAATAATTCTCTTAGCTAATATTCGTACTTACTTATTATGCAACAAAGATTTTAGGTTCTCCGACATGCAATGTTGCCGCAAGCAATGCAAGAAATAGCTCGACCTTCATCTTTCCATTGACCGCGACAAATTATTTGCTGCAATTCGTACTCCCGCTTGGCATTCCAGCTGTACAGAATGCGGAAGCGTTCCGGGTGCAAATCGGCAGGCATTTCCGACGGATGCGGCTTAGGGTTTGGGTGGTGTGCAATCACCAGCTCCATCGCCCCGATCCAAAATGTTTTATTTTCATTTTTCTTTGACCCGCCACACGCAGTCAAACCGGAGTTTTGCTTTCTGGCGTTGGAGATGCGGGTTATTCAGACCTAGATACAAGCTGTGCGTGGCGCAGCCGACTGCGGCATAATTTTTAAAGCAAGCGGCACTGGCAAAGTTGGCGCGATCAGGTGGCCAGGGGAGGCCGAGGCCGCCATGGTGCGCGACATCATTGCCTTTTAGCTGCCTGGCCTCGGGGTAGTAGCTACGCTGCATCTGTTGGGCTAGTAGGCCGCCGGCAGACGGGGCGGGGCCATGTTTGTACAAAGGCCATAATTCAAGTCGTGTGCTGTATCTATATGCATAGACCGATGTTCTTATATATATGATACGAGCCCTTGGCGCGGGCCCTTCGGGGGCCCGCTGGGCTCGCAAAGTCGATTACTGTAGTGGTGGTAAGCCCGGTGCTTGGGTGGTGGTGCTTTGGGCTTTGGTCTTGGTTGGTTGCGAGTCGCCAAACTCGCAACCAGCCCGGAAGGCGACGGCACTAATAGCAAGCAATAGC